AGCAAATAAAGAAATATAGTACAATGAAAATTTCTGTTCCTTGCGAAACTTCGTCGTTCTTTTCCAGCCGTCCTGGAAAAGAGGAAAAATAAAACGTGTGAGTGCATGTCAAAAATACACTCGTACTTGCGTAAGGACACAAGATGAGCGGAAAAAAATAAACTGATACACTTACAAACAGCGTAAAAGCGATCGGAAAAAAGGTTTTCTTTTTGTTTTTTTTCAATATATAAATATATATATATACGCTCAAAAAAATGTTGTTTTTTTTTGTTTTTTTTACATAAATAAAAAAATGAGCATATTAAAAAAAATTTATAATAAACTTTGAAAGGGTAATTCAAGATAAAGCTTATGTCCTACGTGCAATATTCGTTAAGATGTTCTGGAAATCTTACTCGTCTTCCAGAACGCGTTGTTTTAGGTTTTTCTATCGACGTTGACGAAGTATCAAGTTGTGTGTCGGTTGTCGTGTAGGGTACTACGAGTGTAGTAGCTGTGTCGTTTGCTTGTACCAAAGGAAAATCGACGTAGCTAGGGTTTCCTTCTAGGTACGCAGCTTTGAGTCGATCGATACTGATGCTATCTTTCGTACCGTTCTTGTCGACTACATAGTACTTAGGTTCGCGTTGAAGAACTTTGAAGGGTCCTTCGTATGCTGATTCGAGGGGTCGTCGATGTGAGTCTCGACGAACGAAGACGTGTGTACTATGTCGTAGTTCGGGTTGAACGAAAACATCAGTTGATTGAGGTCGAGTGTGAGCAGGTTTAACTGAACGCATAGCGTTTGTAGGCCTACTCGTGTAAGAGTTTAGATCCATGTTCAATGAAGAAGCTGAAGGATCCACGAATTCTCCTGGGAGTCGGAGTGTCGTTCCGTAAACGAGTTGAGATGCCGTGTATCCAATGTCAGCTTTCACTGCATTGCGGATACCTAGCAAGACGAGTGGAAGAGCGTCTGTCCACTGTGAAACGTTTGAAGCTGATAATGAAGCTTTTAATTGTCAATGAAAACGTTCTACCAACCCGTTTGCTTGTGGGTGGTAGGCGGTCGTTCGGAAGCGCGTGATTCCTAAAAGTGTGGTCAGACAACGGAAAAGTCCAGATTCGAACTGGCGTCCGCGGTCTGTAGTGATGGTTGAAGGGCAGCCGAAATTTGCTACCCATCGTTCGACGAAAGTGCGAGCCACTGTTTCAGCAGTAATGTCCTTAATCGGTACTGCTTCTGGCCATCGAGTAAAACGGTCTACGCATGTTAGGAGATATGAGTATCCGTTCGAGTCGGGTAAGGGTCCTACCAAATCTAGATGGACGTGGTCGAAACGAGCGTCAGGGGTTTTGAAAGAACCTAAGGGACATTTGTTGTGTCTGATTACCTTAGATTTCTGACAGCTTACACAGGAGCGTGACCACTCCCTCACGTCTTTATTCATGCCAGGCCAACAAAAGCGTTCGGCTATAAGTTCGATTGTTGCACGAGCACCTGGATGAGAAAGATTGTGCAACGTATTGAAGACGTTGCGGCGATAGTGTTTTGGTACAATTGGACGATCCCTACCTGTAGATGTGTCACAGAGTAAGGTTTCCTTACCTGTTCCCATCTGCCTAATACTTAGTTTAAGAGTTGTCGAGGATAACTCATGCTGAAGATCAATGTCTTCTTTTTGAAGCTGAGCGAGTTTAAGAAGGTCGATTCCTTGGAAACTGTTCAAGGAGCTAATTCGAGACAAGGCGTCTGCGACTACATTGTTTGCTCCAGAAATATGTTGTATGTCTGAAGTAAACTGCGAAATGTAGTCGAGTTGTCGAGACTCTCTTGGTGAGTACTTGTCTGAAGATGAACTTAAAGAGAAGGTAAGAGGTTTGTGATCGGTAAAGAGCGTGAATTCTCTTCCTTCGATGGAATGTTGAAAATGCCGTACAGCACAATACATAGCTAGGAGTTCCCTACCGAACGTGCTGTACCTAGATTCAGCGTCTAGCAACCGTCTCGAGAAAAATCCTAAAGGTTGCCACGAGTTGTTAACCCATTGTTGTAAGACTGCTCCGATTGCTGAGTCGGATGCGTCTACGGCGATACTAATGGGCGCTTGACTGTCCTGATGAGCAAGCAAGGTTGCTTTAGCGATGTGTTCCTTAACTGTGGAAAATGCTTTACGGCTGTGTCGTCTAAACTAATTGATTTCGCATTTCCACGAAGCTGATCGGTCAACGGTTTCATTAGGGATGCGCATTTAGGTATGAACCGTCTATAGAAACTTACGAGTCCGTTAAACTTCGTAACTGCTTGATCGTGGTCGGTTCTGGGTAATCCAGAATGGCCGCCACTTTGCTCCTAAGTGGTCGGATGCCTTGAGCATCAATAGTGTGTCCTAAGAAGTCTAAGCAGTTAGTTCCGATTTGGCATTTCTGAATGTTGACAGTAATGCCATGCCTTTGGAGTCGATCGAAAACAATGTCCAGATGCTTGAGATGCGATTCTTTGTCCGGACTTGCTATTAGACAGTCATCAACATACGCATGCACGAAGTTGAGACCTCGGAAGACGTCGTCTATAAACCTTTGGAAGGTTTGAGCCGCGTTTCTTAAACCAAAGGGCATTCGTAGAAATTCGTAAAGACCGAAGGGAGTGATGATGGCGGTTTTAGGAATGTCGTCAGGTGCCATCGGGATTTGGTTATAAGCTTTAACCAAGTCGATTTTCGAAAAGACAGTTGTACCTTTCAAGGTAGCTGTCAAATCGTGAATATGAGGCAGCGGGTAACGATCGGGAATGGTTTTAGCATTCAGACGCCGATAATCACCAGTTGGCCGCCAATCATTGCTGTCCTTTTTAGGGACCATGTGCAATGGGGATGCCCATGGACTATTCGATGGTCGAAATATTCCTAGGTCCATCATGTGGTTGAATTCGTTTTTAGCTAACCTAAGTTTTTCGGGAGCGAGTCTTCGGGCTTTCGAAAATACAGGTGGTCCTGTAGTCGAGATGTGATGTGTAACATTGCTGGTTACACAAGGTAATTTCGATTGCGATTGGTATATCCCGTGGTATTTGTCGAGTACTGATTGGTACAAGGGGTCTATGGCGTGCTTAATCGTGACTGGGGATAACCTGCAACCAGAACAAGGAGTTACGCAAACGGACAACTTAGTGTTTCCGTCTATTAACCTTCGTGAGCGTGTGTCGATGAGTAGATTGTGGTGTTGTAACAGGTCAATACCAATGATTGGCATAGAGACATCTGCAACAACGAAAATCCAGTGTATGGGTTTGCGTAAACCCACGTTAAGGTAGACGTACCTTTTACCGTAAGTAGCGATCGGCTTTCCGTTTGCCGCCTGTAAACTTAAAACAGACTCGCGAAGTCTGTCGTCGAGATTTGCTGGAAGAACGCTAACTTCTGCGCCAGTGTCGACGAGGTAGCGAACTTTCGTAGTCACATCCGTGACATATAAGAGGCGGCTGTGTTCGCCGGCTACGGTTGCCGTTAACGCGTGCCGGCTGGGAAGTTTCCCGAACTGTTTTTCGTGTCACTCGATTTTGGGGTCGGATAATTGCAAGGTTTCCTGCAGTTTCTGGAAAACTTACCGTACTGGTTATGATACCAGCACCAGTCGGGATTGTCTGTCTCTCGTGGTCGAGAGCCAGATCGCTTACGTGAGGCACTTCTACGCGGGGTTTTTGACCGACTACGGTCATTGCGAACTCTAAGATATCGTGTAAGCGTGTGACATAGTTCGGCTATGTCAGTCGAGGTCGATTGGGGTTTTTCTTTGATGGAAAAAACCTCGGCCTTAGAAGATCTAGTGATTTCCAAGATTCGATCGGCAGATGCAGCTAGTTTATCTATGGCACTGTTTTGAAATGAAACAAGCACTGCCTGCACCTGTTGAGGGAGTTTAGACAAGAAAAGTTGTCTAAATAGACCATCATCGAAAGTTCGTTGGCCGATAACCTCTCTCATTCTAAGCAACATGTCCGTCGCAGAACCATGTTGCAAGTCGATGTTATGGAAGAGTTGGTCTAACCGTTGTCGATCAGTTAGGTCTCCTCGTTTTAAAATCGATAGCTTAAGCGATTCGTAAGGTTCGGGAACATCACTAGTAAACATACTAGGTGTTACGTACCTGTTAAACTCGCGCGGTAACGCCTTAACTACCGCGAGGAAACGTGTGCGCGAGTCCGTGATTCCGTGCATGCTAAAATCGGCTTCTGCGTAGCAGAACCAGGACTCGATATTGTCGGGCCAAAATGGCGTTAACTGAATCGAAATAGGGGGAATAGACTTTAACTTAAGAACCTTAGGAGAGTGTTCCGTCATAGTAATATAGATATCGAAAAATGTCTAAGTAAAATATATCCGAGAAAAAAAATTCGCGAAAAAAGTATATCACAATATATAAAATTCAAATAAAGAATACCAATGAATAATAATGTTCCAAAATGGAACAGACTCACAGTATATTGACTTGGTGTACCAGATCACGTCGGTCTCACCAATGATGGTGCAACGGATGTTCTAGTTTTACAACTAGCTACCAGTAGCACCTCCTATATTGGATCGTTCCCAGTCAGATAGAAAATCAGAAGTCAAACGAGAAGAGGCAGGAAAGATATATTTGATTCGTTACCAATATATCGAGGACCTTTTCTATGAGCTGGCTAATGAAACGTAGGAGCTGTGTCCCACGCAGTATTGAAACGTGATCTGGTGCGGATGCATGACCGAAAGCCTTCAGCTAAACAAGTCCACTTAAACAACGTGGTCAGCATCCAATGTCGAACACTTAATGAGCTATTGATTTTGGGGAATTATTTACAGCTACAATGCCATTTCCACTGATTATGATTAGTAAAGATGTGTAACTGGACTACCTACATTCGAGAATGTCAAAAACTCGGAACACTGAAAAAACACAAATAACTGAACACAAGGGAACTAAACGTTTACGTAAGTCCTTCACATTGTTTTTTCGTATTAAACGTAAAGTTTGAGGTTGGAAAAACGACCGCGTGTTTAGAAATTCTCTCAGAATGGCGGTTCGCACACAGCAAAGAGCGCCATATCGACGCGGTAACCCGTAAGCAGCATTTTAATGCTCAGACGATTTGAGACCAGTCATGTCATTAGGCTCACTATTTTAAGGACATGTTGCAGTCTAGATAACATGTCCCTCCCATTTCGTCTATTGTTTTTAAATATTTTGTACAATTCTACACTATTCCACTTCAATTGAATACTTAAACTCATCGCGTGTAAATGAAAAAATTGTCGTGTTCGTGTTCTTAACACGTGAGCTACGTCCCACTTAAATAATAAGGCAGAACTAGATGGCGAGACTAATAAATAAATGAATTAATGAAATTAAAGATGGCAAGTCTTAGATTTTGGCTTAAAATCTGTTTATCCATAATGCTTAGTAGCACTATGACATAATTTCTGATAGTAGTTCTCGTCGGGGACCATAACTCTAATTCTTAGCCTCAGTTCGAATTCCGCACACTAATCTATGACCGTTTGACCATAGTAGGTAGGTAGCTTTTTCGTCTTCCTCAACACGTCGTCCACAAGTTTTAGTCTCAACGCGAAAATTAAGGGAAAGACTATGTGAATATTGGGAAGCCCATCTTTCCTTACTTCCTCAAACACTCAGGTTTAGTAGTGTTAATTTCGAGACATTTTGCCTCAATAAGAAAATTCGTGGGGAAGTGCCACTGTTTAAATGTAAACGAATGATATGAACATGCTGGATTTCTTTCTGTATACTCTTGAAGTGGCGTTTTTAGTATTTTCTTTGTAATGACAATCACAAGAATGTATTCCCATTAGGGTAATTAGGTGTTTAACATTCGCTCCATTGTCAAGCAACGCTATTTTTTTTGGACATGTGGTACTGAATATACAAAGTGATGTTAATCCTGTTCACTTTCATGCTTTCATTCATTTGTCAAAATTTTTAGTATATACTCCTCTGGTAGTAAACTAGCCACGAATTGCATGTTGGTTTTCGAATTTAAATCGGGAACTTTGTGTATTCTTATATGACTCGGGATGACCCAAGCTAAGTAGACCTGCTACTACTTGAGGTATTTACCTAAATCTTTAGGTAGACTGATACCAAAAGGTGACATCGATGGTCGGCATATGATACACTGGAATACAAAGTAGCATAAACAACTGTTATTTGTAGTTTTGAGTTAATTGTGCACCAATAAAATTAGCGCCTGACTTTTGGCCTATTTTATTTACTTACACCTGTTACCCATCATGGAGGAGCATAAGCCGCACATCAGTATTCTTCACCGAACTCTGTCCTGTGCAATCTTCTCCAGTTGCTATTCATCCTTTTGATGTCTACTTCCAATTCCCGATGCAGTGTGTTCCTTGGTCTTCCTCTTTTCCGCTTCCCTTCAAAATTCTAGGTAAGCGCTTGTCCGGTGATTCAATTTGATGATTTCCGTAATGTATTTCCAATCCACTTCCGGCATCTTTTTCTAATTCCCTATCCAGCTGCAAGCTGGTCTGTTCTCTGTCACCGTAGGTTGTGGCTGATGATATTTGGCTGACGGATATTGCATATCGTGATTAGACAATTCTTAATAAACACTTGTACCTTCTTGATGACGGTCGTGGCAGTTCCTCAAGTTTCAGCTCTGTGCAGTAGTTATGACGTTTGTTCTGAAGATTCGGACTTTGATATTGGTTGACAGTTGTTTTGAGTTTCATGTGTTCTTCAACTGTAGGAATACTGTCCTTGTTTTGCCAATGCTTGCCTCTATGTATGCATCGGATACTCCTTGTTCATCGATGATGTTGACCACGTACGCGAAAGTTTCCACCTCTTCCAGAGTTTCACCATCAAGTGTGACTGGGTTAGTGTTCTCCGTGTTGTATTTGAAGACCTTACTTTTTCTCTTGTTGTATGTTGAGGCCTACTGATTCAGAGGCTTCTGCTACATTGTTTGTCTTGACCTGCATTTGTTCGTGTGTATGGGATAGAAGGGCTAGGTCATTTACGAAGTTCAAATCGTCTAGCTGCATCCAAACTGTCCATTGTATTTCATGCTTCCCTTGAGATGTTGAGGTCTCTATAATCCAGCCAACCACCAGAAGAAAGAGAAAGGAGGAGGGCAAGCAGCATTTTCTGACTCCAGCCCTCACTTGGAATGCGCCTGTCAGCTGTCCCCCATGAACAACTTTGCAGTGTAGTCAGTCTTATGGATATATATATATATATATATATATATAAACTGAAGCAGGTGGTTTTCTTAGGGGGCCACACCCGGAGCCTTTGACCTGAATGTCTGATCCACAAGGCAGTGGAGCATCGTGAGGAGATGCAGTCCCATGGTAGCCGGTGATCAACGGTTGATTCGTACGCCATTTGTCCCCTCAGGATACTGGAGCCCATGTGCACCACTGGTTTGGAATCAGGGTTTTCCAACTCCCCTAGGTGGACCCTCCATGTCCATCAACCCGGTTAAAGCGCCGGATATTCGCTTTTCGTCCTCTCACTTTTGTGAACAACACCTCCGTCACTATGAGAAGGCAGTGAGTAGGACTTCCTGTCAGAGGCTATATATTCGCTGGCCATATGAGAGCATTTCGAGAGGGAGAGGTGACTCTCCCCACTCTCGGCCGTACCAAGGCATTTGGGGGCAGTAGCATTGATAACACTTATTTATCTGAGGGACAATTTGGTTTTATGAATCGGGGAACTTATCAATGACTCATTTTGCATGTTTACTTTCGGTGTGTTGCATTTTAAGGAAAAATATCTTTTTTGAAATCATAGACGAGAAGTGTTTAGTTTTTAAAGTTTTTATAATTACTTCGCATAAGTGTAAAGTTGCTGAAATAAAGTGATCATGGATTGAACTGTGAATCACAGTAAGATGTAAGGACAGTTTCTGACTGTTCAAAGTAAATTAACTTTTTGGGGTTACAACAATAACTATTATCATTGTGACTTTTGTAATGTGATGTTAGCACAATTAGCAGCGATTTTTATTTGTTTTTCATCTTGTAAAATACTGCTTACACTGTCCTGTTTACTTGTGAAGTTGTTTTGAAACAAGAGCTCTTTCAAAATCCAATCTTCGCTCATTTGCATTCTGTCATCATTGAGGTGCCTTTGTATAGCAGCTTGGCCTGTCAGGTTGGATTATAGATCTGGTCTTTTATTAACAGTATCTATCATCGTCTGTATTTCGGACCCTCTAGCCAGTATAATTTGGAACATGACAACACGGCAAAACATAATTGTTAAGGGCTCCAAACCTTAGCTCTGTATCGGGTTAAGAGGTTCATACTTCGGTCGTATACCTTAATAATTGGTGAGTTATTATCATTCACCCCTATGCAGTAGGTACGGTTCGACTAATGTATTCTAGTACTCAGCCATGGTTCTTTTTTTATACATGATTTTTAACAAACTTGGCTGAGATGAATTTTAGAAAATCTCCCACTTTATCTATTCTTACTATCAGCTCACAGACCGGTCCCTTTATTCCACAATTCCCCTTGGATCTTGTTATGTTAGAACCGAATCTCATCATTCCTGCTGATGACCAAAAACTATTGCAATGTTTATTAGATCATCATGGGAAATTAACGCCATCTCCTGATTCTCAACACGCTCTGTCGAATTTAAACAACAGAATTTGTGAAATTTTGGATAATATTATCGTAAATCCGTCTACATTCGAATCTGGGGTATGTTGTCATTATTGTTGTTCCACAATCTTCCTGTTGCATCTTTGAAAGTCCTGTTGTAGCCTATGAATACTTACCTTAAACAGTTGGGTAATTTGTGGACCTTAAAATACTTCACTTCATGGTACCGGAAATATTTCTCTAAGTTATACCTTTTGATTCTCAAACTTTCTCTAGTCACCTCGAATTTGTTGTTCTCTAATAGCAATTTATCGATTGATATATCGGACTTCATATAAGAGAGCCCCAAACCTTATGTAAACTGTACATGCTACCTTTATGCTTTTCTTAGACTGGGATGGTATGCCTAAAAAATCAGGTCTTTAAAACAGTTAATCCCTTTGATAAATTTGGATAATGCATTGGAAAGACGAAGATTATCAGAACTATGTGAACAGTCTGATCACATACATACTTGTTAAGAACATTTATCTGTACAAAAATTAAAGGTCAACTGGACAAATTGGAAGGTGGGTGTCGTCTCAGTCTAGGTTAGGGCCACGATACGCTAACTGGTTTAACCTTGAGGCCAGAAATCCGAATCGAAACCAACAGCCTTGGGCAGAGAAATGAAAACTATTCTATCACCTGATTGCTTGACAATCAAAAGAGAAGACGAGTAAACCTCAACACTATTCGATTTATTCCTGATTTAGACTAGTGTGAAAAGATACACGAATAAATAAATGACTAACATGACCACAACACGCAAAAACAACTAGAAAAAATACAATTATGTCTAAGCTAACCATCAGGGTAGAAAAATGGAGTACATAAGGTCCCGTTTAAATTAAAATAGCTTTGGCATAAAAAACGTTATGACAGTGAATCATGCTTCAAACGAAGGCTTACAGTTTATAGAATGACCTGGAGACTACTAAATGTGAGTTCTGTACAAACTTCGAGTCGTGTGAAATAATGTTCCCAAAAATAGCTCCCGTTGTTTGTCATGGCTTCGCTATATCTCTGCTCACAGTAGGAAACAAAAAAAGGAAAAACAGTGGCTCGGACCATACTCTATGTGAAGATGTTGATAAAATGCCGAGTCTTTTGGTAGCACTGAGAAACAAAGCTAGGATGTCTGGGATGTGTTTCTCCCCCTCTAAACGCAAACTGTTGCTTCAGGAATGACCTGCGTCAACAGCTAAACTTAGTATAGGGAGTGAAGTCGAACGCGAGATATCAGTCTATCAACTAAGGGACGAGTATACTGCGCAGCTATTCGTTTTCTTTTATTTTACGGCTACGAAACGTGGCCAATAAGAGTAGAGGATACCCGTAAGTTACTAGGTATTTGATCATAGATGTCTTAGGAATATTGCTCTCATCCGTTGGGATCACCGGGTAAGTAATAGTGATGTTAGACGCAGGGTATTAGGGAATGATGGTAAATCAGTTGATGAGGTTGTGAATCTTCATCGACTGAAATGTTTGGGCCACGTGTTGCATATACCTGTACGCCGATTACCACGGTGCGCAATGCTGACCAGTGTTAGAAATTGAAGGGAAAAAGTTAGGGGCGGCCAAACCAAAACGTGGCATCAGTCCATAAAGTAACTAACTTCTGGTCTGAGCCATGTTGATAGATGTTGACTTCTTGGTTGGGGTCCGCGTGGCTATCGTAACCAATGGTTGGAGACTCTGTGTGACATGGCTCAGAATCGATCACAATAGCGTTGGTGTATACATTATCTTTCCTTAAACCGTGAGATTAAAATTACTTTATACTTTTCTTTCTACGTGCTAATTATTTCTCCCTATATTATATCCTTATATGTAATCTTTCTTTTATATATCACTACCAGTGAAGTAACTATTACTGTGAATTTGGTGATCGTTTTGTTGTGCTAATGAGGTTTCAGCTTGGACCGATGCACATATGTGCCTGGTTCTACGTTTTAGCTGATTGATTGACTAAAATTCATTTGCTTTTGCAGTTACTTAGGTATGCGTTCAACCAGCCTTATATATATACATATATATATATATATATATATATCATTAGTCACCTCCACGTGGTTATATGAACAGAAAACGCTTTGTAATTTTCTCTGTGTAAATTGCTTTTTAAAATTCAACGTACTATCTAATTCAGCAATTGGATCATGTTCGTTCAGTTGGATCTTTCAAACTGAACACGTGGTTGAATGGTTCATGTATATCTGACTTGGCCTGCGTGTTTCGAACGCTCCCAACTCTTGAAGCTGTACAAAACTTAGCAAATTTTGTTCGTCGTCAGTTGACAAGCAATAATTCACCAGCTGAACATGTTAATTCTAAAGTTGAATTAGAAAGCTATGGATTTTCTGTTGCCTCAGGGGATTATATGGTGCAAGTGTTAATCACTACTACTCCAATGAATTTGAATCGAACAAGTCCTGATATACATAGTAAGTGTCGATTATTTGTCTTTTCTCTGATACTTGATGACAACTGTTGAAATTCTCTGGGTCTCTTATATGCAGTCGTGTAAATGAAAACTTTCTGAGAATTAACCGGTAAGTTATGTAAGCCTCAATCGACATTCTGTAGGAATCTGACCACATTCATCTGATAGTAAATGGTTTTGGCTGATATGATGGCGTCTAGTCGTTAGTTCTGATAAAATTATATCAGTTAAGCTGATGTAAAGTGTGACAACTATTACCGATGCATATTCGTTCTCAGTCGTAGTACATTGGTTTTATATTGTCACTCGCTTATCGAGTATTGTTTGCTGAGCTTTGTGTAAGGACTAAAAATATTATTTGAATGCCGAATTCAGTGGAGCATGATTTAAACATGCAAGCTGTTAATAAAAACCCGAATGTTTTGATCCCCAAGACGCTGTTTCTCACATTGACGATAACTGGTAAATCCCTGTCTTACTCTTTATTCTTATTCTCTTTATATCCGGTTTTCTTATACTACTTACTAATATTCAGTAAACAGTGCAATGCCAATAACTTTGAGTATGTAGTGTGTGACATTGCTAAGCATTTACTTATACTTGTAACATTCTATTTGTTGATTATTGTAACCGAATTTAATAACATTTGTAACAGTTGGTTTCAATTCTAGTGTACCCAATAAGATTTTATTTTATCTCAATAGCATCCAATTTAGTATTCTTCGTTTCCATTTTCAGTTATTGTCTTCCCTTCCTGTTTTGTCACAGCTTCTAGCTATCACATAGCTTATCGTATGTTGTAGTAAATAACTTTTATACATTTCCTTTAGTAAACATCCTTCTGTGACTACACATTGACAGTATTTACTAGAGATGCCTCGCTAATTGAGGTTTGTAACATATTTCACATAATTTCGTAATATCAATCTTTGCAGATAATTTTGCGTCTTGATTTGCCAGATCTACGCCTCACTTAATCGTGAAGTCTGGAGCTTCGATAGAATTTTACAATCACCGACTTACATTTTGTTTACTTTCGAGTAATGAGTTTGTAGGTATCATTACCAAGATTTGACTTGATAATTTCAAATAAATTGAGCATTGGGTAGATTGTTATATCCCAATAAGTAGAAAAATTAGATTTTCTACTCATCGGGAATATTACAAATATATTATTTCTATTTACTTTCGATTGTTTCATGTTACTAATTCACTTAAACGAACTGATGTTGGATATTTAACTACAACTTAGTTCCTCAATAGTAAATTACTTTCTATATATATTGATTATCAGGTACTTTTAAATTAGAAGTAACTCCACCAGTTTTTAGTTCATCAATTCACCAAACCATAAACATCAAATTAATACTTCTATCGTTCCTTATTGTTATTTAACTTTTCTTCTTTCAGTTAGTTTAACTGCTCAAAAGATTGCCTTGGCTTCAATTCGTCATTTAAGATGGGCAGAAGAAAATGCAACACATACTACGTACCTAATTATTATTTAACTTCTGACCATACATTACTAAATTGTTTTTTTTCTTAGCGTGAAGGTTTTAATTCGTATCTTGAAAGATTTTCGACGACGTTTTCGAGGTTTTGCTTATATGAATTCTTGGTTGATAGACTTGTTAGTAAGTTGAATAATCATTTGCACAACACATGTTTTCATTTGTTTTCAAGGCTCATTATGTTGTAATGAATAATCCATCACGTCAACCCTTGCCACTTAATCATGCGTTCAGGTAATTTTGGTGATTTTTTATATTTATGGTATTACATGCTAAATGATACTCATAGTTATACAAGTTATTTTGAATCATTTATGAGGTACATGTTCGTAGAATCTTCTTGGAGCCACACTGTAAATATGAGGTCTAGTTATAATACTCGATTATCCAAATCGAAGTAGGTAGACTGGTGTTCAAACCTACAACCTGATTGTTGAAAGTTAAGTTGAAGTCTAATTGTCTCTGACTCAAGGTGGATTGTAATATTATCCTATTATGTGGAAGTGATAAATAATTGTGAAAGTAAAATATGATTAGTCTTTTAGCGTGGACAAACAGGCACTTAGTTTACTGACCATCAAATATGTGATTTCTTTTCCTCTCAGTGATTTCTACTCCGGACTCACTGAGTGTGACTGCTTGTAATTGTATTGAATAAGATATTATCCAGTTCTCTTTTCCGGGTCGTGAATCCTGGGTGTGATATAACGTGACTAGTCTTATTATCATATTAACGTATTATCGTAGTATCCGTGAGCTAGAGAAAAATATTTTAAACCATCTGTTATATTAGAAAGTATCAAAATGATTCCTCCAAATGGCAATTATCTTTAATTTATTTCTTTGAAGCTCAAATTCGGTCCAATTTTACTTTGACCATTTTTGTCTTCTCATGATATCTATATTGTGAAATTAAATATTGTAGGAAATTTGTTTCCTTTCCAAATATAATCGTATTTTATTCATCAGGTTGTGCAAACCTGAGAGTGTATTAACCTCTATCTTATCTAGTATCGTGATGGTCTATTAGTTTTTTCCTGATGAGAGAGGTTGTGTTTAACTTACAGTCGAGATACATAATTATAAAGGAGGATTCCAGCAGGCAAAAGTGAATATCATTTACGATATGTTCTAGAATTGAGCTGTTTGTTGGCTTGTGTATTACTTTTGATAACTAAGTTTGGTAGTCCTCGGAGATACTTCTCGAAAGAGGTCCCTTTGTGTGGGCCATGTAACCTATAGATACACATCAATACAACCCAAAAAGATGACTTGTTGTTTACAGATTCACGATTCAAAGGTCGACTTGATAAAAAACACTCAGCAGAATAGGATGTCTGTCAAAGATTTTGGATGTTTACTTTCCAGGATCAGTGTATCTGTCAGTCCTTTTTGGGCTTAATGGAGCAAGTTTCTTGAGTCACGTAAGGCGATTTTTCAGAATGGGTCTCTAATCGCAAGCCTCTTATATTCATATACGTAATGGTATCTGGATCCCTAACTATTTTCTTATTTCTCTTAAGATTGTCTTTACAAAAGGTGGGATTAAGATTGGAACGATTTTTAATTATTTCATACTCATGCTTAATTATCACCTGCTAAATACATGTACATGTTACTGTTCCTCTATCTGAACTAAAGACGAAATGATAAATATTAAAGTCATGTACCGTGAAAAATGTTTCACTGTTCAGTTGTGTAAAGTTTTTTTTTGATTGGGTCATGCTTTCGTAGATTTCAGGAATTCATTAGTGAATTATTTTAACTGTCATTCAATAATTATGATTCAAGGTTTCATTCATGGAACTACGTAATTGAGTATTCACAGTTTTATTCATTTAAGTTTAGCAACTAAGTAATGTGAACATAAAATCCCCAAAATATTGCTGCTGTATTAGTTCATTTACATGAACTCTTATCAGTAGAATAGTTACAAGACAAACATTTTGTTGCAGCATTGGATATTTTGTATTAAGAATACTAAAGTCAAATATATTTTGTTGATTAAAGCTATTATTATTATTATTATTATTATTATTATTATTAAACTTGCTATTTATTGATCTAAACCTGAACACCTTACTAACTATATAACCACCACACATTAATCAGCGTTTTGTTTATGAATTGAAGTAAAATATCTGTATGTGTTTTTTATTCTCAAATATGTTGTTTACTAGACGTGTATTCCATCTACTGGCCAGCGGTTTCCTTCTTCCTAGTAGTACAGGTTTAATTGATCCTTGTGAACAAGGAAATGTACGTCTTCACTCGTTAATGTCTCTTGTTGAACAGGTTAGTATACGTGTATGTATGTGTACATGTAAGAGTTTTACTCTCTTATTCTACTATTATCTTGTGAGGGTTAAAATCATTGAAATAATCTGGAAAAAAATTATTAAAAAAACAGGAGAGAAAGAGAGCAATACATTACTATTTATTTCTATTCTGTAGGAACCTCAAGAGTGTGTGCCAACGACAACCGCATTCATGCACCACAGAATGAATTTCAAATGATCTGTGTAGTTTCTTTAAAAAATTACCACTCCAAGCTGATAATAATTGTGGATACTTAAAGCAAATAATACACATCCGTCCAAGATGCTACGCCGTGTCTTAATGACTGAGTGGTCATTTTATGCACGAAACTAGGACTACTAGTTCGATTTCATTTATATTCTCGCTATCACACATTTTGTTTTATTTGCCACTCACCAAGTAGATGTACATGGATCTCAGTGTTGATGTTTGTATTGAGACTTGATTTCAATATCTTTCGCTTCACACTCAGTCCGTTATCTATTGAGCTAGTTAGTCAATACTAGGATACCGAAGCATGCACTTGATGTGCCCCAAATAAGATAAACATGTACTCATCAAGACTGATCAATTACAATCTTAAATATCAAAAACGAGTAAAAAACGAGTATCCCTTACGTACATATGTAAGGCTAATCGCATTCAAAATGTATTTGTTTGTGAAATAAGTTGTTAAATATTTATAATTGCTTCTTAAATGTGTAATGTATTATGTGTACTGTTGTTGATATTTCCATTTCATCTCTCTTCGTTCTTAATACAATTCTAATAAAATACTAGGATGAAATATGTTGTACAGCTCAAGTACTATTACGAATTCTTAATTACGGAGGTTACTCATCATTATTCACTCATAGTGATTTGGATGATGCATCAAGAGGTTTGTCGTTGTTCTTTTAGTGATGTCTTTTGTTTTCGTGCACTTATCAATGTTGCGATGTTAGAAAAAAAATGGTACTTCCAAGTTTCCTATTTTTTAGTCCCAGTTATTACAGGATTTTTCTCGATTGATACCACGATATCGGTTCATTTTAAGAACAGTGTGTTTTAAGCTATTAATGTAAGGATAACAATGCTGTTAGGTGTTACTCAGTATTCTGTTTAAATTCTTGTGCTCTGATCACTCTGAAATTCACTAATTCACTTAATAGTTAACTGATTTAAGCCGCCTTATGTCTAGTTCAGAAACATTAGAAAATGACTAAAATATTGAGAAATACTGAATTAGTAAAAAGAGGGGAAAGCAAGTAGGAATCAGGTTATACGTTTCAATTGAGAAAATGAATCAAAATAATAAAGCGATCTCTTTTATCTTGAGATGAAGAACATGAAAACGTGTACTGTATCAGGTATTTGATGTAACTCATTTACCTTATACATGCTTATTTGTTTGCATAAGGATATAATTGCGCCAGGTGAGGACTACTAACACTACTCAGATGTCCAAATTGTAACAGTTGAGGAGGGAAATTCGAACCATTGGTGATTTAATCGATAGTGTTTATTAGCAAATATTCTTCAAAATAAACTGTTTTTTTTTAAAAAAAACTAAATGATATGAGTCTATCTAATCCATTTTTAACTGCCGAAATTTGTTTTGGGAATTCGATATTAAAAGTCAGAGCAGTATAAATATTAAAGCATTAGATATTATTCAGGATAAGGGGGATTCTTCATATTGAACTTACCAGAATCGCTTATAAGCCGGGAATACCTATAGTGAAGACTAGTCTAAAAACAATTTCTGACTTGTGTATTGTTTCAATGTATTTAGTCACTTAGTTTTGTTTGGCTGTGCAAAAGGTGATCTGTAATTCGGCTACAGAACAAGAATAGTTTAACTCCTTCAGAACTTCGTTTGATACAAGATCGCAAATGTTTACGATCTATACGATATTTAATAACTGTCAACATTAACAACTATATAAAGAAATAGTTATCTACTAAGTGTAATAATGAAATACTCACTAAGAAGAATAAAATGTTAGCATATATCTAATTCGTATTTTACTTAAAAAACTAACAACTTGATAGTTGTAGTTTCGCAAGTCCTGCTGATTTCCGGCATTTATTTGTCATGCACCTCTCAGTTCCGTTCATAGTTTGTTGACAAGTATGAATGCCTTCATACAGTATGCGGTTTGGTGTATTAAGAGTATAAGGTTGTTATATTTTATGTTATCAGTATTTTTTATTGAACAACGTCCCTCTCATATTTCATTGGTTGATCTTAAAATAACTACTTCGTTGTTGGTTGATATACTTTATGTCTGTGCAGTTATTTTTGCCCTCGTTTTTACTAAGTATCGCTTGTTGTTGCTGAGCTTGCTACTTTGAATGTGAGTTTCCAATTCAAGCTAATTAATGTTTACTGTTGAACCGTTCATTCAGTTGTACACAAAAATACCTTATATACAGATTTCCGAGAAGCCAAGACAATCTTCTGGCTTCAGTCAACCTCGCGCAAACTTTAGAGGGTACTAAGCTTATAGATCGCTTGTTGCCTAGTGAAATATTTCCATTGCCATGTCATAAAACAATCTACGTTGTTCAATATACAGCAGTATTAACCAATTTTAGATTAATTTAACTTGAAATCTTTTTATGTTTCTCCACAGAACAATTATTAAAAGCCGCCGCAAAATCGATTGATAATCTGAGTATACTAGAGTGGCCCGAACCAGTTGCATTGCATTCACAACAGATAACAGAAAATGGTAAAGTGAAAGTTGGATAGACAGACAAATAACCAAATACATTTGTTTTTTAAATAATGTTGCATTTTCTGAATTTTTTTAATGAGGAGGTGGTTTTATGAATATATGTTTTTCTCAAAATTCTCGTTTTGAAACTTATTTTGAGTCCGTGATACCAAGTAAAGAGTGAAAAAATCTGATTATAAATATCTAAAACTAGGAGATATGTGCAGTTAGTACTAATGTTGTATCTGTCTATCATGGTAATGACTATCGTGACCTTGAAACTCAGAATAGATAATGCTCTGGTGTGTGAATAAGTGGATACTGCCTTTGAGTCTCAGTGAGTCACATATTTACTCTGGGATATATTTAGCTAAAGCGTTTGTCGATTTTTTTGAATAAAATTTCCAGTGAAATTGCTATATCCCTCTGTCTGAATGTAATTAAATGATGTCTTCGTGGTTGAAGTTATGGATAATACGTTGAATAGCCTACTTTCCCGTGCAACATTGTAGACAAACAAACAAATAAAAAGTGAAAATCCAAACGTAAACGTCTAGCATTTATTTTCCCTGCTGTCGTTACTTCATTATTCGTTAGTGCTATGTTTGGGGGGATTTCGGTGTCACATACAAGCGGCGAACGGAATTAAAGTTAGCTACACAACAACAGGACAAACTAAGCTATTCCACTGCAACTCAGCTCTGCTAATTATGGGAAGAGCAGATTCGGTCGGGAAAAATGCATATTCCATAATCAGTGCGAAAGATTGAACGAACAGGCACACTACTTATGCATATATATACAGAAAAACACGTCACAAAATAGCCTACAAAAATAGGCAATTAACTAATGAATCAATACAAACTGAAGGTAAAAGTGGTCGCTTTCGGCGCGAATATATGTGATTCAGATTTCCATAATGGAGTTGCAAAAATGATACGTATACCAAGTAATTTCTGGGGATCTGGCATCCCCAACAATTAGCAAACCACTGACATTTCACTTGTTTACGGAAATTTAGAAATTTTATTACTTGTTTAGTCAGAACTTTCGAAGACGAATGAAATTGGAATGGTCATAAAAATAACATCTATTGAGACCATTTTGTACAAGAAAATACTAAGGTAACTTTTTTATAATTCATACAAATCTAGGAAACGGTCTACCGAATTCAAATCATCACAGTTTACTGAGAATAGATATTACTAAGCATCATCTACTTGGCACAGCTTCAGTTGAAATCATTTAACGTTTAAATATCGAAATCAAATACATTTGAGAAATTACAATGTGCGAATTCTTCACTTGGAAGTTTTCACTGTAAAAAACTGCTATATGTTGTATGAACCTTGTGAGTGTGGCTCAAACAAAATTTACAACATTAAATTCAGAGGTACATCTATCGAAAGCGTGATACTACTAAACATCTATCGTTCTGACAGATTTATGTGTGTAATCTTACGATATCTGTCTACTATCCTGGTAAATATAATTGTTCGTCGTCGTACTTAGTTGTCTTTGCATTACTCACGTCTTGTCCTGTTGTCTATTTTGATATAAATTTTTTTGTCTACTGACGAAGTTATAGGTTGCTTTGTTGTGGTCGGTATTCGATATTATCCTTAAACTTCGTACATTGTTCGTCCTTATAACCGTTACTAGATAACGCTACCAATGGTTTATAAATCAGAAAACGAATACAAACCGTTGATCGCGTTTATTATTGCATCACGCACAGATCTCCGAAACCATAGGGACGCAAAGCAAGAATGAAAGGCTACTGCCGAAAAGCAAGTGAGCGAGTCGAATAAGTGGGATTAGTACACAGGAAAATGAATGAATCATGGAGTCAATTAAGTACCTAACACTAAACCTAGCAGAATGAACATGTGCGTAGGCGGTAAGCATGGCTCTAGCATACATATCTCTACAAGCGCAACAATAATAAAGGTACAATGGTATAGACAAGTTGTTATTGTACAAATGACTCTGTCCGTTAAATAAGTTAACAAAAGGGCTTAACCGAATTAAATGTGAACTCAAATGTACGTGACCTGCAGTAAGTTAAAGATACATCTATGGCGAACGAACATGGAATGGTTAGTTCTTCAACTTCTGTAGCTTAGTGTCAGACTGGAAAAGTAATCCTATTGACTTCTGTTAAAGTTTACTGAGGAATAACCTCGTTTCCATTAGCTAAAACCGGCTATTCAAACTGATATGTTGGTAAGAATTGGACAAAATTCTATTTCCCGTTAGTACAATTTTGTATTTCAAAATGTCTTTGCTTTCTATTTGCTCTTTGATTTTACAATATTAGTTGTTTCATACATCATCACATTCATTGCAAAAACGTTTTAATTATCTTACTCCGTGCACATTATAATTCAATGTTATACAACTCTTCCTTATTTATGCATATCCTTTCAACGTTTCACAAGTTTGTATTGTTATCACTGACATCATGTGACCTAGTATCATAGTTCTCTTACTGCATCATCACCATGTTTATTTACATTTCTCCACATGATTTCATGTTTACGTGACCCAATGGCTCTATAACAAATTAGACAAGGAAATGTTTCCGCGGGTTTTTGTGGTTTCATAAATTTCGGTAGTATTTTGTCCCATAAATGGGCGATTTGGTTGTGAACATTACCATCCAATGCTAACCATGTAGACATGTTCCTAAAATTCTATTTCCTCGTCGTTTGTCTGTCTATCGGCCACACTCAGAAAACAAATACTGTTGTGTAATAATTTTTGCGTCCAGAATTTTTATTTAGTTAAATTGACTAAAAAAACGTACGTGATCATTGAATACAAATAACTTGAAACACAAATTTTAACCATATAATGTTTTCAAAAATAAGAAATTGGGATATTTTTCTTGTTCGCATACTAAGAAAGGCCAAAACTAAAGAAATATTAAGCAAAAATATCATTTATCAAGGAAGAAGTGAGGATAGGTTATCTCCTACTTAGTAGCAAGTTTAGTGGGAGCCGACATGAACCAATTTATGTATTATTTCGTTGAACTACTTAAATAAGTTACTAGTAAGTGGATTATAGGAGAGGAAATCATCCGTCCCCAGTTAGCCTTAACCATCACCTATAATGGTATGTAGTCATATTTTTTCCAAACTCTGTATTACATGTCAGATAAAAATTGATAAAAGACCAAAAGAAAAGGAAAAGATAGTTTTTTAAGATTTTCCAATCGAATCACTAGGAGCTTTCTGTAGTTGTTTTTTTTTAATAAGTAAGAGTATTCGAAAATTCCACTCAGTGGAAGTGTAGATATAACTGGGTTAAAATCACATATCACAATTTCAAAAGAGAACACACACACACATGATAAAGTAATTTTGATTGCTTCCTTCATGCACATTAGTCAGATCGTAAAACCTATTTACTTTCTGGATAAAACAAAGGCAAGAGAGAATGAAGTGGATTTATCTGTTGCCGAATTTTCGTTTAAAATAAATTTTTCCTTATTTGGAAGATTAAATGAAAGTCTAACCAATTGTTGTCAGTTTTATTTTAAATATAAGGTTGAAGTAAAATAGAAATTAGGAGTGAATTTTAAGAATATCAATCAAGGTCCTGTAATGACCATTTAAACTCCGACCATTTTCCTCGCCAAAAGTGGCTAAAATTGTATTAAATAAAAAGAACAAACAAGATCGTTAAGTGTTTTGGCAAGGAAATAAATGAATTGTAAATACAACGTTAACTACTTTACGACTTGTCTTTTACAAGTATCTTATCGTCTATTGCTATCCTATTACTCATAGTAGAAGTAGCGACACTGAATTGTTAGGTGAACTGAGTTCATACCACATGTGGAGCATAGTTTTCTTTAAGGTCGTGGATATGTCCAACTGACATTTACAAACTTACACAATCTATACCCAGCCGAAGCATTCTGTCGACTTACTACCAACCAAAAACAGTGAGTGTGATACTGAGCCGCTCAATCTAATAGCTACATTCGAGTTTAGTCGGTGATATTCGGTTCAATCAATATGACACTGATTTCTGATCACCAATCAGTCATTCGGGGTGAATATGTCTGGGAATCGTGAGTCATGATGTGGTAACCTAAAGAAATAAGAGGGTGATCGTAATGCTTTCACAGATGATGATTTAACGATATATTCTTCGTACAATCTCTGGAGGTAATGAGTTGAAGAATCGCAAATTAGATTATTGAATATTTTCCTGATGCCACATGGTTTTAGTGACTTTTCCAGTGAAACATTTCCTGTATATGTCTCTGTTTATTAGTTTACTCGACATATTCATAATGAACACTGATAAAGATTCATTCGAGAAAGTATTGTGTATGTCCCAAGGTACTTCATACCTAATTGCGTTTTTAGCCCTGTCCAGTTAAACCATTGAATAAACCGAGATTCTATGTAATACTGTTCTCGTCTTCTTAATTTTAAGAAATACCGTTTCATTAAGTGGGATCAAGTGTACGGTTATGCACTGATTCAGTTTGATGTTCGTTTTTATTTCTACTAGTAAAGTTATGGCATTCGTTTCATAGTTACTTAAGTATAACTAGTCATCCAAAGTAAATCTGTGTTGTGATATTATTTTAAAGAGAAAATCTAGTGCTTTTGATTATAAGATTAACCCTCACCCATTAATAATGTTTATTTTTTTCCTTCTCTCCAACTGTATGAGTTTTCCTTCTGTCATAACAATGCTCGATTTCGTACAAAGTACATTAACCGTATTTTTCATAGCAAATATAAATACACATCAATAATGGGAACTGTATTATCTATAACTAAGATTTTTATTACTTTTCAATGTCCCATTCATTTATCACCTGATATCAGTTTGTGATGAACGTAAGGATTCAGTAAAATAATCTCTATTGTAAGCATCAACTTGTTAACCAAATAAATATCTGGCTATGCTAATAACTAGTAGTTAGGCACTGGCCTTTGTAGTAAACTGAGATTCATGTTCAGTGTGTCGGTTCACTAAAAAATTATTCTTTGACATTGTAGAACTAAAGTTATTCGACAATTCATCGTATCTATGATTACTCATTCTCATGAGCATAAAATGTGCGCTTATATCATTTAACTATCGTCCAGTTATATGACAATAGATGAGTTTGGTTTCGTCTCGGTTTGAAGATACAAACTTGTAGGATCTATAAATAAAGATGAGTCAGGTGTTCTCTGGTTTTTCTCATCCCACATCAATTCATGATGAAAACCAATCCTTGAACTGTGCGAAAGCTTCGCAAACCCATACAAGACAATAAGCGTTTGCACATTATATTTATTAATTAGTATGGTGATGGGTTTCTCAAAAATTTAATACTCAGTAAATTATTGAGTTAATCAGGTTCATATTTTCACTAAACTATTAGTTACATTAAATGCAAATCACGTCATAATATCAATCCAACTTAATTATTTGAGGATGTCATTCGACTCACAAAACTTTGTAATCCCGTATATATTACTATGGTCACAAATTAGAACAACAAAGTATTCACTACTCCCAGGTATTCAATTATCGCCCATTTAGTGTCTGATTATAGTTGCTTTAAGATTAGTAAAGAAATAAATTAATTCAACAAAATTATCATATCAAACATAATAATGATAGACTCACCGGTATAGCATATACAAATAATACTATTAATAGGCCAATGATAAGGAATATCAATAACCCGATAATCACCCATTTCATCTTTTTCCATATAATAAATTTGAATGTTTTCCACGGTGATGTAAACCATAAAAATGACGTTTCTGGACGTCTGAAATCGAAAGAAAAGAAAGTACAACGTTTGCATCGCAGATAGCTTTTCATGTATTTGTGAATTTGAATAAGAGAATTGTGGCAAGTTTTAACTTATCTGTTCATATTAGAATTTTAAAAAAAAAGTTTAATGAGAGATCAAGCATCATTATAGGATAAATGTTTCCAAATAAATCACTTATAAAACAAATGTTTATTTCAGTTAGTCAACTGATGTGTTCATTTATCCACTTTACTCAACACTTCATATGGTTGCATTCAGTGATTAGATTTTTAACAATTCTTCGGAGATCATGACTCATATAACATTTCCATTGACATTTATGCTTTGCTGATATGACTAGTAGGTATAATTGACTGCTAACATTTTCTACAGTCTGGATGTTGCATAGTCGATTTATCAACTTTTATCTTCCTCGTTTTCTTCATCATTTGAGTTGTGAACATTTCAGAAGTCCAAAAAATCGAATGAAGAACCCTTAAACATTATAGACTAACAGGCGGTTAAAATATACACTCAGTTCACTTTTTTATTCTTAATGCTTTAATCACGAAGTATCTTGTTGAACCACCCAGCTCCTGTCAATTTCAAATTGCAAATTATAACTTTCTCTCGAAGATAACATTCATCACCGATCGTCATCACTTAGATAACCATTGAAAGTCAAAGAGAACTACACTGCTATTTTGTCCTGACCTTAGGTTCAGCAGTAGTGCATTCTGACGGTTACATGCTACTCGTTGTTTCATGGTTTTCAGTGCTTGTCCAGTAAGTAAACGTTGGTTGCAAAAATAGTCGTTAAACTATACACAAGTCTCTATGGAACGCCTTATTACTTATTATTTGTTTAGTCTATTGTAAAAAATAGTGATTAATTTTTAATAGGTGTTATATCCCGATGAGAATAATAAATGGTATATATCGAAATCTATTTATGGACAAATACTAAACATATATTCGAATGGTACATTTGCTAAGTAACCAAACTATTCTTATTCGTGTTCCTCTTATTATAAGCTTTATTTTGAATTTTTACCTATGAACCATTCTTGAGTTGTGTCCAGTCTATCAATTACTATTTCCCACATTCACAGCCACATTTGGCTAAATCTTGTACAAATGTTATTTTCTATTTTATGGTACGATGTGGCCTGTTTGGTTTGTATATATACCCAGTATGTCTGAAATGCATGGTTCATATCGCAGAGGCTGAAATTGGTGTTCTGGACTTGACGGGCAGGGCTAGAGGGAAAGAAGGACACATAAAAACTCTAGACGGCTCGTAGGGGTTTCATTTGTCATTGGTTCGGTCAATAATTTACTGTTCTCTGATTGGCGGCATCGTCACATCATATATTGATAGGGGCACAGGTTATAACATTAGGATAAATAGTTTGTTCAACCAACTTACTTTGGTGGTTCTAAGTGAGGATTTTCATTTGGATCTTCACGTGCTTTACCAGCTGGTCGAAGATCAGCTTCTGCTTTTGTTACCAGTTCCATTTCCATTTCGATTTTACCCTTTGGTGAAAAAAAGGTTATGTGATTAGTTGGGGTGAGTGGATCAGTTCATCATGGGGTTACTTCATCTAGTCCACTGCTGAGAACTAGGTAGTACTCATCATAGTCTGAGATTGTACATAACTCCGCACTGATGAGTGTGCCTGCGATAGAACTCATTATTTTTAAACCACTTAAGTTGGAAATTCTGATCATTGTATTACGCCTCATTTATTTGTAGATAATGAGTTCGCCGCAAGATCTGGGGATTTGAGCCCTGGTAATGATACGAGCGCTCATTTAAGTTTTTCACTAGAAAAAGACAGCTATGATTTCTTTTAAGGATCAAAATATTAAGCAAATAGACGTTGAACAGAATGAAAGCAACAAACTCGATGATAGATATCACTAAAAATAGCTTATGCCAAGTTTTACATTTTGATGGATTGCGGTCTAGTTTCCATACAGATGAGCTTTACTTTGAATAGTCTAAATAACTAGCCATTATATTAACGTTTTTATTCGACTTCATTTGCTATAGCTATTTTTCGCTAATTACATTCGTCAGGCGTATATGTAAAGAATGAATAATCTTGTTTCTTTTGGAATCGCTTTTATTGAGAAATGTGTAAGATAAGAAAAGTGATTCATTAGCCATAAGTTTCATATTTAAAATAAAATCAACTTCGTTTTACTAGAAGCTATAAAATCTGGCGAGTGCGGGATCGTGGATGCGCACTGCTGAGGAGTCCCATAATAGGACGAAACGGCCGTCCAGTGCTTTCAGGTTTTCGATGGTGGTCTAGCTTCAATTGACCGATGATTTCAACTATGAAAATACTAAATTCTCCATAAAACCCCCTCTGAACTATAAAATCCCTTTATTTATGTTAGATTATAAAATAGTCAATAAAAGTTTATGATGAGCATGTTAATATTACGAGGGATTCAAAGTAATATCCTGAAATCAGTTACTATTCGTTAACGTAAGCACAACTCAAAAGGGAAATATATTAAATAACAAATAATAATCAATTAAACTTAGGTATCCTTTCTTCGTTTTTTTTCTTTTGTAAACTTACAGTTAAAAGTGGAGTTCCACTTTCCTCATTAACAAATGGCCAAAATCCATTCAGTCGTCGACATTCAAATAAGTTAACCAATTTCGTTTCATTACCAACAGATTGTAACATATTCAGTGAACATTTACCACGTGTTTTTGATGGACTAGGCATATTAGATAAATTTAATTCTAATGTCCCAATGAAATCATCCGGTGAAAATAAATCATTATCCCAAACTTGCAGTACTAATTGTGGACGAACGCGTTGTTCTGTAACATCCATAGACCAAAAGTGTTCCTTACGTTTAATAACTATGTTATTTTCAGCTGGTAAGTAAAAAAATGGGAATACGAAACGCCAGTTGAAATTCCCTTCACCGTTTAGTGATCTGTAATGAACATCAGTTTTTTGACGATCGTCTAAACCAGCTAACCACCCCTAAAAATAAGGATAAAAAGCATTTGGTATTTAGTAAAAAACATTTTTGAACAAATATATTTCAAAAATTAATTGATTTGTGGCAATGGGAGGATTTATATCAACGAACTAAACGTATAAGTATGTTTTTTTGAAGGGATATTTCCTTGTCATGTTTACTCTGATGCATTTACTCGTTATTTACCCCGAATGATAGATTGACTTATTACTTTTTTTCAATATGTTCCTGTGACCCACTTTGATCCGCGTACCTGAGTAGTATTGTAGTATTGATATCTGAAACTACGGTACTCAAACATGGGTTGTGTTATTAAGAGATACTCTGAAAAAAATTATTCTATGGTAATTTATATACAAATCAAATTATACAATCTACTTAAGAGTTCAGTAATTTTTTATTTCACGAAGAAACCATTCGCTGTCAGTAATAAGGAGTGTGAAAACTGTTGAAGGGTGTTATTATTTACTTATTTGATTCAAAACTAACTGATTTCTTACTTACTTTAACATAAATATCGGACATTTGTTCACCAGTTATTGATTTCTCATCTAATACAACATCGAATGTATTCCATACAACTAAACGTAATATATATTCATTTGGTTCTCTTGGTGAAATATCGAATGGTGGGCCAGGTTCACCTAAGGATGTTGGAAATATATCAACCCACATTTGTAATTTACCCTGAAAGAGACATTGTGAGAAAAAAGATTTATAAACATATGTCATCTTATTAAAGTTTAGTTCTTAGTGTAAGCCATAAAATAATACGAATCCATATGAAGAAGCATCTTACCCTCTGAACATTTTGGTGAATATCTAGATGTTAACATCAATCTGTAACATTATCTAGTTCATACTGTTCATTCATTTCTATCAGCCAAGTTATAATGTCACCATTAGTCTGTGTACCTTGACATGCGTATGTGTCATATGGCTAGGTGATTGAAGGTTAATAAGAAAAAGCTCTGGGATTCACGACCAATATAAAGATCGCGATTTCTTAAAAAAATTGAAATATTCTGTCACTTCAAATATACAGAACAAAAAATTTCACAGGAACTCTAATGTTCAGAATATTCCCCGTGTATAAGGCATTCACTTTCAAGTCAGATAATGTTAGTAAATCTAGTGAATCTGTCGAATGATCATTTACTTTATAAGTCAAAGATATCTGATGTGGTTAAACAATTGAAGTCTTATAGTTTAGATGATATCTGAAAGTCTAGGAATTGTGATAATTTGACTAAATGATGTGTTGCAAATCAACCTAATCATTCACCTGGTTGTTCATATTATTTTTAGTCTCCTCAAGTCAAATGAATGATCTATTGTCTTGTTATCTAAGAAAGACTTATGTAGTTTTCAACTAAATAAAATGTCAACATGGTCAAAACTAACTTATATATGACTGTTCATCTTCTTAAGCATATCAGTTATGTAACAATGATTCTTCAAAGAAATCGAATTAAAATTGTGTTTGCTAACTTGATGGATTTCTTCACATGTGCTGATATGACACGACCAACTTTTCTATTGAATTTCTTGAGCGATATTCTTTTTTCATAAAAGTAGAAAGGTATACAGCTCGACATTCGGGTTAGATTTACTTAACACTAACTTTAGGTTAACCCTTTACGCCAGATAATACATTATCCAATATCAATTATCAATTAAAGTTCGCTTAACTAACCTGTTCAATATTAGGCTGTAATGGACTATACAACAATCTTGTTTCAACGTGTTCTTTTACCAATGGAAGTTTATTTAAAATATGTAGGGCCAAACGTTCTTTCGGTGGTCCTAAATGTGGATTTGGTACCAAACCACGCTCAAAATCTTCCAATACAAATACGCGTTGACCAACACGGCAACTTGGATTTGGTTTACTTTCTGTTGTTTCTCCGTACTGTGGAGCTGGTAATGAATAACTATCACATACAGCTAGTAATATTTCACTTGGTAATTTTGAATCTCTCCATTGATTTGGTCCAGAAACACAGTAAGATTGTGGTAGGCCACATGTCGCTCGATATTTTGTTAAACGTCTGTTTTCCAAATCAATATCTGTTTGTCCTATTATATCATCTGCACCGACCGCATCATAATCTTTCACTATAACGTGTAGTTCTTTTTCAATAGGTAAAATACACTTCATTTGGAACATTCTAAAATAATATATAAACATAATGAAATGCTATGAGATCAAATTTGGGAAAATTACAACTTCAGACAAATTAGCTGATAAAAAATTTCACCGTTTTCATGCTCTTAGAGCACCAGTTATTAATATGGAGGGTGGAAATTATTCTTGATAAGTAGATTCTAGATTCATCTAAGCTTTAAAAAATTTATTTTGTTTTCGGTGCTATGCAATCTGTAAATAAATATGTACCTTTTTGTATAAGATGGACAGTTTCTGTTGACCTGTTACCCTGTCCTTTGATACTCATTCATTGAAGAGAGATAGATTTTGAGCAGACAATATGATTTTATGTGAACAATAGTCGTTCGTCCATGTTACTCAATGTTATTCAAGTGATTGTGATCTACGCAATTACGCATCATTTATGATAGATTACATACAGTTTACTGATAACTAGTACTTCATCGAAATCAAATTCAGTTATACTAATTTGTTGAAATGAACCGCTATATTGGAAGGTAGAACTAATGATAAAAGATTGTCCTTTACGGTTGAAAAACGCAATCGACCATAGATTCGAAAGTTTTGTAAATGATTATAGGTGGGGAAATTGTTTAATCGGAGAGTGATATTTATTATAGACTAGGATAATATAGTAAGTCTCTGAAAAATAAGAAACACTAGACAGTTGTTTTGTTCTAATTCTGTAATCCCCATAAATACTCACCTACAAATGTATATTCGACGGTGTCCGGAACAGCCGATCTACAGAATATCGGTGGCTGATGAGGATTCAAAAGAGAAACCAATGGATTCCACCTCATTATTTGAAAGCATAATAGTTCTAGTTTTAATCCTGTTTATAATCTCGGATGGAATGTCAAGTGACAAATGACTGCCACTGACTCAGTCAAGTAAATTAAACATTAGAATTGTAAGAAAGTCTAGTTACAAAGTACGTGTAAATATGCTTGTAATGGTTATTTGGTCAACAATCCGTTAGTATCTGACGTTTAGTCGAACTAACAATCCTAGTTGGCGCTCATAGAAATACAAACCTTTTGAATAGAGGACTAGATTTAAATTTCATTTTATGAACTTCAATTACTGAAAATATGGTTAGCGCTTTTGGTTAGCGTTTTTTTAGCGAGTTGGATTTCTATGGGATGGGGTCGCTAACCCCATGCCCAACCCTCCTCCGGGATTGGGCTTGGCAGTAGCCCCCGGAGGAGCTACAGGCGGAGTCGTGTATCCTGGCAGCGACACTGAAAATATGGCTTAGAGAAAAACCATTTACTTCATACTAGAAAAATATTTACGACTGGTACTCTTCTGCAAAGTAGTTTCCTCTATATAATAATACTATATGATCATAAAAAAATATTCTTCTCAACGGAAACTTACTTTCCGAATTCTGGATTTAAAGTATTCGGGAGATATTTATCTTTCGAATTAACTTTATGCTGACCTACAATGATTTCCACATAAGGATCAGCCTAAAACGTTTGGGAAAAAATAATACAAATAAGGTTATTATGAAAATGAATTGAGTATTTAAACAAATAGAGAATAAACGGTGTTTCTACTGTTAAGAATATATGTGTGATAGTAATAATAAGTCAATAAGTAACAATGTCGTATTGTTGAATTATTAAAAAGGATTGAACTCTACTGACAAAGCTGCAGTGAGTACACTAGTTACAACTGATCAATAATGTCTTAAATCTAATTTCCGTACCAGTTAGCTCTTGTCAAGTCACAGTATCTTCAAATCTCTTTCCAAATGGATTCGAGCTCATTATTGCGTTCCATTTATGTTTACGTTTAATTTTGTTAACCCTTCAATTAACTTATAGTGACATTTGAACAGTACAAATCTTATTAATCCATTCGACTCTCGATACAACTCTTTACTCGCTCGCTCACATTATCGTTTCTGCTCAAATTCGCTTAGCGTGTCTATGGCTATAGTTAACGCTTCGAAATTGTTTCCTGAAGTTTATACACCGTTGGGAGTTATCTAATAACGGTTATTAGGACAAATGACAAACGGAGCCTTAGGAATTATCTCGAAAACAATCCACAGTACTGTAACATCCAGTATAGTAGCCAAAGAAATTCCCTGTAATCAATTCGGAATATGAATGATTCCTAAATGCCTGAACTATTTACACCAATCGGTAACTTAGTATCGATCAATCTCATATTGTCCAGTTCTAAGTGCTGATCTAATTTAAATAATCATCTTCGGTTCATTCAAGATTACGCTTTACTCAATAGTGTCATGTAGCACAACCTGAGCCCAGGGCTTTCAGTGGACTACCTCAAGGTATCCAGCGATGGTGACAGGCATTATGCTCTATGAGCAAATCAAATGACATAATTATTGGTGTTTTCAAGCTTAGTTAACATAAAATCTTTTAAGAAAGCTTCATATTGATTAAACAAAATTTTGTCAACATGACGGACTGAACAAAAGCACACTGCATCTATTCAGTGATTAATTGATGTATATATTATTACCGAACTTCAGCGATTTATACTGTTTATTTTAAATTATGTTTGATGAGGTAAAACCGAGTATACTGAAGGGACTTGCATATTCAACCCAATTATGAACTTATCATAAAGTTAGAATAATTTCAGAACTCGGAGAAGCTATTTCGCTTAATGTTGGGATCTCATGAAAGTATACCCACTGACTTCATATGAGTTCGAACCCAGAAATCTCAGTCTATTCTGAGAAAATGGTAGAAATCAGCCGTTTGGTCGCCATCCAATACACATGGTACATTGTCCGACTTCAGCTTATCTGGAATGTAGCATAATATATAGCTGACTTTAAGCATTTTGTTTTGTTTTCGCTAGAAACTGTTGTCATCAAATGGACGAGATTACAAGAATTCATCGATTAAACAGAAACCACAAATGGTATACTTATGGTAAGTCTGAAGGGACTAAAAATTGCTATGGGCTATTTAAGTCAAACAACCAACAACTGTACCGATGTACTGTTCGATTCATTCGTTGAATATTCGCCTATTTAGCTTCAAATATCATATTAGAAGAGTGTTTGACTTTAACCTCAAACGTTGTTGAATTGAAGGCGTGTTTAAATTGTAGTTCATTAGCTCGATCTCTGGTGAGTTCGTATATACTTTGAAGTCCATAGTTGAATATTAAGTGTTCCGTTAATGGAAAAGCGTATCGAAACAACAGTGCTTCAAACCAGATTAGACCATAATATGATGATAAGTTGGTAAGTTAGGTTCAAATATGGGTGAGTAACAATGATCAAGTTGGTCTTTCACCTGAACAAAATCATATAAGTTATTTATAAATACTCATAGATTTTGGGCTCTTTTATCTAGCTATTTGTAAATCCAACTCTGTAAGCAGTTCCTGGGTTTCTCTCTGTCTAGGTGGATTAGTGAGGCTTTAAAACTGCGAACAGAGTAACAAAATCGGACAATAAGCTATGACAAGAACAAAAGTATTGAAACTATTCACTCACTAATCCGGATGAATCTGATGGTTGTAAATCAATTGCGCGTATAATGTACACACGTAACATACATTCTTCCGGATCAGATGATACACTTAATTTCTCAAAATAACGTATTGGTAATTGTTCTTTAGGATCTTCTGGTAATGGATAAATACGAAATGTCCCTTTAAATTCACCGGCATAATTATCCTCATCCTCATCAACATTTTTACCTCTCGATAACGTGAATGTATTACAGAAATCCGTAAATCCATTAAATCCTTCCACATCTTCTAATGGATGAGAATAAACCTGAAACATATGCAAAAACAGTAGATGCTCAAGTTTTGGAAATGAATTGAAAATAAACTTTGCTTCATGAATATATATATATACCCCTACCCTTATTATGTATTGACTGTCATTGATGGACTGTTCCTTGTTGTTGGATTGTGTCGGATTTTGTTGTGGAAATATAGTGACTTTATAGTCAGGCTAATCCCGTGTTCTCGATCTGAGTTGTGTTGAAGTCCTGTAGAATAGACACTGAGTGGGAATCTAGTGTAGATATTCGTCCAAGGTAAATTAACGTCCCACTTACGTGTAAAAAGTGAAAGGACTGTTATAAAAAGAAACCCTAGCGTTATAACAAGTACCCTACGTTTATAGCAGATTCATACATACAAGCGCGTCTTGTCTAATATCACTAATAGAAACAGATGAACCAAAGATTGGACTTGAAAGTTGAACCTTTTAATTACTAAGTAAATGCTTCATTTATTAGTCCAAAAAAGCTAATTATTTCCTGGAACTTATATCCTGTACGCATCACTTCAACCGCCAATGGTTTATTTACTAAGCTAGAGATCATAGTTAATTACTGAATGTCAACAATAGGATAACACAAATTATTATACACATTGAACAAATCGGTAGCTATGTGAACTCAATAATTAAACCATTAGTGTTTGGAGCGATACGTGCTGCGTTGAAATCTCAGTTTGGACATTAGCACGAGTAAATATTTATATCGAACTGGCGAGTCCTAAATAATAAGAATCATGTTATATCCGGATGAGAATTACTGAATCGTAACCCCTAGTAATTATTTATGGACTAATTTTATACATATACTCTTATTGTACGACAGTTAAGAAACTTTATATATTTAGATTCCTCTTATTATAAGCTTATATTTGATCTATTGGTTACTGTCATATGATTTGCTATTCACAAGTTATTCACAATCTATCAGTCACAGGTTCTCACAATCACAGCCACTTTTTTGCTTGATCTTTTACAAATGTTATTTTCTATTTTGTGGTGGGATGTGGTCTGATTTCGCTTGTATATAAACCAAGTATGTTTGAAATTTATGATTCGATATGACAGGTTCTGGACTGAATCAGCCGGGTTAGACGAGAAGCTGTTATCTCAAGGATCAATAAGAACTCTAGGCTGCTCGTACTGGTTTATGCGTCATTGGTCTAGTCAATAAGTCGTTGACTCTAAATGGTGATCGTATCGCATGATATACTAGCAGGGCACAAGGGTTAAACGTTATAAAAAATCGGAATACATGGATTCTGTTTTTAGTCACCATCCAACCTAACTATCAAATAAAAGCAATAGTGGGAAAACCCTCTCGGGTTGCATATATGCTAACAGAGACCGATCGAATGCAGTCCTTAGAATTAACAACAGCAAAACTTAAACCTCTATCTAGGCAATAATTTCTTGTCAAGTTTCAAGAAAAAAATCTATACCTTCTTTGTTTGCAAATAATCGATAAAGAGACAATAATCATCTCTGGAACTAACACGTTTATGCAAGTAACCCATAAGCTGACTTTTAAAACTCAATCAAAGATTTTGGATTATTTACTATTCGAATACATGATAGTTTGTATTAGTTTATCGTTTAAATTAATTCTCATATTTCATGAAATCACATAGGACTAAATAGTCAAGAAAACCCATTCATAAGTTATGGACTATATATTGATCTTCACGTTTTATTTAACGTTGAAAAGTCAACATTACCACTAGAGAAATAATAAAATAGGTTCTAAAACATTTGAATTGATCATTCTATATCTAAACATTTGAAGTGTTCATACCACTGTGTCATATGTTAAACTTATGAAAATAAGTGGCAAGGTGACATGTTCATAGACTATCTTGATATTGATAAGCAAAGACAGATAGTGGCTAGCAGTGGAATCAAGGACGCACGTTTTGTCGTATTTGGGTTCGTCAGATGGATGTACCTGCATATCAGAGCTGATGTTCACTCTGGAACTCGAACCCAGTACCCTCGCTTCAAACGCCATTGCGTTATCCACTCTGCTACTGAGTCCTAATGGCCATTTGCTTGTGCGTTGGGGTGAAGTTTAAATTCATTTAGTTTTGTTTGTTTGAATCTTCCCATCGATGTGTTAGGACTGCAACTGGTCAATCTCTAATTGACATATGTGCATACTGTGCATATTGCCTCGATATATGCCAATTAGAGACTGACCAGTTGCAGTTCTAACACATCGATGAGAAGATTCAAACAAATAATACTAAGTGAATTTATATTAATATTAATTGATAAGTAAATTTCCAGTTTAAAAAGAACAACAAATGGCTTATCTAAAATTAATAATCACCAGTACATATATAATCAATATTAAATGATGAAACAACTTACACATATTGTATCATAACCAAACTCTTTATATTTTAAACATTTATCCCATTCACCAATCGATGCATAGAATTTCGACCACCAATCTATTTTGTCATCAATTTGTTTAAGATCCATCTAAATGAAGAAGAATAGTCATACTTTAGAGATAATAATAATAGGGAGGATATTATCATAAAAACTTTATGTGTGCACATATGTACACATGTATTGTTTTTAGAAGAACTACTTAGAATTAGATAGTTTTATTTTACTGAAATAAATCTCTCCCTTGTCCTACATCTAGTTTAAGTCATATCGTTATCATCATATCGTGGTATGGATTTGTCGAGCGAAGGTTTATGTACTTATTTCACGAACCCCACTGTTTGTATGAAATCTATCATTACCCTTCAGCTGCTTAAAACAGAGATATGCGGCACAGCACTAAAGTTATCAATCTACTGGCTGAAAGCCAAGTGTTTTGACCGCTAAATCAGTTCAATATCGTACATGGTTCAAACTATCTCGTGTAGAAAGAATAAAACAGATGGTTAAGTAATTTACTGTATATTTGGTGAATTATTTTTAAGTCGTTTATCCAAGATATTTTTAGACGTTACTTTCCTATCTGTATCAAAGATTCGACGAAACTAACAGTCGTCGATATCTCTCTATAACAAATAAAGATTCTAACAATATTCAACATCCAATGTAAGATTATCAATCCTAAATAATACTACACAATGACTTGGAATCAAAACTGGAAATATGCATTCAAACATTTCATTATGAGGTGTCTGTCTGAAGAGAATTAATGTCAAGTACATTGAAATAGACTTTAAAAAAAGGTAATTAAATAAGAAACAAAAAGAAATCATCCGTGAATTGATGTATGTGTTATACACTAACAGATGAAAACAAAGATGTGCTTATACGTATGTGTGAAAAAATGACTCAACAAACAAGACTGAAATATAGGTGCATAAAATGAAAAGAAAACTAACTAAATTATGAACTGTAACATTTCAGAAAATATATAGAATTGCAATACTCTCATAATCGAAATAAGTACTTTAGAAAAAAGTAAAAGATAACTGTCATTTGAACCTTAAACCCAGTTTATAGTTTCGTCTTTCAAGTACATTGAGGTACTTAGGTGTTCAATAATTTTAAAAGTGCGATTAAAGAGAGTGAAAATCAGACCGAAACCCGAAAATCACATTTTTCCAAGTGACCAGTAAACAATAGATAGAACTGTAATAAAAAGTCGACAAGTTGTTTATTCACTAAAATTGACCAGGACCTGGATTTCTAAGGACTGAACCTTCTTGGATTTTAGAAATTTCCACTTTTTTCTAGGCTTCTGTTCAGCAACAATACCGGTAACAACTTTGACTCTTTTCGGATGTGATAAATCCTCAGAAGGTGTCTAGATACAAAAAATTTGTGTTGAATTTTTTTAAAGGTAAACAACCATATGTGTGTTTCATGCGGTTATTAACTATCGAAATCTACTAGAATTGAACAAAATCTATCTGCACTTATACTTGATAAGGTTTAGTATTCTTCTTCTATTTCTCATTTCATCATGTATTGATATCAACTGAGAAATATTTAATATTGAGGGGGCATTCGTCAGTTTATATAGTCTACTTTGAGATTCCTTAGCAGTTCCAACCATCGACACCGGACGAGAACTAGTCAAGAGCTTCACGTTTTACTGGTGTTTGACAACGGCGTTTACTTAATTCATAAATTTCATAGTCCCCAACAACAAGCATGAAACGTTACTAGGTTGGATTTCAAAAGCACTGGTTAGTTCTAAGTTGATTTTTATCATTGGCAAGAATCAGTTAGATTAATATTAGGGACCATTAGGTAATTAATAGTTAACAGTCACACTGAGAGTTAGATTTTCCACCACTTCCTTACCATAATATAATGCTAAATCATGATAAAGGGCCGGAGTACATCAAAGCCTAAACCAATGATGGGGAGGGAAGTAGTTATGTACACCGGATCCTTCACTTGTTTTGTAAGTTTCGACAGCCCTGATAGGGTAGTGTCTGATGAAACCTTGATGTGAATTAAGAAAGTTCGGTTGAAATTTGCCTGCTTACATTACTTTATCTATAAGTAAGATACACAAGTCCTTCCACCAAAGGATGAATAAAGTGCTTAGTATCTTTCTGTCTCATTTCATGGCTGTAAAGTGTGGCTTTAAAAAAAATAGAGGATAGTCGTGGGCTATTAGTATTGGTCATGGATGCAATGGAGTATGTTTGGATCATTGAGTGAGCAGGGCGATAGGTAAAAACACTAAGTCGATTGGTGAGATCGAATTTCTGTCGACTGAAGTGTGTGAGGTATATACTGTGTATCCTTGACTACCGCTCATCTCGACTAACAATCATAGGTAGTGTAGAAATAGACTGGAAGTAAGGTAATGGTTGTCTGACTATAATGTATTAGCGGTATATGAAGTCACTGGATGTCGAAATAAGTCATGTTGGTATTTTTAGACTACCTGGTTAAGGTAAACGTGATTATCATAAACAACTGTTGGGGACGGTGATTATCATGGTTTGGATGAAATCTTTGTTTATCTTCACTTTGTTTTTGGGTTTCGAAATTTCGTCACACATTTCTGTTTCACAATCACACTCTTACCGTCCACCTCAAATCATTTCTGCTAGCGTTGATACTTCTAGCGTATCTATTACTCTAAAGTTTATCGTGATTACTTCTTCATGAACCAATGCTTATTACTGACTGAGTGACCTTAATGTGAGCAAATATATTCTCTGCCAAACTATTGTTACTTGCAATCAAACACATCTTGACAAAATTTCGATAAACCAGCTTCTGTAAAGGATGCTATTTTGTCTTGAATTGGATGTTTGTTCAAACGATACTATTTTGCATAAAAAAATCGTATACTTTATATATATATGGAGTTTTGAAATGACTTTAAAATACGACACTTTCACTTACAAATTTTTTCTTTTGTTTCGATTTCGATTTAACTGGTGATTGAAGCTCTACTTTAGGTTCAGCTAGACAAGGCTCTTGTGTTGAACAAGCAATATCAGTTAAGACTATTTTTTTTGGAGGAGAAAAATCGAGGGAAAAGAATGAAACGATTCATATGAACAAAGTCAGTCTGAATAAATTTTTATTATTATCATTGTTCCGTTAATTCATTAAGAGATTTTTAGCTTAACAACTGTTTTCATTATAAAAAAATGATATTATCTGTAGAGATTATCACATAGTTCTGATGATCTTCGTCTTCTTATTACACTATCAAAATTAATCTGTAGAGAATTATTTTAAATAAGGAAACATTAACTAATTGTTTTGTCCTCCATAGCAGTATAGGCCTATATCCAAACACGTGGAATCGAAAACGATAGAAATTTAGATCAATCAATGAGCTTGTTAGTTTCAGACAATCGAATTGAATTCCATTTGTCTAGATATCAAATTTTAGACGTGTTTCAATGTCACAGGTTCGTACATGTTTAACAATAGATATAGATAGATTTTGTTTATACGTCTAGTTACTGGATTATTGATAACTGAAAACATGAGTCAATTGAAGCTAGATCACATTGGGAAACCTGGAAACACTGGACGGCCGTTTCGCCCTATTATGGGACTCCTCAGATGTGCGCATACACGATCCCGCACTCGCAAGGCTCGAACCCACGACCTACCAGTCTCGAGCCAGTGCCCTTAACTGATAGACCACTGAGCTGGCATCCAACTGTGTTAATGTCTAACTTCAACTGATCCACGAAGTTGAGCAGCCATTCACCAATTGTCTTCAGTGAGTTCCTATCTCACGACAGACGTGGTTTGCACTCCACTGGTCATTGATTCTCACTAGAGCTCCTGGATGTAATTCCCGAAGTCACTAGTGATCATATGATTATATTAATTATCAGAAGGGGTTTTGTGGAGATTTAGTATGCTTCATAGCTGATAATTTTCAAAATTCACTTTCATTATGAGCATACTATGTAGATTTAACATTTGAGTTAAGTATCAGAAAATAAATAACGATACCGAAAAAGAGTTAGCCAAACACATTTTTTACTCATTGTATAGTAGAAATAGAGTAGTCGAAGTCCAAAATTATCTTTTAAAATAACACTGGTGTTACAATTCAAATCCATTGAAAAATCAAGAATGCATTTGACAGAATAAATTCAACAAAGATGGAGTATGAACATTCAAGAAATAACAACACTTATGTCCAGTTTTCTGAGCTAAGTGGTCTAATCATGAAAGTACGCGACAATATGGTCATGACAAACTCTAAGCACAGGTGAACGATATAATCTTAACAAAAAAATAAACAAGCATTAGTTAGACAAACATTGGTTTTGTATTCATGCTGCCATTTATTTTATTTACAAAGACAATACAAGCTTTACGACTAAGCTATCCAATTCAAATAATACAACAAGAAAATATTCCTGATGATCTACATATCTGTAATTAGTATTTATAAATAAAATATATTTGTAATATCTTAACAATAAAATTTTTGTTTATTTCCTTTGTACTATTTGTAATTGGATTAATTTTGATTCGGTAATTTATTCTCTGAAGAATTGGCTTAAACTGAGTCACGAAACTTCAGAAAATCTAATTTTTCTACTCATTTGGATAATACAAATATATTATTTTATTTACAACAAACTATCCAGTACTCAATTTATTCAAACTTATCAATTCAAACCTTGGTAATGATACCTAGTTAGTAGTCGATTCAGAAATCGACGTTTTATTCAGATAGTTGATAATGTAGATAATCATTATGATTAGTGGTAGCTAGAACCTCACCTATGCTACTATGTATTACTACTTTCCAACACATAAATGTGCATCAATCTTGACGTGGTCATTCATGCATTTCACGATCTATTCTTCTTCATATTACTAATTCGGTTACTTTTAAAACTTTCATCTAAGCTTTATAAACAAAGGTTTGTTTATATTTCTATTGATAATTGTCATTTAGGGCTGCATGAAACTGATGATAAACCCTGAAACAGAATTAGTTCATTTTGTCCTGTATACGTTGTTCTTATTGTTCTATTGAAAAAATCATCAGGAGATCTTGTTGCATAAAATCATTTATCTGTTGTGATTTTAGTTCGATTGAAAGGTATATGAATAGTTGTGTTACTGTTCAGCTATAACCCTTCATCATAGTTACAGTGCAGGCAACATCTGATATTTACAGCACTTGCTCGGTAAGCTGACGTATTTGTAGCCGATTAACGTGATGCCAGTGAAAAACTATTTATGTCTTGCAGCTAATGTCAGTCAAATCCCTAACTTCCTTCAAATCACGACCCTTTTAAAAGTCACATATTCTTTATGAAATGATCAAACACTGGAAGTACAGTCCTTACCTTGTATATCCATTAAGACATCTGTTTGTGATGTTCTTGCTGGTACTTTGAATGCTTGAAAATCTGTTAAAACATGTACACCAACCATTGGTCTCTGTCCAAATGCTCTGTGATCACGTACACATATATTCATCGGTGGCAAATAAATTTCTTCTTTTGGCAATAAAACATCTAAGAATAATAGTGGCGATGCAAAATTTGGGTTTTTTTTCACACTTTTTATGATTGTTGATTCAACTACTTTACCACCTATTTCAAATTCCACTGACGGTGAATTAACACTAGCTAGTTTATATTTACGCATTGCTCGGACACCCCAACAAAGAATTTCAATGCCAGTACGTTGGAGTACCGGACGTATACCTTCGGGTACATTAAACAAAGTACCGCGACGTGTAGGTGGTGGTGGTGGAGATTTACCATCAAGCTGTAAGGATGTGTTATATTAAAAGGAATAAATAAATATGTATGTTTAGTCGAAATAATTATAACTTATCATTTTTCAAAAATTTCTCTTGAATTTGTTATTCAGTCTATTTTTTAATAATCATTTATCATGAGCATGTGATATGTTTAATACCTGATTGGTGGTGAACTTCGAACTCGTGTTTGTAGTTCAAAGGTTACTAGCGCTTCACCCTAGATACTTTTCAATAATTGGCTGCGTGTGGTGAAGCAAACAAATAACCAATGCTAAGGTTAGATCTAAAGTACTAACTTAAGATGGCAAATCAGTCGAAAGGACAATGAATCTTTATTGACAAAGGTAGTCGGAACATATTAAATTTATACCCAGTCAACCCGTACCTAGACAGACAATGATGAGTAAAGTAAAAAACGGGTTGGAAGAAATCCAGGGGTGGCCAAACCAAGATTTATTAATAATCCATGAAGTTGTCAACCGCTGATTTGAGCCATATCGGTAAATGCAGATTAGTTAATTAGGGAAACTATGAATAACAATGACTGGAGATCATAACTTAACTTATGAGATTAAATAGTTTTACACGCTTCCGTGGCTCGAATTCATTCAAACCATCTTCTGTATTACATCCTTTTACACTCACTAGAATATACGTAGATACACACGACACAGTCTCTCGAAAAGCCACCTTGAATTGAAAGAAATGATATTGACATAATCAGAATTGATTTGTGAATGTGTTGAATATTTTTGCTCTGTTGTTCCGTTATACTAATTAGACTTTTGTCATTTAATTAGTATGTCTTTTTGGTCTCCGAAGAACGGAATTATACTAAGTCGCGAAATGTCAGAATTTCAATTTCTTACATATATTACGTATATATTACTTTATAATCATCACTAGTACAACCAGTGTTCAATTCATCGGAAATTATCATGTCAAACCGCGGTAGTGATACTTAGAACTTGTTCAATTTTGTTTACAAAACATTGACACAACTGTTGTTTTGTCATCTTTTGTTGGTCATTTTATTAATTTCATTTTGCTGTACTGGTATGGTATGGGAACGTAAACTAACGAATATATACAGTAAGTGCGAGGTTGATTATTAATGATCGATCGACTAGCTCATGGTAAAATAAAATGATTTGTATAAATAAACTGAATTATATGACTTTAAATCCGTAAAAATCCTTTACAAGTATAACTGCTAATAAAATGGTATATTCATGGAAAACTTTAGGATAAGCTATCTAATCCCTGTAAATCTCCAACCACTTAAACAATAATCGTAAGCTCACTAGTGATTATTCCCTGGAAGAGTTCACAAAGTTTTATTGAGAAATTGTGATCGGAATGATTCATTTATATCGTTTTTTGTGTGATTGCATCTTTATTGTATAACTATCGATTAACTGGATTATATATAATTTATATTCATTATAAGCTTTCATTTGACGTATTGGCTACTATCATACGATTTACCATTCTTAATTTATTTTCAATCTATTTGTCACAGTCTCCCATACTCCCAGCCACTTTTGGGTTGATCATGTAAAATTATTATTTAATATTTAATGTTATAATGCTATGTGATCTGCTTGTATATAGAATGGGTAGGAAGAAATATAGTATTCATACAGTGGAGGTTGATATTATGTTGCTGCTACCTTGACGTGGTGGTCGGGCTTGCCTATCGTGATGAAGCAATCGAGCTATGCTGACTGGAACAATCGTTCCTCAAGGTCCTACCATGCCAGACAGGTCGGTTGAAGAGCGGTGAGACTAAAAGCAGCAAACCCAAGGTCCGAAGGCGAAGTCGTACTGCTGACTGTACAGAGGTGTGAAAGCAGTAAGGTGTTTCCTTCAGACAACCAGCATGACAGCGATGCTGCCTTCCCACAAGGAGGGGTGGGGTGAGAAGAGGTCGACCCTAAAAATGCACACTTCGCCTTATCTCACGGATTTCCGTCTCCGGCGGTAAGGACTTTTGAAGAACGAAGCTAACACGTCAAAAATCCTCCACAAAAAGGCCGTGTGTGACTGACCTCAAGCAGTTGTCCCTTGGGCACTGCGGTCACGCTCCCAGGTCGTTAAGACCAACACTAATCCAACTTCTTTTTCAGGTTCCTCAAGAAATACCCTTCCACGGTGTGGGCAGCCGGGAAGTGATACATGCCCCATACCCTTAACTGCACACGAGACCAAGTTGCTCGCTTTCAGATCCTTCCTACACCTAATAACTCTCTTATCTCCACGACTAACCCTTCCCACGTCCTTTTATCACCTCGCACCGCTAGGGCAAACGATTCCAGTACACAAAACGTTATTCCTGGTCTCCTGAAACCACGCTCTAAACTACATATAGGAACTTTTAATGTCCGAACATTGTGCCAAATAGGACAACAGGCTTCCTTAGTTAGGAGTCTAGAATCTTACACTATCGATGTGTGCTGCGTCTCCGAAACGTGCATACAAGATCCGAGTAGTGTCATTCATTTGACCGCACCTAATCAAAATAAAGATTCATCTCGATACACGCTTCGTGTATCTGGAAGCCCTGATGCTATTTCCCGTGGCCTAGCTGGCGTAGGTATAGCATTAAGTCCTAGGGCAGAACTAGCTCTTTTAGACTGGATCCCAGTAGACAGTCGTCTATGCACTGTCCGATTAAACAGATCAGTAAGGACTCGGAAAGATAGGGAAACTCATCGTTGCCTCTTCGTCGTCTCTGCCTACTCTCCCACTGACTGCAGCTCAGACGATATAAAAGATGAGTTCTACAGGAAACTTTCTGACCTTCTCCGAAAAGCTAGGCGTTCTGATGTAGTAATAGTAGCAGGTGACTTTAATGCTCAAGTAGGTAAACTAAGTGAAAGGGAAAGACACCTGGGTAGATCTTATGGTGTCGTGGCTAAAAGAACAGATAATGGCAACCATCTGTTGCAGCTGTGCTCAGATAACCGCCTATTTCTTGCAAATACTAACTTTAAGCATAAACAAAAACATCTTTTGACATGGCGACCCCCGAATTCGTCCCAACGTTGGACCCAATTAGATCACATCGCTTTCAGCCACCGATGGAGGGGCTCGATAGAAGACTGTCGCTCATTCTGGGGCACATGTTTAGATTCCGATCATGCTCTAGTGCGAGCACGTATCTGTCTGCGTCTTACTGGTCGTAGGAAAGACACTGCAGGGAAGCCTCTAAAGGTTCTACTTAATGATAGGCAAGCTAAGAATATATTTCAGGAACAACTAGAAAAACAGTTAGGCAGACATGTAAGTTTTGTCCACCCCGAGGCAGCGTGGAACGACATCCAAAAAGCTGTGGAAAGAGCAGTGATATCCGCTAGTAAGGTAAACCATAATGTTAGGGAGAAACAATGGATCTCGGCAACATCTACCGCACTGATAGATGCTCGAAAACTCATCCCACCTGACTCTGAACATAACGAAAAGCGGAGTCAGCTTAAGCGCAGGCTAATAAGAAGCCTACGCAATGATCGTGAACAGTGGTGGGTAGCAGAAGCAAGAGAGATGGAAAAGGCAGCGGCAATAGGTAACAGTAGGCAGCTATTCTGACTCGTTAAAGAAACCGGTATTAGGAACCCAAGTATCAGTGAAACCATCTCAGATAAAGATAGGCATATTATTCATTCTCAATCCAGGAGATTGGATCGATGGGCAGAACACTTTAGGGACCAGTTCAATTGGCCTTCAGCCACACTTCAATTACCCACGATCCCCAGTCGTCCTGAATGGCAAATTGATGTAAGTCCTCCAACCCTCTGCGAGGTTGAAAAAGCTGTAGGAAATCTGAAGCGAGGGAGAGCAGCAGGCCCTGACAGGTTGACCCCTGAGATTTTTAAGGATGGCGGTCCAGTACTAGCAGTGAGATTGACTGAGGTCTTAGGTAGGATCTGGGAACTGGACGTAATTCCATCTGACTGGTCCCAATCACTGATTGTGCCAGTCTATAAGAAAGGACAAAAGTCCTCCTGTGACAATCACAGAGGGATCAGTTTGACTAATATAGTGTCTAAAATATTAGCTTCAATAATACTTGGACGCCTAACCAAAGCTCATGAAGAGCAGACTAGAGAAAACCAGGCTGGTTTTCGACCTGGACGTGTTTGCATAGGCCAGATATTCACTCTACGTCAGGTCCTAGAACATAGACATACATTTAGACGTCCCACAATCGTAGTATTTCTTGACCTTAAGGCAGCATTTGACTCAGTTGAACGTGAGGTTCTATGGCAGTGTTTGTCACTGAAAGGAGTACCAAAGAAGTACATTAACCTCATAAAGGCTCTCTACTCGAACACAACTGGTCGACTATGTCGCCGACGACATAGTTTTACTCGGTGAAGACGCTGACAACATGCAGAGTCTTCTGACCACTATAAGCAACTATGCAGGCATGTTCGGGATGCGATTCTCTCCCTCGAGGTGCAAAATGTTACTTCAGGATTGGGTTGCATCGACACCTGAACTAATGATAGGCAGTGAAGTAGTTGAGCGTGTAGACCACTTCACTTATCTTGGGGTCTCATCAGCCCTTGTGGTCTGGTATGTGACGAAATCTCAGCACGGATACAGAAGGCTCGTCTAGCTTTCGCCAACTTGCGTCATTTATGGCGTGGGCGAGATATCCGTCTAGCAACCAAAGGACGGGTTTACCGTGCAGCAGTTCGCTCCGTCCTACTTTATGGCAGTGAAACATGGCCAATAAGAGTAGAGGATATTCATAGGCTACTAGTGTTTGATCATAGGTGTCTTCGAAGCATTGCTCGTATATCCTGGGACCACCGGGTAAGTAATGCAGTTGTTAGGAAACGAGTACTAGGTAGGGATGGCAAATCGATTGATGAAGTAGTGAAACTTCATCAGTTAAGATGGCTGGGACATGTGTTACGTATGCCCGACCACCGACTGCCCCGACGTGCAATGCTTTATGGTGTAGGAGTAGGTTGGAAGAAAGCTAGGGGTGGCCAGACCAAAACGTGGCACAAATCAATGAAGTCACTGACAAGTGGACTGGGCCATGTTGGTAGGTGTAGACTACCTGGTTGGAATTCGCGAGATGATAGCAACCGATGGTTAGAGACCTTGAATGACATGGCTCAAAATCGTTTGCAATGGCGAAGGTGCGTCCACTCTTTGTGTTCTACCAAATTCTAATCTTCTGAATTCCTCATGTCTTTATCTTTTTCTCTTTCCAAATTTATTTCACTGTACTATACTCCTTCAATAATTTCTTCAAACCCTAATCTTTTGGATTTCTGATTATACTCCTACTACTTCTGCCACTATGGGATTTGAATCGACAACTTCATCTCTGTGCTAATGTGGTATGGCAACTCGAACTGATGTACGTACGTACGAAGTTCTACTTTGTGACTGACTGACTTACTGATATTATGTTTTGGAGTCAACAGGAAGGGCTAGGTGAGAAGCTACTGTATAGAAAACCGATAAGGAATCTAAGTTGACTCAAGGCTGCCGGTGCTGGTTGACGTGTCATTGGTTTAGGACAGAGACAAGGTCATAGAAGTCAATAATCTGGTTGGTGATTTTGTTACGTGATAATCGGTTGAGGCATAAGTCAAAACAATTTGTAATTTCATAAAGCTAAAATGGTAGTCTTTGGAATGCAACTTAGTGCTCTGAAAGTGGTGCGTACTCCGTAAGATCTTATTATTCTTGATTCAGGACTTGGTCAGATCATAAGTGAATATTTTTTTCAGTACAAAATACAGAACATAAAATGTGTTGAGATATAGATGGACTACTGAGTAGTGATCAATATCACGTCTGTTCAATCCTTATAACTAGTTGTATTCTATTGATCAAGTACCAGTGTGGCCACCAGTCTAAGTAACTAAATAAAATTCGCATTATTTATTTGATTGTAGATGTTTGGAGGTGGAAAACAAGAAACTCTGGATCTCAGTTTTATGCTTGTTGGAACTCATCGGTAACTTTTACCTTCAGTTTGGAGGGAATCAATGTTTCCCGTCGGCTTTGAAACCGCCTCATCGAACTTCACAGTTTGATATGTTACCACAGAGCTATATGTGCAGCAAATGATCTTCTTTGGGACTATTGACAGCTCTTGACAGATGTCACTCAGTGTAAAAAACTATGGTAAAATATCGATTTAAAAATCTTGTTATTTCTATTCATTGTAGTAGGCCATCATTCAACATACCAGAATCAACTCAAAAGCAGCCAATATTTCACCACCTTTTTTGCGATTTTTCTCAATTGTATACCATTGAAGTACATTAGCCCATGTGGTTTCTGTGTCTAGACGAACAGCAGGAGTGATCTATAAAAAGTTTTTGAAAAAAGCAACATATACCTAAATTTTGAAAAATCATCAAGTAAATACATGATTACGATTTTTGTCATCCAAAAAAAATTTGTTAGTAATATTTAAAAGTAAATAAGATAATTCCTTTAATCTGCACCCCTACAAAATTCATTAGCCAAGCTTTACTTGAATCTAGAGAAAATATATTTAATTATAAGTCATAGAATAGTTCATTTGGTATTTCGATAGAGAGATCTAATTATCTAGTGTTTATGATCAAATCTCATGGCATTATGTTCAATTACATGACAAATTTTGAACTAAACATTTCTGACGAGTCAAAAACAAAGATGAAATACTTGTTCAGTGTTCTTTGGTTCTCAATAAGTGAACGAAACTATCTTCTAATATGACCAACCAACACAAAACGCCTCACTAAACATTTATGATGAATCGTTTGCATGTAATTGTAGTCAAACCATTTATCTTAAAATAAAAATGACTAGGGGAATCATCTGTTCCCACCGTATAGTCACAGTTACTTTGGAGGTCATGTAAGATAACAGGCTTTACTCTGAAAGCTATTTAAATGAGATATTTTTTGAAACACTTTGACTTGACTTAAAAAGATACTGAACGATATCCCTTATGTATTCTAAGTAATCAGGTGATGTTAATAGGGCTTTAATTTACTTGGATTGATGTGAGGTTATCAGTAAAAATGAGATCGGAGTGAATCTTATGCACAGATACTCAGCATAATTATGTATTTATGATGTTTTCACGATCCATAATAGATTCTCAATTCATTATTAATGACAGTACAAAAAATACCGTGGTTAATCAATAAGTTAAAAAGTAAAGAGTAAAAGATAATTATACCTATTAACTAACATATGTAACCCTACCTGTAATCTGCCTAAGAAATGATCTGAACTTAATTGATCATAGTCAAATAGCTCAATCATAACTGGTGGTGGATCTGAAAGTATTGTTTTTGGATCACCACACATTTCAATATGTTCAAATATTAATGTTTCATCCCATATTGGGCACAACGTTTGTTGGATAATTTGTGTTTCTTGGCTATGCCCTTGAAATGAACATCGCACAAAGGGATCAGATAGGCCAGATTGATCAGCTGCTAAAACACTGCGTGCTTGGAAGATGTATGCTCGTAAATGCCAGATATGAGAAGCTGCAAGGTGAATGAGCAGATAGTAGTCGAAAAATAGAAGTTATAAACGTGGAACGTAGTTGGGTTATTAAAAAATGGTAGATTAAAGAATGTTTAGATTGAAAAAACAGTGTGATCCAGAACAAGTTAGTCAAGATTCGTCAGCTAGATATATCTAAATCTTAATGTCGATCTTCACATTGAAGCTTGAACCCATTATATTTCTACTTAAACAACAGTCGGTTATTTAGTGAGGTCCTGAATCCATTGGGTAACCAGCTTATATGATAAGTATGATACGATTAATAATAGTTTGTAATTTTTGATCGTTGACACTGCACTTGTAACAGGAACTGATCAATCCCAGGTTTGAATATCATCAATCAAAAGTCATAAACCTCTGTTATTATATCGATAGAATTGTAAAAGATTTCTTTGTACTGCTTTACACCTGTTTATTAATGAACACTAACCTTTTTCATCTCAAATTAAAAAAAAAAACTATTCTTTTGAGTGAATACTAGATATTTATGCTACGTTGATGTTCCCTAACATTCAGCAGTTTTTCTAAAACTATCCAAGTAACTTAACGCCATCCTTATCAGGTGATTTTGACTTTTTGAAGTTAATATTACTGACAAAATATTTGAAGTGTGCATTACTATGTCAACTGATTTCTGTTAAAAATGGTAAACCTTTACTACTTACTTCTGAAGCGCATGAATATCCTTGGAACAGTGAGATTCTCTTTCTATAAATATTTAAAAAAATATAATGCTCAAACTGGTGAATGAAAATACGTAGTAGGATTTACAATATATATATATATATATATATATATATATATATCAGACATCACTATGTGAGCTGAAAAGTTTATTTGTAAGTCTAGAAAATATAATAAAATTGACGATTATAATTTGGTATTGACTTATACACATAGGCTTTTGCATACAGTGTTGATTACATACATGAAAACTGCGGGTTAATGTTGTTGAAGTGAATGATAGTGAAATTGTCGGGTGTCGTTTATGGCGATCTACTGCAAAAACAGTTGTTGATCAAGTATTTCAGCCACTACTATTCATTCAAAAGAATTTTTCGTTAATAATAAACTATTTAAGATAATTCTCCGTTTAAATTCATTTAGTGTTGTTTGTTTGAATCTTCCCATCGATGTGTTAGGACTGCAACTAGTCAGTCTCTAATTGGCATATGTGCATACTGTGCGTATTGCCTCGATATAGCCTTAATTCACAAGCATGGTAAGAAGAGATTGTTAGTGGCTAGCAGTGGAATCCAGGACGCGTGGATAACGCGATGGCGTTTGAAGCGAGGGTACTGGGTTCGAGTCTTAGAGTGAACATCAACTCCGAGATGCAGGTACATCCAGCTGACGCGTCCCAAATAGGACGAAACGCGCGTCCTGGATTCCACTGCTAGCCACTATCCATCTCTGCTTATCAATTCTCTGTTTGTTATTCAACTAAAATGATACTGTGTCTTTTTAACTGTGAGTCAAATATGGAAACTATAAGTCACGTTGAAATTATCACCCTAATGACATGAGTAAATGTTTATCAATGATGCTCACTGGTCAGTTATTATGTCTAACAAGGTATATTAAAATGGTCAAAACAGAAAAACCATATGAGTTGCATAAGTTGATAATGGATATTTTGATGAGAATAAGAACTGAATAAATGGAAGCTCTATATTTTTTTAATTGTGAAAAACTATTTAAGCCTTTAGCGAATGAATTGAGTGTTAAATAATGTCGTTTAAGGTTAAATTCTGAACTGTGTTCATAATATTTTCTCCTGTATTATATTCAGAAGATCAGTATACAATGAAATTGTAATCAACCTTCAATATATTTTAATTGTAAAAGCGAATTATTATGAAATAATCTCGCGAGTCGGGATCGTGGATAAGCACTGCTGAGGAGTCCCGTGATAGGATGAAACGGCCGTCCAGTGCTTCAAGGTTTTCCATAGTGGTCTAACTTCAATTGACTTATGATCTCAACTTTTGAAATTTTTTAAATGTTAAATAAATACAAAATCAAAATTGAAAGCTTTTTTAATTAGCTATTCAAAACAATGATGCTATGATAAAAAAGAGTAACATTTAAACTCAATGTACCATGGATGATAAAAAGTTAATGAGATGAAGGTATAATGAAAATCTCACCAAATTCCAGGATTATATATGAAACAACAACGACAAGAAGGATATACCTTATTTTTAATATGATATCTATTGATGTATATATCAATAAATATAACTAGTATTAATAATAGTAAGGAAGAAAGGTATACTGGCTTAGAATTTACTTAATGGACATTCAGAAATCGGTTAACTTTCAAGTAAGTTACTATCATTTTCCTGTTATTATTTGAAAGACATTAAAACTCAAGAAACATTAAATTAATGGTTAGAAATGATTTTAAACTCCATAAGTTTTAAGCATTTCGACCGATACGATGAATTTAGATAAACTGTTAGGTAGATTGTAGTACATCTGGTAAAATGTTATAATTGGTGTTACTAGCTAGACAAACAATACTGATCAAATTAGATAATTAATGATCTACACCATTATTTAATAAAAGTTGCTCAACTTCGTGGATCAGTTGAAGTTAGATATTAACACCGTTGGATGCCGGACAGTTTAGTTGTCTATCGGTTAAGGGATCTGGCTCGAGACTGGTGAGTCATGGGTTCGAATATCGCGAGTGCGGGATCGTGGATGTGCACTGCTGAGGAGTCCCATGATAAGACGAAACGGCCGTCCAGTGTTTCCAGGTTTTCGATGGTGGTCTAGCTTCAATTGACTCACGCTTTCAACTATGAAGTTGAAATCTCAAATTGTTCGATTCCAAACAACTATTTTAAATGTGTCTTACTCACTACGTGAAGTGAAGGTCGTATTTTTGACCATGTGTGCAGCATTGTGTTCATCTCTATAAATTACGAATATAGGACGACACAACTATTCAGTGCATTCTTAGATCTCATGAATTCGCAACTGAAATTATTCGAGGACGAAAATTATCTTCGAATTTTAGACTCATTCAAAGACTATGGGGCTTTATTTTTATATAAACCAACAAAATAATACACATACTTCGAATAAACACATTATCATATATCACAATAATTCTGAAACTAATCTAATTTCCCAGAGATTTTGTAAGATACTACATCTCTTCACTACACAGAGAGAGGAGTAGAAAGCAGAACAGTATCATACAAAAAATAAGACTACTGAAATGAATCAACTATGAATAAGCTGTAAATATTAGGGTAGTTATGTAATTTTATTTGTGACCAAAATGAAATCAGCACAAACTTCTTCATAAAAAGATTGGTAGATTAAATGTCGGGATCATGCAACATATTCTTAATGAGAAGAAGCAGAGTATAGACTGTACAAGCAATATGATATGTAGGTAGCATATTATTATCAAGATAATCAAATTTGATGTATGACTCCAAAGACATTTGACACATGCATAACATAAACCAACAAGTCCGATGACCATAATGTGATATTATTCGGTTAAATGAAGAAACATCCCAGATTCAATCAATGCATAACAAATTGTTAATTAGGGTCGTTTTCAAAATACGGCGTGCATTTATAATTACGTATTGAGCTCGCTTGCTGAACAAGTCATAAAGAAAACAATCACGCATTTGTGTAACCCAAAGCGTGTATACATGTAAGTATATGCGTATAAGTTAATGGTTGATTCATGCACCTCAATCCGGTTTGTTAGCACAACAGCTTGAGATATTTTTATATAATTTAGCTTTGGCATTTTCTTTTTTTTTACAATTAACTAACCTTCTTACATTTGGAGATGTGTAAAAACTTCATAATTAAAAATTAATTAATTACGTTAGACAAAGGGATAGATATATATGTTAATTTTCACCATATAATAGGTACTAGAAATAATCATTCTTACGACTGACTGACTGACTGACTAAACCAGGAGGTCAATAAGCGGTATTTGGTCAGTAGCTTCTCTTTTTCATCCCCCTTACTTAGATTAATTCAAATAAATTTGATTAAAAAGTAATAACTATCATGAGAATAAGATATGTAGAGTTATCTGTGTTCTCCTCCTTTATTTTGATTTCATAATTTATTGAACATACTTATTTTTCAATCCTCGAGGATACTGTCTTAAACCATCATGTTCCGATAATCATGTATTCATCTTGATTAAGTGTATCTATATCCAAAATCAGTTAAACTCGTTGACATTACAACTTAGTTTACCATTCAAGGAACAGATTTATTGCATGAATCCTAATCACTATATTACAGAAAAAACTAGTCACCTTTTTATCTAACAGGTACAAAGATGTTAAAATAACACAAAATCAAAGCTCAATGGTCCTGCGTTTGAATTTTGTGTAGGAATCATAGATGTACGCAGCTGTAAGTCCAACAATAGAACAAAACAGCTGATAACTGCTTTCCCGGCATCAGTTTTGTAGTGAAAAGTAAGGTCAGAACCTTCAAAAGTCTCTACCAATACACCGACTTCATGCCTTAAAAAATTTTCGTATATAAATATATATATATATATATATATATATTGACTGATGAACACATACTTCAGTGAAAATAAAGTTGTATGAAGTAAAATAAGCCAAGGATTTCAAATGATAGATAAAACATTATTCAAGCTGAGCATAGAAAACCATCAATATATCAACTTTGTAGATGCTGTTCAAACTGAGTGGTGTCATTAGAACTAGACAAATCAAATAATTCCTCACGGTCCTGTAGTAAGCAAAACACAAGGGTCAGTAGGTTGTAGTGGTGAACAAGTGGATTCATCGTACTAAGATTACTGAACTTGTGTAGTTATTTGAATCAGTTTATCTTTTTTGTAAATACCAATGATGAAATGTGAGTACTTTGATAGAGAATTAAAAAACACTCCCAACTTTCTATACAGTTTTTGTCCTCATCATTTACGTGATTGGGTTGATCAAAAAAATGAATATTTTGAAACAGTGGCGGTATGAGTTATTTTTAAGCTGAATAAAAATGACATATTACTTTAGTCAGGTTAAATTTTAAATATATAATCGAACCCCAGCATAGTCGCTTAAGGGTCAAGCTCAAGTAAAAACGTCTGAAGGTCATATGGTGGATCACCGACAATGATTTAGGTGCACACTGCTGAGGAAATTTCTTCTCGATTTTCAATGGTATCCTCAAAGATGTTGATATGAAAATCATAACAATAAAAATTATAAGGTAGGATAAGTGGTTTGAAAAGATGTGCATATCACTGACTTCAAAATTTATCGAATACTTGCAGCCGGAAGATATTGGACTAAATTGGTCCGACAGCGAGATGTTCGTGCTTATTTATTTTAAATGAATGCTCACAATGTAATCGTTTTCATTTAATTTTGAGTATTTGAATTCACTTGACAAGAAGCTCCAAACTTAGATTTCATGCTAAACTAAATACATTCTTTCAGAATTCCAGCTACTTTTTGATGGCAAGTTCTAACTACCACACAACCTAAATAAAGTACCCTCTGCAGAATGATTTAAACTATGTAACAGAACAAAATAGTAAACCTCAATGTTGAATCCGTTAGCGGAACTTGATCTAAAGAATCCCATTGGTACTAAAAGGACTTGACAAATACTACTACTACCACTAATACTAATACTATAACGGTGTTTAGTCAGGGTAAACAGTTTTGTATAAATACAGTAGGGTGTTAGTTATTATTAAACATTAACTTTTGATTTAAATTTAACTCATAAACTAAACAGCATAAATAATGCACACTGAACATAATAAAGGCAAGCAACAGCAATGACGTAAATTTTTTGAGGGAAAAAACAATTAACAACGTCAAGGTGCATAGAAGCACTACGTTAAAACAATTGTTTTTTTTAATGAGAAACACACACCAGTAATTATACATGCAAACATTCACATCGACAACCCCTTTCAAATTAATATATATATATATATATATATATATATATATATATAATAAAACACTTTGGCTCAACAACAAGTGTGCATACTTTTTTCAACTTCAAGCTACTTTCCTAGGATACAAGAGAGAGAGAGAGAGAGTAGAGGAAAAAAATAAAAGAAATGAAGAGAAATACATGAGATTAAAATCTTGGAGTATGGAAAGAAAACTAACTACTGATAAGCGAACTAATCTGTTCAGAAGATACGCAAACATCGTTTTATGAATCAAAAGATATATCAAATCTTTATTTGTGGGATTTCCCTTATCTTATCTTCGTTTCCGTTCAAAGCCTTCATCGAACTCTTTAGAAGTTGGGCTATTCAAATGCGTTATTATCCCATGTTTATCGTCTTCATATCATCTCTGTGCTAACCCCCTCATAATCGTTTTTCGTCTCCTGCATAAAACAAAATCTAAGTTCGGTAAGTCTGAAGAATCGTGAGGGGGAATCAGTGTAGTCTTCAACTAGTGACTGAGGAACCTAAGTTACACAAGGACACCATAAACGCAGACGCTTTATCCGAATTGAAAACACATATAGATAGTAAACCCGCTATCGGAAAGCATAAGCAATCGGACACTTTTGATGTCCTTAAGAACACAGAATTTTGACAGCTGTCTTTATATTGGTCAATCGATGTATTAAACAAACTGAATGATATAGACGTTTAGGGTAACAATTTATTGAGTATGAAGACGTATATTCTTGAAAAAGAGATGAACTGACCATACCCTTTGAAGAAACTTGACGAATTTCTGTCTTTTAATCAATAATTGATTTTTTTCTGATAATCTAAATAAACCCGACTGAATTTTTTGGTGTATACGCAGATAAACTGTGTTGTCTTCTACAATATTCAGTAAGTTGGTCATTGAGCGTTAATCAATTTTTGAAATCGAATTCGTTGATGATGTTGGGTGGTCAACCTGATAAGTAAACCTTGTCACTTTTGAGTCAACTGTCAGAACTGTTATGGAAGAATTGGATTCTCCGGGATTTTAGACTTTCGTCCATAAACTTCTTTACTTTTTCATTCCAACTGACGAACAATGAACATGACATTACTTAAGAGATATCCAAAACAGTTGAATTTTTTGTGAAAATCAAAGACTTTTGCTTTTTAGTGTTAATAATAATTAGGGAAATATTTTGGAACTAGATTGAAACATACTACACGAACATATTATTAATGAATGTGTTGGTACTGAATGCAGTCAACTTGAGTTTTAAATTCAAAAATAATAATACACGGATAGGAAACAAATACATTCCATTCTCCATGTAGCACAATATGTCTCACTAAGCCGTAAGATCTGTTAGAAAACAGTGACTGCCATTTGATTGTGAATAATTATTGTAACTTGACAAAATTTAAATCACTATACACAGAGATTTTAATCAACTTAAAGCAACACTTAGAAAGTTTTAATAATAATAATATATGCTTATTCGTTTAACACCACAATAAAATACCCAGTAAGATTATTCAGGCTAAGCAGCAAAAAAATTAAAATATGAAACAGCAACCTTCAAAGTTGATTTCTAATTTAGTAACTGAATATCAAATTGACATACACTAGATCACATGTATAACCAATAGCACTATGAGTATAGTTGGTATTTTTATGACAGAACAAAGAATCATGTGATCTCAGGAGACCAAAACTCATTTTAAACATGATAAAAGCCTGTAACACTGGTGTCTAATGTTATATTGATGTGCTATCATAAAGCTGTAAATGTAATCGAGTTGTCCAACTGAGTTTATTAAGGCACTACATGACCGAAACATGTGGTTAACATTCAAGTTTTCTGTTTATCTTTTAAAATGGCCTACAATTGAAATTCTAGTAACTTAATCATAAATAGACGTTCGCAATCCCTTTTTAAAGTAATACTTACCACTTGTTTTGAACTACTTCGTATTTGTAAAACACATGAACTAGTCTCTGAACTTAGTTCTTTTGGCGCTAAAGCACGATGCCAACGTCTGCGTCGAACCATATCAACTTTACGTTCTTTTGTATGGAATTTTGAATCGAAATTGAATGCATATTCCCATGCTTCTGCTGGTTCTGTACTTAAACTTTGCTATGAAAAAAATTATTAAAAACAAAAAAAAGAACAAAGAAATAAAACATTTTTTAAAATTTACTTGATATTGTGGCGACAGCTTTACACCAATAAGGTTTGAATGTTGTTAGTCAGTTTTAAAGAGTAAGAATTAATTATTTGTCTAATTTTTTTTAAAATTATTAATAAAATGACAAATATATTTAAACATACAAATGTATAGGATTGTTAACGTTTGAACACAATAAACTGACCACTATTTATGAGATGGGAACCGAGATCAGACACCCTTGTGAGAAGTTACCACTGACTTGCTTTGAGTGGTGAATTCAAGAATTCTTGTTAGGATTTATAACTAATAGAGTACAAATAGTGTCCAGTGTAAGAAATAGATTGATATAGTTACGCAGTGTCGCAAATTGGCTGAAGTTAGGCTTACATATCAGCAATATAGAGGCCAATTATTCGCACGCCAGATCAGTAGTCCTTGGTTCGATTCCCGGTGAGGGGTATTTGGTTCACTTTGTTAGGGAATTCCACACTAAAGAGAAGCGGTCTTCTAGTGCTTTCAGGAATCCAATGGTTTTTGGAATGTAATAGGTTGGTTATTTCATTAACATCACAAACGTGCGCATATTTAGTCACAATTTAGGAAATAAATTCATTAGAAATAGTAAGTTTATTGTCGCTCTAGGTCACATTTTCCATTTTATTAACGGGTTATTAGCAGCATTAAATAGTCAGAGGCTCAGAATGTTTTTGAACCTAGATAAATTGGTGATTAACATTCACCAGTAAACAATTTTTCTTAGAAATGATGTTCTACTCGAGATCGGAATTCGTATCTTGTTATATCATAGCCAGAAATGCTTTTGTTTAGTTTAAACATCTCATTCTTACAGTAGGATTAATCCTGACCAAAACAATGCACTTTGAATTTCCGGTAGTACATCAACTGGCGGAAAAGTGTAGATATTTATCATTCCTGAGTGGTAACCAGATTGAAACCTATTTTCAAGGTAACTATACTACAACCACCGAATACGGATAATCCTGAAAGTTTTACCACGATATTGATGTACTTAGATTAATGACTCCAGTGTTATATGATCTATGGGAACCTATCATGAATAAATCTAACTTTCCTTTTTCAATTATCAGAAGGGGTTTTGTGGAGATTTAGTATTTTTCATAGTTGAAAGCGTGAGTCAATTGAAGCTAGACCACCATCGAAAACCTGGAAACACTGGACGGCCGTTTCGTCTTATTATGGGACTCCTCAGCAGTGCACATCCGCGATCCCGCACTCGCGAGATTTGAACCCATGACTCACCAGTCTCGAGCCAGATCCCTTAACCGATAGACAACTAAGCTGTCCGGCATCCAACGGTGTTAATATCTAACTTCAACTGATCCGCGAAGTTGAGAAACCTTTTTTTTCTTTTTTAGTCTGTAACACATTCACAATGCTGAAAGAACTTTGGTTTGAAAAGTTGTATACAACAGACAAACTTCTATCCATTGCATATGATTTTCATTTGGTTTATTGAAAATATTGTCTAGTTATTGGGATATTTTCTATGGAATTCGAACGTAAGATATTTGAGTTAGATAGAAAAGTTACTGTAGACGACAGGTTTCATACTTCACATCATAAATCAGTAAGGTGGAGAGAATTTTTGTGAATATTAGCCAATGAACAAATAGACATTGGTTTTTAGTCACTGACTAGTTAGTATAAATAGTTTATTTTATCGACATTTAGATATGCATTTTATTCACCATGATTACTAAAATCATTTACAAGTCATGTATAATTCATCTCATTATATTTTGGCACTTCTCATAACTCATACACAGAATTTATCGAAACATTGATGTACATAAATACAAACATATGTAATAAAACTAAAGCATTATTTACAGCGCTTAAAACGACACAGTAACTTAAACAATGGTTAACATAACACCATTTTACGTCATTATATATTGTTAGGAGAATACAACCATTAGATAATATACAAAAGTAAGCAATGAATATATTACCATGTATGCGCATATATTTGTTCAAATCAATTCACCATGTTTAGTGAAGGAAAAGCGAATTTGGACGAGTGTTACAATCACATTTAACTGAACTGAATGGACTAGTAAAAATATACATAACACTGACTTGACTTGATAAGATATATATGTATATATGGGTTAGGATAGATTATAAATACTGTACTGTATATGGATTTATACATAAAATGAAAATAGACTACTTTTAACATGAATTCGTATTCATTATTATTTTGTAAGCTACTTGGTTGCAGGATTCTAAATTAGGAAACTTACTAATAATGATAAACGAGATTGCTGAACAGAAAATGTAAATAAATATACAAATTGTTGAGAGAGTGATCGGTGGATGAGATTAAGTTGCAATGTGTATGGGTTAAACACGTTTTTGCGTTGTATATTAACAGTCTACTTGATAATATAAATAAGTAACTGAAATAGGTATAAGTAAATAATCTACATAATTAAAATGCATCTATAGTTTAAGAACAATTCATTGTATTGTTATTCCGATGGGAATAGAAATAATTTAATGCATAATCCAAAATTCAGGACATTGGAAAATCTTGGTATTTGCCATTTATGGTGACACATAGTTGTATATTGTCTTATGCACAAATACAGCCTATCATAATTGAGTTAAAATGAACATGGTAGTTTTTCAGTGGCCTGAGATCTGAATCAACTTAGATCATAAGAATGTTTTTAAAACATATATGTCTATCGTCGTATATAATTATCGACATAATCCGCGTTAGTGAATAACGGCATTAAATAAGCCAAATACGAGAATGAATTTTTGAATGCGTATATTTTGTTCACTCATTGATTTGCATTATTACAGATGTATCGAGTTATTGTTAAATATGTCTTAGTAGAATGACCAGAGGAAAAGAATAGTGACTAGGGGATGAGATAAATGGAGTCGTATTCCCTATCGGTCATGAAGCCTAGCGTGGTTTATATCGTTTGAGGGATATGTGCTCGACCTAGTTTGTTACGAAACCGTACTAAGGTATGATAAAAATACAAATTCATATTATCGACGACGATGAGTTAGACTGGCTTGTTTGCGAAGAACACAAGAGTGTATCCTTAAGAGACTAGCTCTAAAATCTTTGTTCTGACATATAATGCTACGGGAAAAGAATATTAATTACAGTAACCAAACAGTGTTAATCGGTAATAAATGATGCAGCATGCAGTTATACATGTGGATGAATAAATAACAAGAACGTAATCGTTACTAATCAGTTAGAGTTAGAAGCATCCACAGATATAACAGGGGACATTATCGAAATAAAAAGTGTGTGGTATAGTAACATAAAAAATGACCATGACTAAGCAAATGAGTGTAATAATAGTCCAAAAATGACGTGGAAAAAAGGAGACGAACTCACTTAAAGGCAGGAAAAGTTTACGTTATTGAATAATAAAAATAGTATCGTAAGTTTTGAAAGTCATAACGTGAATGAAATGCTCATAAAATTATTATTTGATGGTTGAGTTATACAATTGTGTAAATGTCAACACTAAAAACAATGGTAATTCCACGTTGGGTGATACAGATAAGATGGTTTCTAGTTTTATAACTATGATGTTGAGATAAGTTGCGATTGAATTTTGATAAACACAAAAATTAGAGGCTATGAGAAATCATCATTTTTTAAACATCAAATGTTTACCAGCTACTAAGCTACTTATCGCAAAAGAAAATAAATAAAGCTCAGCTAAAAGACCGATTAGATATGGGTTACATGAAATTGTTTAAGAGTTGGTCAACAAGTAGACAATTAGAACTGAACTAAAGAATATCATCCGAAATTCTCTTATAGATAAAAAGAGTTTCCCTCTTTAAACTGATTATGATTAATTTTTCTAAAAAAATAAGGCTATCTACCTTGCAGATGCATTTTTCCTGTGCTTAGAATCTTTAATTGACTCAAATTAGTTGGTATTTTCATGAGCTATTCCACTACAGGTTAAACTCCATGTAAGTAATTCTGGACGATTTTATTAAGTCTTAGCTTATACTGGCTTTCTAGATCCAACCATCTTTTACAGCTTGTGAACTGTTAGCTCTTGACTTCAGTTAATGATCAAAAACTGAAAAACAGTATCACTTAATATCCTATAGATCATTTACATCTGTATAGATGTTGATGTATAGTTTCATCATCAAGAATCAATAATTGAGATATTTTGTTTACGTCAAATACCTATTATTTATTCTTGTTTGATGTTTAGAAGTATAGTGGAGTTCTACCAAGTCTGTTATAGAGATATCAACTCACTGAAGACAATTGGTGAACGGTCGCTCAAAATCGTGGATTGGTTGAAGTTAGACATTAACGCCATTGGATGCCGGACAGCTCAGTGGTCTATCGGTCAAGCGCTCTGGCATGAGACTGATAGGTCCTGGGTTGGAATCTCGCGAGTGCGGGATCGCGGATGTGCACTGCTGAGGAGTTCCATAATAGGACGAAACGGCCGTCCAGTGTTTCCAGGTTTTTGATGGTGGTTTAGATTCAATTGACTCATGATTTCAACAGTGAAAATATATTAAATTTATCAATAATAGCTACTTTCAACAGGCTTTATATCCTATGCTTCATAAGAGACAATGATGGATAGTGATCAGTGTATTTTTTACTTAGAAATAATTATCTATAGTCTATTATTTTATAAAATGAATTTTCAACGCTCACTAACAACACATGACACAGTTACTAAAAGCATCTCTCAAGTTGAAATTAGATAGTAAAATATATTGATCGATTGAAAGCTAACTGTCTTATGAAATTTACCGCCTTAACAATGTGGCAATGTGACAATAATTTGATTTTTTCAAATTTTTAAACCATTGAAAATAATAATGAGAATGACAAAACAAAAAGAAATCTGGTTAAAACCATTATGACGAAGTATCCTAGAGTAAATATTAGTATAAAAAAATACCAACAGTCCACAAACTTATACTGAGAGATAAAAACTTGCACCTAAATAGTTTGAAGTTTTCCAACCTGAATTCAATACATTCTCACCATATAACAAACATCGAGTAAATATAAAGAGCATAACGAAATATACATTTAGAAGCATGTTTTACACCTGAAATATGTTAGAGATTAAATATACATATATTCTACTACACTGATATAAACATATAGAAAGGTATATACATGTATAAATAACGATTCACTCCTGTATGAGGTGTTACACAGTCAAGCATATGTATATCCCACATACACATACAGACACAAAACCTTACTTGATCATGTGCTATCACTTGTCTTAGTACCTATATTCAAAAGATATGGTAAGCAAATAAAAGTCATATTGACATATCATGAAAAAACTTCACAGTGAAGATGGAATGCATATGTTTTCATAATTCACAAGTAATATGGTTCTTCTTAGAGAGATAGATAACGCACGACTTAAGTGTAGACTATCTTTAAATTAATGATCTTTATGATTTAACGGTTTCATGAACGAACACTTTACGGATTGAGAGTAGTAATAAAAACGAGAGAACAATGGATGTCTGTTCCGTTCTAGCAAGAGACTCGTCGACAGTGATCACCTACAAGACTGCCTGGGTTTAGACTTAAGACCTTCAAGTCTAAACCATTAAACGATTCGCTAGCGTCTAGCGGTGCAGATTTATAACCACAGAAAATTCGCTACTTACCTATTCCTTAGATTTCCAGGTACGGTTATCACACAATTAGTTCCATTTTTATCAGTAAATCTTATATACAAACTAACTAGAAATGGAATGCAGTGACGCATGATTCTTGATTAAAGAGTTGTATTTATGGAATTTCATTTCGATAGTCGAACAGTAGTATATATATATAATATAAGCATCAAAATGGGAAAACACAATGCCTATCAGTGAATTTTGAAATATAAAACTGAAAACTAGTAGGCAAACGAGGCAATATCACAAACAGTAACAATACGTGATTGCATCATCATACAATATGATTACGAATAAAATTAATTTGTAGTCATTTATTACCAATTTTATAACCTACATTCCCTTCCAATTACTTCATCTGACTAGATTTTACACAGATAAAAATGAATTAAACTTAGCCACGTCTGATGTTGGCCTTCAACAATTCATTTAAATTTTCAAGCCTAACTTCAGAAATAGTGTAAGCATTTAACCATTGTTTTTAATCCAGGTTATCCGTTGTAACTTAAGACTGTTTACGATAAGGTCTTCAAATAAGAAGATGAATTCATTTCAGAGTATTGAAAATCTTACTTGTTATTGCTTAAAGCTTCCATAGTGAATTAAGGATCCGGGATCCTGAAGTATTTGAATACGTATGCATTATATATATATATATATATATATATATATATATATATATATATATATTCATAATAATTTGTCAAAAGTTTGTTTCACTCTTTTACTTGTTGGTGTGATATAGTTTCAATCCTTACCCTCACTAAATATATTTAAGTTATTTCTTTTACGAAGAGATTGTTAGGAGAACTGAATAATTCTTTGGTAAAGTCTTCAGAAGCTAGAACAGTGTTTGTAACAGTTCGATCAATCCGCGTTCCTCAGAAACTTTGTCAGTTTCTAAGTTGGGTTACAACCTACATTTTTAAAACCAATTTTAGGATTCTTTTGAGAGGATTCTCAAATCTGAACGTCATGTTGTCTTAGAAGGTCACTGTTTTTTACTCAAGAACTTGGATGCGGAATTCCTCTCAAAATAAAGGCCTTCCATTTTTTGTCCAAGATTCAACAGCAAAGGAAGAGTTTAAGAAATCAATGCTTAAGATTTCGACTTCAAGACATAACTTGGACAAAAAAGTTTCAACCTTTTCTTTTATCTCTAATTAGTTTTCTGTCGATATTACAATATCTATGACTTATCAATTTAGTTCACATAATACAGAATGGTCAATTAAATTGTAACGATAAGTTTTTTCTTCAGAAATGAAGTAAAATTGGTACAAGCTTTGAAAGAGTGATATAATCTATTGAGGTGAAAAGAATAGTAGAAATTAAAGTCTAGATATTATATAATGATCTCGTATGTTTAAGGGTCATTTATGCTTGATGTTTAAAATTGTTGATGAATATGTAAAAAAATGGAGATCATTATAAAATTCTTAAGTCTATCGAATAGAATCATCATTATTATTACTATTATTCCTAATTACATTGTTATACATATGCGAGTCAGATGTGGCTTTCGTTATAAAACATTATTCATATCAGGAATCATTGAATATCACACTCAAAGATTTCACACTATATACGTTGCATTGGGATTAGAAGTGTCTAAAATATTGAATAAAATAAAATTGGTTAATTATAAGAAAATAGGGTTTGTGGTCAGTGAACAGTCGATGATATATTATAAAGTGATATTATAAAGAAACATAATCTTTCGTTTCGAAATATGCTTATATTCTCTTTACGACATTTTTAACATGAGTGGACAGAATGACAGTTTTATGAAACAAAACATAATTAATGTACTTACTTCTTGTTTAACTGGTACACCAACATCACCAAGTATCCGTGAACGTATTAATCGTCGCCTACGAAACATATGATAAAGTTTTTCCGCTGCAACATAACCACCTGTAGATGCTTCCACGGTATATTCAAAACCGTCCTCATCGCATGGACGATTGTAATCAATTTTCCAATCATCAGCCCATGTCCAGCCACTTGGTAATTTAACTGTATTTGGTTCACCTTTCAGTTCCCCTTGTGCATCAGTATATGCAGGTTCAGCAACTTTCCATGGACTTGTTGGGGTACGAAATTCATTATAGAATAATTCTTCAACAAAACTTGTTTTTCCTGCATCCTTATTAAAAAAATAAGAAATAGATAAAATAACAGTTACTGTCAATGGGGAATGACTGATGCAAATTAAATTCCTACCTAACAGTTAACAAACAATACTGTTAGAGAAAAACATCAATATTCTAATCACATGAAATACTCAATGTATAGAATGTGGTTTGGTTAAAAATTCTAATAATTTCGTTCTTTATAATTTTCTAATTGTCATTAGTTAATCAATTCATGAAATGCACTCACTCTATAGAATGAAACGACTTATGCTGACGGAAAATTAAACAGAGACTAATGTTTAATTAATTATTAGAAGGGGTTTTTGAGATTTGGTATGTTTCATAGATGAAATCATGAGTCAATTGAAGCTAGACCACCGAGGAAAACCTGGAAACACTGGACGGCCAACTCGTCCTATTATGGGACTCCTCAGCAGTGCGCATCCACGAACCCGCTCTCGCGAGCGAGACTCGAACCCAGAACCTACCAGTTACGAGCCAGAGCCTTAACCGATAGACCACTGAGCTGGCAGGGTTCGAGTCTCGCTCGCGAGAGCGGGTTCGTGGATGCGCACTGCTGAGGAGTCCCATAATAGGACGAGTTGGCCGTCCAGGTTTTCCTCGGTGGTCTAGCTTCAATTGACTCATGCTTTCATCTATGAAATAATGTTTAATTATTTGTAGTCATTAGAATCAGACAAGTTTTATCAATGAAATGTTTGGTGTTATTAATATTAAGTTACTTGTTATCCGGTGATTGATAATATGTAAATGCTACTTAACGAATCAAGTTTAATTAAAGAAATTATAACAAAAACATTCAAATCCACTTAGTATTGTTTCGTTGAATATTCCCATTGATGTGTTCGGACTGCAACTGGTCAGTGTCTAATTGGCATATGTGCATACTGTGAGTATTGCCTCGATATAGCCTTAATTCAAAAGCATGGTAGCAAAGATGGATAGTGGCTAGCAGTGGAATCAAGGACGCGCACCACTTCGTCCTATTTGGGACTCGTCAGCTCGATGTACCTGCATCTCAGAGTTGTTGTTCACTCTGCGACTTGAACCGAGTACCTTTTGCTTCAAACGCCATAGCGTTATCCACTCGGCCACTGAGCCCTAATAGCCACTTGCTTGTGCAATGGGGTGAAGTTTAAATTCAATTAGTAACGTGCGTCGTGGATTTCACTGCTAGCCATTATCCATCTTTGCTTACCATGCTTGTGAATTAAGGCTATATCGAGGCAATACGCACAGTATGCACATATGCCAATTAGAGACTGACCAGTTGCAGTCCTAACACATCGATGGGAAGATTCAAACAAACAATACTAATTGAATTTATTTTAATGATGGTTCATTTCTTTAGAATACATTTTAGTCTCTGTTTAAAATGAAGTTAACAATTAAATGTATGAACAGTTGAATGAAGTTATTGAAATCAGTTCTATTTGATTTCATTGACAAAGTTGTTTACAGATTATATATTAGAAATTCCATCTTCAAAATTGTATCCGATTAGAAAACTTTACAGGTGGTTAATGTGTTCTGTGACCTGACGGAAGAATAATACAATACTTCATTATTCATAATAACACTATGACTTTTAAACCAACTTATGATAGTAATCATCTTTGTCTTTGCACATACATACCACACACACGCACACAAAATATGACTGTCTACAAAATATAGTTTTTTGACTTGACACATTTTCCATTTGCAAGAAATAATTTAGTACTAAACATTGGTACTTAGCGTGAGAAAGCCATTCAGGTTGGAATCGAGAACAGTACAAGCGTAAGCTTCAATAATCTGTAAAATCACTTTTCATTTGTCTTATAGTGAATTTGAAAAATATTTATGTCTAGGTAATCTCAAAATAAAACGCTGTGAAATAACTTCCACGTTACTCAAGAGTTTGTAATCTATTATCTACTGTCTGATTCACTTTAAATGTTTGCATACCATACGCCTGACCGAACCACTGTTTGAAGAAAGAAATCTTGAACTCCCTAGGTATCCATATTTAGAAAAAGAAGATACAAATGTACTCATCTCTTGCGTACGTATGTATTCCTAAACTGACCCAAACACACAAATATAGAGGACGAAATTTATCAGACGACTAATCCTCTCATACACATACAATCGTTTATATACACTAGTATTTTTTACTCACAATTAGAAATTGAAAGAGCATAAGATCTATCACCTATTTAATGGCTTATCATGAAGACGGTTCTTTTAGTTAGAATAAGTGAAAATATACCTCTGTTATTGATTTTAAGTAGATGATTCGAAATGACTTCTAAAACTTTGTGTTATAAAAAAGAACTTTGATGCTCACCTTTTTATAAAGCAACGATAACTCTGGACTAACATACCAATCACCAACCCATTCCCAACCTGTTGGTAATTGAATAGAATCCTTAGGTAATTCAATTCGGCCAGTATTATCAGACCATGATGGACGTGTTAACGGTGGTCGTTTAGTCACCCAATTACCAACAATTGATGCTTGATTTTCATACTAAATATTGAAGAATATTTAGTAAACACAAATACATTACATAGATATTTTGTTAAACAGTTCCGATGAAAACAAATATTCTTAAGTCACCAACAGTATGTATTAGACCGGTTGACATTAAAAAGATAATGAGTTTTATTACCATAAACAGTTACTTCAGTTCTATAGGTGTACCAGATCATTAAGCTCGCTTAACATCATAACTGTGGTCATGTAAAGAGACTGATGAAATTTGGTCTGAATTCATCTAGATTCATTGCCAATGAAAAGTTTGACCTTGAAAAAGTATGGCGTGGGTATTCTATGACTGAATCATTCCTACCTAGTGAGTAAGCACTGAGAACTGATGTTAGTTATCACTAGTCGCGTCTATTGACAGACAGTTTAATGAATGTAAATCATTTACGCTATTGATTTTGATCTTAACTGAACGGTTTTAGTCTTTGGTGCTTAACATGTTATATACTAAGCATTATGATTAATGTAAGGTGATTAAATGTAGTCAGAAAGTCTATATCTCTGTTGAATATTAGTTAGTTTTTGTTATCGTAGAGTAGAATCCTAAGAAATACACTTCTTCAGACAAATTCGAAATCAATGCACGTACTGTTGCAATCCAGCTATTACTACTTAGCTAGTCGTCTCTAACTAACGACCATTCAATGGTGAGTGATCAATAAAATATTGTCTAGTCCTTAGTACTAGTAAAATTTGGGTCAACCAGGATGTTGCATAATTCAGATTAGTAATCAATCCTGCAGGAAAAGCATAAACAAAAACTATTTATTTATTTTGAATAACCGAATAACCACTTGTTGATTTTTTTCTAGCATTCTGTATCATTTGTAGGTTGAATGATATAATAATGGAGGTCGACCGTATGCGAAGTGATAGAAGTATCACCAGTTACGTTGAATAATCATAATGCAATATCTAAAATTAACTGACAGTAGAAATGGGGACCATTCAATTCCGACAAAATGGTTGAAAAGTTACTGGATCCTTTCCAACCAGGGGTTAAACAATATAGGACAGAATATTCATTTAGCCCTCTTATGTTTCTTAGCAGATGATGCACGTCGAGGACAAAAACTGCCTTCAAATTTAGCTAATCTTCACACGTCATTCAAATGTTCAAGAGAACCAAATAGTAATTAGTTGGTGAGTGATGACTTATTAACACCCTATCGATGACCATGAATCAAATAATTGAATGGACAAACATATATTGACAAATTACTCATGAATGTCTGGCGGTATAATTTATGGAATCGTCATGCTTTGTGTGAATTTGTGTCATCTCAGTTTGTCTCATTTTTACTGACTGGAAATGACCAGCATATTGCTATAATGTGACACAGGCTCACATTACAACTAATTTATGATTATCAAACAAAAACATGAACCAGTAATGAAGTTGAACAGGTAAATGTAATAACATACCGTTTCTGCAACAACTTGGAGTTTCGCTTCATTATGCGATTCTGTCCATGCAGTACGATCCTTTTCTAGACCAAACCATACAACAACACGTAACTGAGCCGGAATTTTCCATTCTGGCTTCTTTTCATCTTTCAATAAGGTGGGTTTCTGTAGACAATTATATGCAATAATATATGAAAGCAAAAATATTCAAAACTGTTTGATTTAAGAAAGTTTATTTCTGAAGCTGATCCCCATAGGTAAGTCATTAATAATCAACGTGAAACAAAAAGTTTTCGCAGTTCTAATAAAGTAACGTTTTGGCGAAAACTCAGGGGATTGTTTCGCTGATATTATTCTTTTAACTTCTAATTACTGAAAACCACTGTCTCGACCAATTCAGTTTTGAGGGTTATCACTTTATCAAATCAACATACGACCGCAGTCATCATAATTAAAATGCGTTTTTTCGCCCGTCATAACAGTATTGAATAATTCTTTCTAGAAAAATGTAACTTCGTTGTTCGTTAAAATAGTGTATGTTGTGAAAACACAAAACTTTATTGTAATTAACTCAGTGGAATAATAATTACGTCCTCATTAGTGACTAAGCCGAAAGCAAAATTATCCAAGTTCAAGTGAGAAGTTGTAGATAATAGACTTCTGTCGTACGGCGAATGAAATAGTCATCACGAAAGGCCCTAAATGATGACCATGATCTGAGTGTAGCACAGTTTGTTTTAAACTAGATTGTCCTGGATTTAATACTCGGAAATACAGTAGGCGAAAAAAACGGAGATGTTCCAAAATATAAGGACCTATCTGTCCAGCACTATCTGTTTCGCAATAATCAGTCTACTGAAGTTAGTTTTTAACGAAAAACATCTATCACATTGAACTAGTCTCCCATAATCTCCTCAACTGAAAAAAAAATAATTTAAGAAGTACATACTTTTAAATTGATTGTTTGTGCTGTACCACATTTTAATCCCCGGTAATCTTCGTTGTCATGGTATAACACTTCATGAGCTGGTATTCTGTGATAAGCGGTACGTTTACCACCGCATAACATCCATATTATAATATCTGGTATGCTCATTTGTGGCTGCGTGTAAAGTGAGAAAAGATAGACGTATAAATACAGTTGTGTTATCTAGGTATTTTTAAATAAATTCACTTAGTATTGTTTGTTTGAATCTTCCCATTTAAATATAGTTATGTATAAAATTGAATACTGAATATAATATATATGAGTCCGCTCTCCCTCTCGAAATGCTCTCACATGGCCACGCGAATATATAGCCTCTGCCAAGGAAGTCCTACTCACTGCCTTCTCGTGGCGGGAGTGTTGTTCACGAAAGTGAGAGGACGAAAAGCGAATGTCCGGCGCTTTAACCAGGTTTGTGGACACGGAAAGTTCACCTAGGGGAGTTAGAAAACCATGATTCTAAACCAATGATGCACATGGGCTCCAATATCCTGATGGAACAAATGGCGTATGAACCAATTGTTGGACACCGGCTACCATGGGACTGCATCTCCTTACGATGCTCCACTTCATTGTGAACTAGACTTTAAGGTCAAAGGCTCGGGGTGTGGCCCCCTAAAAATCCACCTGCTTCAGTCTGGGCACCTGGGCAGTATCACAGCCCTCACATATTTATCTGGTGCTTCCTTGTACCAATATTTATGTGTTTAAATAAATAAATAAATAAACTTTTATCAATAATATCAATAAAGAACGATTCAAACTACAAGTGCATTCTTATAAAAGTGGGCTTTTACTCATAAATCTCGTTTAACAACAAGTACCGTAAACGTGATTGGGTAGCATCAACTGGAGAACCATTATGTATCTAGAACTATTGTCACCATCTAAATCTCATTCAATACTTTTTACAATTATGAACCGTGTGCACATAATGCACAATTAAATCTATTGTATTTAAGTTTTAGAGAGAGTATAGTAACATTTTGTAAATAAAATAGAGTCTGAGTTCAGTTGTTAGAGGCTCAGCCAATTCAAGATATAATGCAACCGTCGTTCAATGATGGATTCTGTCTTTGTTGTTCAGTCGGTCACACTTCTATCGAATTAACTGAATCATAAAATCTAAACCACTAAGTTCCAACTATGTATTCTGCTTTCTGGAAGATATAAAGATTGAGGATTCAAACCTTTGAAGGAGAGTGGCCGTGGTTCATTCGAGAGTCTCAAATTATAAAAGAGCACGCACCTAATAACCTGTGATTATCCATTGTTACCCTAAGTGATGTTAACTAACGATGTAAAGTAACTTCGAAATGAGCGATATTCACAACGATAACACTTACTTCTATTGCCAAATTAAGAATAGTTTCTCGATAAGATTTCAATTCTTTCAAAGCATCGTCAATTTCAGAAACTGTTTCTCTTGTATTTATTGCTTGCTCACGTAATGTATTTAATTGATCTTCTCGTAATTTACGTAAATGTATATCCATTTCATTTTGAGGAATATTCTCCGGTTCCCATTGTGGTAAGGTATGACTGAAATGAAAAAGCAAGTTATAATAAATGTCGGAAACTTGTTGTTTAGAATATACACGTCAAAGAGTTATTATTTCAGATAGTAGCTAGACTAAAGAAAGCCACGAAATGAATTTCGCTATACATGGAATCAACCAGTTAAATGTGTTTGAACTCCAGGGTTATTGTTCAAATATCCTATATTTTTTAGTTGTCTGCAAAGAACGGAATGTAAGATAAATATGAATGAAACGACAAATGTAATATAAAGTTTTAGTAGGCAGAGATGGATAGTGGCTAGCAGTGAAATCCAGGACGCGCGTTTCGTCCTGACCAAGTGGGTAACGCTATGGCGTTTGAAGCGAGGGTACTGGGTTCGAGTCCCAGAGTGTACATCAACTCTGAGATGCAGGTACATCGAGCTGACGAGTCCCAAATAGGACGAAACGCGCGTCAAACTGGATTCCACTGCTAGCCACTATCCATCTTTGCTACCATGCTTTTGAATTAAGGCTATATCGAGGCAATACTCACAGTATGCACATATGCCAATTAGACACTGACCAGTTGCAGTCCTAACAAATCGATGGGAAGATTCAAACAAACAATAGTGAATGAATTTAAAGAAGTTATAGTTTGGTTATCTATATACTCATTTGATCAATCGTCTCAAATGTGAAATAAACATATGCGCTATAACGGTAGTTACGTTGGTGGGGTTTGTCGTATGAACATTTTCTGAGTGCAAACGGTTATCAGCATTTTTAGTAACTAGCATATTTTCATTTCTGAGTGATCTGTGTAATCATGTTTATTTCACTATATACAACAAATAATAAATTATTAATTCGTAGAAATGGTAGAATTTTCATAATTCACATAGTGGACTAGATTTAGCTAGGCAATAATCAGAAAGGACTTAATAGCTGTTTCAACTTAGTATGGGGCTCCTCAGCAAAGAACATTTACGGGTAATGAACCCAGGATTTTCGGTCTTGCAGTAAACACTTAATCTTTACGCCACTGAGGCGAAATATTATTCTGTAAATATCTAATTCTAATCGATTGGCAGTATTCCGAGACCATCTCTCATCGCCTGGGCTGAATAACTGTCTCACACTTAACCTGGTTGAACTCAACTTGTTATAGCCTCTCACTGATGAGTTTCATACGCGGTCGTAACAGCTGTAAAGTGCTTCCCGATTTTCAGTAGTTGTGTAGATTATATTATTATTTTGTGTAAACTATGAAAATAGTCAAGTAGTTTAAAAGAATCGACACAAATTTTGATTAGTAATTTACTAGCAGAAATATTCCAGTAACCGAAAACGAATTGTATCCAACATAATACAGTTAATTAGAAACCTTCAGTAAACTTTTTAAAAAATATCGTTCTCACAAATGTACACTGTCAAAAAAATGGTCTAACATTGTCCATTCAAAATTCATTCAGTATTGTTTGTTTGAATCTTCCCATCGATTTGTTAGGACTGCAACTGGTCAGTGTCTAATTGGCATATGTGCATACTGTGAGTATTGCCTCGATATAGCCTTAATTCAAAAGCATGGTAGCAAAGATGGATAGTGGCTAGCAGTGGAATCCAGTTTGACGCGCGTTTCGTCCTATTTGGGACTCGTCAGCTCGATGTACCTGCATCTCAGAGTTGATGTACACTCTGGGACTCGAACCCAGTACCCTCGCTTCAAACGCCATAGCGTTATCCACTCGGCCACTGAGCCCTGATAGCCACTTGCTTGTGCTGTTAATAAAAAATTCCATGATCATATTACTATTTAGTAAATATCTGTACTTACATTTTTTTCTGGTATAAACATCCTTTGTAGTGGAATCAAAATAGCTTACAAAATAGATGCAAACAACAGTAAGTAACAAAAGGGAAATCCCTATATTTTATTTCTATTTTGTGAAAAATAACATACAACTACAACAGCACTTACTTGCAATCCATTATAAATTCATCTAATGAAGAGATTGCCAATTGTGCTTGAGTTTCTATTGGGAGATTCGCTTTAATGGCGACCATTAAATGACTGATTCCTCTCTCCTATTGTTTTATTTAATTGAATAATAATAATAATAAAATATGGAAATTGATACTAACACAGCTGAGAAATTTATTGTAGGATGTATTGTATTGATCATTCAACTTGAAAATGATTTTTTCATTACTGAACAATGCCGAACTGGAAATCTGTTTTGTCCGTGTATAGGACTATTCAAGAAATACCCATATGTGACCAAACCAATTGCTGAAGGCAGGTGATCTCATAAATTTACGGGAGGTGATTCTTGGTTTCTGGAGGTTGTCGATTCCGAGTTAGTTAGTGATAGGAAAAGTCGTTTCTGAATAGCTTAAAAATGCTTGAATATTCGGCTTTTAGTTTTAAATACTAAAAATAGTATTGTTTAATAATGTGCCCTATTCTGTTTTACACTTTGGACATTGTCAATATTTTATTTTAAAATATCAGTTATTTATTTTATTTATTTAAACACATACATATTGGTACAAAAGGGCACCAGATACATATGCGCCACACAAAACAATGAAAATAGGAAGATAAAGGATGAAAAAAAAGAAAAAAAAGGGGGGACTGAAATGTACAACCGGAAGACTATTTCAGTTAAGGGAGTTAGAACCACTCTTTATGAAGAAAGCAAAAGAAGGTTACAGCAGGCTCGCCACTGGATTCTATTCTGAGCCATATCTGATAGCGTCTCTAGCCACTGTGTTGCATTTTACTACTTAAAGTTTACTTATATTATATTACTGTGATGTTGTATAGCTGTATAATTCACATCTATCAATATGTAATAAAAAGTTTATACTATGATTTTACTCATTTAATTGCTTTTTGTTAAAAAAGATAAAGCTGCGTTGCATAGTTTCTTCTTCTCACGTTTTACTTGTGTTAAGTTGTGTTAGATTACAATGTAATTGTGAATTGGTTGTCAATCCACTAAGGAGTGTCGATCAACTATTGTATCACAGACATCTCTTGCTCGTCTGTAAACATGGAACACTATCAAACAATATACAAACAAATGTGCTACTATAAATACATCTGTAAGTGTTGTCTTACCAAATGGTCGGCAATTCTCAATAATAAATTCACTGCACCTAAACGAAATGATATATCTTCCCATTGAGAATCAACCATAGTGCATGGTTTATCATCGCCCCATGGTAAATAGTAGTAATGTAATCCGTCTGATACAGGATTTGTTGGTGGTGTCGTTGATGCACATGGTGTGACCGATTCATCCAATTTATTTCCATGATTACCGATGCTGATTTCAAATTCAATTGGACCGTCAGATTTTTCTTCAATCATTGTTGCTGATAGAAATGCAACATACAACTGATATTTTCTTCTTCTTAAGGATTTCTAAACAAATGATTATGAAGTAGACAAAAGTCGGGGTATTAAAAATCAGTTGATTGGTTTTATTTGTACATCTTCATACGTTTTGTAATTACTCATTATCTATCCATCTACATAATATTATACGATTATAAAGTTAACATTCTAGTCTTCCTATTTTTAGAAACATACTGAATTTTTAAGGCTGATTCATCGACAAGTCTCATCACAAAAAAGGAGAACATCTAGAATAGAAAATTCCTTCAATAATGTTGTTTTAAAATATTACCTCTGATGACAAATTTTGGAAATCAACATAAGCCTCAGTTCACTAAGAACTATACCACAAGTGTTCAGTAAAATTAATTCATGAATTACGTTTATTCGAATTATGTACCCTTACTAATTTATATGTTCCCTTTCTTCATGTACCAACCTGACTATACCTGTAAACCGGTTTGGATTCTGTAATACTATTATATATATATACATATATATATATATATATTTATATATATATATATAAACTTACCTGGATTCTTGCAACTTTATCTTGTTCCAATGGCTTAACCAAATCAGCTGTTGGTTCGTCTAATAATTCAGTGGATAACTCTAACAAAACGCGACCACGATATGCTACACCTTGTCCTTTGCCTAAATTTAATGCTTCATATTTGTCCGGAAGATCGCTGTATTCTCTTGGAGAGCCATATAGATTGATAAAACTTGGACCAAACGTTGGTAAGAAGCCTGAAACAGAGATTATGAATCGATGCGTATGTATACATAAAAGATAAGTACTGTGTGAGAGAGTATGAGGTGTTGGTGTCCAGACCGAAATAATGAACGTTAATGGGAACTTTGGGGACTACTCTTCAATGAATGAGTACATTTCATGCAGTTAGTTCCCTTTATGAATTTAAATAAAGACAACAAATATTGATGCAGAATAATATGAATTCATTATATTTCTTTGTTTCTCATCAGCTGCTTACAACCAAATATGTATTAGAGTTTTAGCATTGGGGCAATAAATAGCATGTAACGACTGACATAAATGAATGTAAAGGATTGGAATAACAAAAGGTCATCAATGATAACTATATATATATATATATATATATGCGCAAGGAAAGGTCAGAGGTTATTAGGTATTAGAATGAAGGGTGGCGTAATAGTTGAGTGGAGTTCAAAAACAGATAAGATCAAATGTGTGATTAATTTAGAGTCATGGAATTAAAAGCAATTAGGACGGGTTACGCAATAATTGAATAGAATTTGGAGAGTTCATATAATTTAAGAGAGACAAATGAGCGGAAATGTGTGAGACAAAGGATGGTTTGAGAATTGGGTAAGGGAAGAGGAATATAATGAAAACTGAATATTAACCAAAATAAAACTAGTATCAGAATATGAAACAAAAAAAAGGATTACCAGTGTAGTAATAAGTTTATGATTTTCTCTTTTTGAGTACATAGATCCGGTTTGAGTTTTTTATCGTGATCGCTTCAGCGAACCGGATAGCAGCTGTACTTCTTTGTTTGTTAATGAATTCGAAGGTATGAGAAATGTTGATGGTGTGCTCGGTGTCGAGTTAATACCGAGCTATTGCACTGTTGAGAGCACTGGTTCCTCGCAGCCTCAGTTTCTTAGGAACATGCTCAGAAATGCGAACATGTACTCTTCTCTCGGTTATTCCAATGTATGTGCTTTGGCACGTACATGTAAATTGGTAAATGCAGTTGGGGCTACTGAGAAAAGAGGACTTGCCGATTTTAGTTTGTTTGAATGATCAGTTAGTTTCCCACACCGTTGACAGTTTAGCTGCTGCGTAGATGGTTTTCCACGCGGAATTAAGTCTGTGACTAATTATTCCAGCGATTTCGTCTAATTTGAAACGTAGGTATAGGAAGCATGTTTTCTTTTCCACTCGATCATACTTTATTTGGCGGTTGGTGTTTGCGTATTTATAGATGAATTTCTCCGGGTGCGTTTTCGCGTAGACATTTGGTGAATAAAGCTATTTCTTCTTCAAGACACTAATGGGAGCAGATTTTGCGTGCGCGGTCGAAAAGAATTCATACAATACCCTTTTTGTAACTCATTGGATAGAAACTGTAGTAATTGAGATACAGTCAACTCCAAGTGTTTTTGTGATGAACATATGAGTACATAATTTTTGAACGCGTATTAACCTTTTTACCACACGGATTGACTTTGAGCAAACAACCATTGAAAACGAATACGCGATCCCTTGTGAAATCGTGGATTACCACTCCTGACGAGTCTCATACTAAGACGAAATATCTATCTGGTTTTGGGGTCCAGTGGAAAAAACACATGGTGCCGTAATATGATAGAAATATGTATGGGACTGGTATCTGTCGTTACATCACGGATTTTAGGGGTACGGTAACTCGGGAGCTTGGGACTTTATAAAGTATGGTTTAGAATACAATCCTGTTGAATAACATAAAAGCTTCAGATGAACTAATACGTACATTAACATACAGTAAAATAATATCCTTAACTGGTACTTTTAGATAATGACTAGGCAAAAATGATCTTTAAATTGATTTATAATATTATTAGAACTCAATAACCAAGCGAACTTTGCACACCGAATTTTTGTTTATTGAAGCTTGAAAGCTAACTAAATTATTTAATATATTAAACTAACTCATGTTAAATGTTGGGATTTTTAACATAGTTGTTTAGTTTGTTTTACAGGCCACTGGTCTAGACAAAAATAAGTTTATCAGTTTGGACTGCTTATAAACAGTCCACAAACATATTTACACATGTAAGTGTACTTCGCATTATCAGTAATCATTCTTTTAAAGAAAGTAGGAACAAGAAGAAATAGGTCAGATGTGTTCGAACAGTGATGGCTTCTAGTTAATCACAGAAGTTAACAGGTTTAAGCCTATTCTGTATTATATACCAAGCTGACGAAAATGACGATTCTTGCCATTTTGTCTAGAAAAGGAAATTATATTTTTTTGATTTTTAATCAAAAAAGAAGATGAAGAAATTAAATTGAACACCCAACAATTGGATGAATAATTCATGTGCATTTATGAGCAGGTAAAAATATTATTATTTGATTGATTCATATTATTCATAAATAGTATTTTAAGAAAATGTCGTACTCTAAAACGGCCACCTCACGAAGAATTGTATAATAAAAAATATTTTAATCATTTGGGTGTTGAGTATGTATATGCATGCAACATATATGATGACTGAGGAAAAAAGGCAAACACAAGTGTATACAGTACACAAAGCAAGCGCTGACTGAATAATAAACAGAATGATGCAAACGCAATATGAACCCACAACCCGAAAATGTATAACTCAGCATACCTTCGCTACCTATATAAATACAAAAATATGGATATGCATTTACTAATGGAATTAGCTGAATGTTATGACTACACTCACACATAGTGAAGCAGTTTATGCGTATAAATAGGAAAATAATGTGCACACCAAGCGAAACTCTAGCTAAACATTAATGATAATTTAGTTGGCAAGGTCAATGATTACTTAAAATTATATAAGTATATAAGGAAGCAAGTTAAATTGTTAAAAAACATAATTGAGTGAGAAAATGGTTGGTACATAAATATTTTTCGCATATACAAAGAAACTATGTCAAGGACACTTTATATTCAACAACTGAAGTGGTGATGTTACATCATCATCTATACTCTGAAATCTAACGAATAAATACACAATTGAGCAGGGTCTGAATCTGTAGCTGCGACAGCTGAGTCCTTAATTCATACATAACGAGAAGAAAGAGAACTACACCTTGCGAATGATCTTTTTATTAACATTTCGCGTTCGACTTTTATTTTGAATGTTTATAAATTTACTTATTTATTATGGACACAGTTTGTTATAAATATGTCATGTATGTGATTCTGTTCCAATTACAACCACTCGATAAATTTGTTTAAGTACATCATATACACCAGGAGAGTTGAAGGTTCTTGGTTATAAATGTGAACTGCTAAAGTCTGAATATAACTTGAAATAACTATATAACAAACTTTGCTTTTCGCCAATTTCTCAAGTGACTTAAATTCGCAAGAAAATGTATCACTAAAATATTGTCAGCAATAACAGTTGATTTGTTTAGCAGTTACTATTATTAATGTTTACTAAGGAATCAACCGCCTCCTGAATAGCTAAATGCTAATGTTTCCCTGCTTTGATACTGGGTTTCATGATTTTTAATCTCAATATGACAGAGATGCAATGCTGATAAGTTCATCAAGCCTGAAACCTAAGTGCAGTTATCTTATTCAACTGCCTTAAAGGCCGCGGTAGAAGTGAGTCTTTAAGATCAGTAGCGACACTGTGATATTGTTGATAGAACTCGATTTTCTTTTGAAGCCGAATAATATGATACTTAGGAATTTAAAATAACCAGTCAGCATATATATCCTAATCATGGTTAAACCGGTTAGGTATTATTGTAGCTGACTATGATACTGAGTGAAATGAACCCTCACAGTTCCCTTTAACTTACAGATAAACTTTGCTAGCGAGTTTAAACTCGTACAAAACCCACTTCTAATTAGAGAGTTGTACCGATCACCCACAACCACATAACAAGCTTTAGGTTAAAATGAAAGCATATAAATTATTGACACTATTTATGGACAAACTCAAAAACAAATTGTGTTTTTAGTTAGACGTTCAAAAATACAAATGTGATTTGTGAAGGTGAAACGATTTTTAAAGAATTATTGAATTGAATTAATATTTGCTGAGCGTTATCATTAACGCCATAATTTCAATTTAATAACAATGAACAAAATATGTAGGCCTATTTGGATTTGTCGATGTGAGGTAAGGGGATATTGAAATATGGATCGATGAATATTTACGCTGAAATTATTTGTTGGTGAATAAATTCGGATGAAATACCCGAATTTTCACAAGTAGCTTTTGTACTTACAAGACTAGCCACATTTATAGACGATTGGGACAGTTATGTAGTATCAGCAACCCTCTCTTCAAAACCCTAGTTCAAACACGTGTACTTAACTACTGTATTCCATGTAACAATCTGCAATGTAATCTCTTTGAATAAATCAATTCTTTTACGATGTAACCTATCAAATTTTATTAACTTCAATGTTATTCCTCATCCGGATGATAAACTAGTGTTCTTACGCGGAATATGGAATTGTAATTAAGGTCTATTTATCCCAGTCAGTGTGTTTTCCTCATGAGTTGTGAGCATTATAATATGGCTTGAGACAAAAGAGGTTCGTACATAGCCTGTTCTCACTGCATAGCAGGTTGGTCAATTATTCGGAGATTATGTAACAACTAAATTTGATCACAGACCATTAGTCTAACAACAATCGTTATATACTATTGTCAATGAGTCGTCATCAAATAGTTTGCGTTGATTCACTTATCAATATAGCAGGATGATAATCTGGTGTTATCGTTTTAATTATGGTTGAATTATACCATTTGCAATGTTACCTTAAAACTTCCAAAAACAAAATCATTTTGAAGTTATAAGATAGTAAGTACTTCATTTTTTCTAACGAACAGAAAAGAATTCAAAATGGGATACATTCCATAATACCCTAGTAGACTGTAAAGTAGACGAATTCTAGCAAACATTTAACTGTGATTTTTAGTAGTATTTATGAAATAATCTTTATCAGAAAATTTATGATGATTTAAATCAATCGAAATTTCACTAAAAACAACATGCATCCTTATAGAACAATAGCTTTGTGCACATAAACCAAAAAAACTAACTAAATATATATGAAACCTCCACCGTATATTAGTAGTGTTTACATACCATTGGTTCCTTGTGAAGAGGTTTCAGTTAAACTTATTGTAGCTGTCCCGATTGCGTCATCCTTAGAACCTCGATCCCTTAATACGAATAACAAGTAGGATGAATAATTGTGAAAACCATCTCTTATTTCCAGTGATTTTTAAATATTATAAACACTGGAAGCAAAATGAATCAAATCACTCTAACAACTTCAAGTTGATATGAGATCATTTTCGATTAACAAGTGACAAAGGTTCTCTTGCTGTATGTTCAATATTACGCTTTGTTAAACAGCAGATATGTCTGGGATGTTAAGATTTATCATATGAATTGTTTGATTGGTCGAAAAAAATGAAGGTCGCTAACAGTAGACACAATAATGGTTAGATTTTTATAGTATAAAATGCAAAGAGTGAGATTTGATTGGAAACAAATATACACAATTTGTGATTTAGAACAGTATTAGACAAATATTTGTGGTAAAATTATGCGGATAAATAAAAGACTGAAGCATATTGTGTCGGTTATGTACAGAAAAAGAAATATCAATTTATTTCATAGCACGTGATCAGTTATAAAATTAGACTTTAAATAATGAAAAGTATAAATGATATAAAAAAAATCGGGCAGTACTGCTCTACATATGTTAGCTATTAATAACATCCCATGATAGTAGATGCAATGAGACAACAATGCAACTAACCATCATTGTCATCACGAAAAGCAGAAATTTGTGATATAGAAATAACCCCAGTTCCTATAGGATCATTATAACCAATACGATCCCTGAATAATTGAAAAGAAGGTATGAAGTGTATTAAACATAAAAAGGAATGACTCTTGGTAAACACTTCCTTACTGATACACAAATAGCAAATTGTACAAGCACCCTTTAGTGAATGATTTACTTTTTCGCTTGCTTATGATTTTAATGTGTTCAATGAGCATTTTATGTACATAGATATTTGGTCATCATAGTTGTAGCATTATTATTTTAATGACATTTAAAATTGATTCGTTGAAAATTAAACAACTAAAAGGTGTTTTATTATATTTTTGGCTCCTTCGGTCTCAGGGAATATTTGGTAAAATTCTGGTACTTTATATATATAATGCGTTGAATTGAAAAGCCAGAATATTTTGGTCAATATTTTGTTCATCATCAGATGTAAAGGAATATCTTGTTTGCATCAAATATAAAATTTATGTAACAATTCTTAAAGTTACAATTAAGTTATGGGAGTTGATGATACTATTTGGTCAATCAAATTAAAGTAACTCGGAGAAAAATTCTCAAGCCTTCAAAATATGATTTGAAATCTGAATACTTAATTCGATTAACTCCTGATTTGATTCGTCACAGAAAGGCTTACATTAATTTTATGAAAGAATATAAACCCAAGATAACTCTCAACAACAAGTTCTAAGCCTTACAAGATTTAATCAAGGAAGAAACTACTATGGGGGAAAAATGGAGAGAGATCAAAGAAGCACCAATCTCAAGGTATCAGGAGGTTCTAAGACGAAAGCAGCATCAGCACACGGAATGAATCTCCATGGAAACGCTGGACAAGGTTCAAAGAAGGAAGAATAAGAGGACGGCAGTTAACAACAGCGGAGCGAGAACAGAGAAATTCAAGGCACAAGCTGGATACACAGAAGTAAACAAGCAAGTAAAAATAGTATTAGAGACAACAGGAGGAAATAAATGGAAAAACTAGCAACAACAGCGGAGAAAGCCGCAAGACAAGAATATATAAGACAACTATGTCACACAACAAAGGAACTACAAGGGAAATATAATAAACCAGAGTAACCAGTCAGGAACAAAGAAAACAATACAATAACCGAAATTAAAGAACAGCGGAATAGAAGGGTAGAACACTTTTAAAAACTCAGGAATAAGCTAGCCCCACTGAACCGAATGGACATCGAAACAACACCTACAGACATTCCTACAGATGTCACTCCACCAACGACGAAAGTAATCAGGATGGCCATCAGACACATCAAGAGGGGAAGGCAACAGGATGCTCCACGTTCTATTCAGAAGGAGCTGAAAGGACGAATAAGAACCAACAGACTGAAAAAGCGGGTACCATATCAAGATGTCAAAGAAAGGAGATCTCAGCAAATGTGAGAACTATAGAGACATCACACTACTAATAGTACCGGTAAAAATTCTTAATTACGAGAAAGCATGTGACGGAGTGGAAATGAGAACCTTATAAAAACTTCTTGAGGATTATGATGTTTCTGAGAAAATTGTCATCATCGTGCGACCAACTAAAGTGCAAAGTCGTACATAGAGAGCAGGTGATAGATATATTCAAAGTGAAGACCGATGCCAGACAAAGCCGCTAACTTTCTCCATTTTTTCTTATTTCTGGTGATTGATTGAGTTGTAGAGACCCTACAATTCTGAGTGGAAGCACGGAATACGATGCAGAAGTCAGATGCGACTGGTCGATTTGGACTTCGTAGATGACCCAACTCATCTATCTCATTCAGGGCAACAAATGCAGATAAAGGCAGCTAGTGTAGCAGAAGCCTGTGCAGAAGTAGGCTTTGACACAAAGGAAAAGCAAGACAATGAAATTCAACACAGCTATCACCAACTCAATGAAACTTGATGGAGAGGCTCTGGAAGAGTTTGAAAAAATATTGATGCAGAATAATATGAATTCATCATATTTCTTTGTTTCTCATCAGCCACTTACAACCAAATATGTATTAGAGTTTTAGCATTGGGGTAATATATAGTGTGGAACAATTGACTTAATTGAATCTAAAGGATTGGAATAACGAAAGGATATCAGTGATAACTATATATATATATATATATATATATATATATATATATATATATATATATATATATATATATATATATATATGGGTGGGTGGCGTAATAGTTGAGTGGAGTTCAGAAACAGATAAGATCAAAAGGGTGATTATTTTAGAGGTAATGAAGGAGTCATGGAATTAAAAACAATTAGGATGGGTTACGCAATAATTGAATAGAATTTGGAGAGTTCATATAATTTAAGAGAGACAAATGAGCGGAAATGTGTGAGACAAAGGATGGTTTAAGAATTGGGTAAGGGAAGAGGAATATAATGAAAACTGAATATTAATCAAAATAAAACTAGTATCAGAATATGAATAAAAAAAAGGATTACCAGGGTAGTAATAAGTTTATCACTGTCTCTTTTTAAGTACACAGATCCGGTTTGAGTTTTTTATCACGATCGCTTCAGCAAACGGGAAAGCAGCTGTACTTCTTTGTTTGTTAATGATTTTGAAGGCATGAGAAATGTTGATGGTGTTCTCGGTGTCGAGTAAATGCCGAGCTATTGCACTGTTGAGAGCACTGGTTCCTCGCAGCCTCAGTTTCTTAGGAACATGCTCAGAAATGCGAACATTTACTCTTCTCTCGGTTTTTCCAATGTATGTGCTTTGGTACGTACATGTAAATTGGTGAATGCATTTGGAGCTACAGAGAAAAGAGGACTTGTCGATTATAGTTTGTTTGATTGATCAGTTAGTTTCCCACACCGTTGTCAGTTTAGCTGCTGGGTAAGAGGCTTTAAACGTGGAATTAAGTCTGTGATTAATTATTCCATCGATTTCGTCTAATTTGAAACGTAGGTATAGTAAGCATGTTTTCTTTTCATTTGGATCATACTTTATTTGACGGTTGGTGTCTGTGTATTTATAGTTGAATTTCTCCGGGTGTGTTTTCACGTAGGCACATGCAGTCGAAGAGCATTTGGAACTCAAAAAAACAAACTATAACAACTCAGATACAATTGAGTTTGTTTACATCTAATTCAGCTAAGCCCTTTTGTTAACTTGTTTAATGGACAGTCATTCATACAATAACAACCCATCTATACCATTGTACTTTCATTATATACGCTTGAACATTGCTTACTGCCTACGCATGTATTCATTCCGCTAGCATTATTGTTATTCGCTTATTTGATCCGATGATTCATTCTTTTCCACTTATATATATATATATATATATATATATATATATATATATATATATATACATTTTTATCATGTTAACTACCTTGCCCTGCTTGCTCTCTGCTCTGCTCTGTATTACGCTACACCGTTCTGTACACGCTTACTCATTCATTGGGCTCTACGGCACTGCTTTTCCATGCTTACTTGACGTACCTGTAATATTGGATAACTGTGTGTGGTTCAGTAATAAACACGTTCAAACCTTCGTATTCGTCTTCTGATTTATACATCGTTAGGACGTTGTTGAGTAACGGTTATCAAGACGAACAATATACGAAGCTTAGGGATAGTACCGAATATCGACCACCACAAGACATCCAACCTCAAAGCCAAAGATTTCAATACAAACATCAATACGGTTCTACTGTACTGAGCTGGAACTTGGAGAACTATCACGAGCGTCATTCAAAAGTATAGATATTCACAAACAACCGTTTACGGTTTGTTGGAGAATTCCTTTTCGGCAGCCCATGCCATCAACTAGACTGCAAAGTCGTGCATGCAGGATAGCTAACAAGAGCAATCGTACGAGAAACGGAAAGAGGAAGACTAAAGTAAACACTGCGTCAAAAAGTGAAAAGAATCTTAAAATGATGGATAGCAACTGGAAACAACCGGGGAGGATTGTCCAGGAGAGAGCTCGGCGGAGAATGCTTGTAGGCGAACTATTCTTCTCCACGATGAGTAACAGGCGTAAGTGTGAGCATGTTTATTAATACCCATTAATATTCCACTGAAGTGCATCTAATTAATGTTTGAAGCGGAAAAACGATGAATGACTAAGTGTGTCTTTTTTTAACACATTGCTTACAACTAGACTCTCATTAGAAACTATTATAGAATGATGCTTTCAAAAAAAACTGTAAGAAAATAAGCGAATTCTGAAAACGGTTTAAATCCATAAATCATCGAGCAAATAAATTAGAGTCAATCTAATATAAGCTTACCAATCAAAGAATGTGAATTTCAACTTCTCACACATTGATGGAAACTGTAAAAGAGAAAGTATAAAGTAATAGGAAACTTAATACCGCAAGTATAACTTGTTATGGTAGTTTAGTAAAAATTTCTTATAGCTTGAAAATTAAATTGACCTAATATCATCTATAGAGAACCATTGAATATTAGTAAATGTTGAGGGTCTGTTTCTCACCATTTTTGAGCTCTCTACTAATGAACAACAATGAATTCATGCAGGATCAAAACCATGGATTTCAGATGTTGCAATGAGCACGATCAAGTTGATTTGAAAAAATGGAGCTTAAAAATGTTGAGTGTGAGACAATAAATCTCCGATGGGGTTGCATTAATATCGACTTGTAACGTGACTGAAGTTTGAAATGTGGACTGTTATGTTTTATTTGTGTGTTTCGGGGGTGTCTTGCTCATCTAGAGATTTCAGTCTTGTGTTTTATCCCTTCTTAAGTTGTTAGTTCACAATGCCGGCAGTGATAAAATAGCTAATGAATACTCACTGGTTCGGAGTAGGTATGCAGATTATATCAATTAGTAACTTGGAATATCTTCACCAATAATTGTCTGTCCATTCCAATGATCATCTGGTGAATAGCTTCTTTGTAAAGTGAAGCACTCTCATGATGTTGTGATTTCCACGTTTGATATCCCTTCGGTTTGGGCACTCGGGCAGTATCACAGCCCACACACACAAATAGTGTGGCGCATATGTACCTGGTGCTTTTTTGTAACAATATATATGTGTTTAAATAAATAAATAAATAATCCCTCCAAAGTAGAAATTTTCAATCCATATATATCCATAAAATGTACGGCTTGTTGAATACTTTTACTTTCCAACCAGATGGACATTCTATTAATATCATAACATTAAATTCTCTTAGCTGGCTGATTTAATTGTGAAGATCTGATTCTTGTTCAGAAGAACATCGGCGTTTACTTCATATAAAAACTTGCTCCCTAGATGAGGTGAGCACTAATGATTTTGTATAGAACTACCATAAAGTCCTCAAAGTTAGGTCAGTTAGTTCACGGAAAGCATCCAACTGAAATGTTACTGTTAATGTACAACAACTAACACAACAATGGCATAATTCATGTTATGTGAATAATTAAACTAGGCCAAAATTAATTGACATAGTGATCAACGCAGATATCATTGCTTATAAACATGATTAATATGAAATAAACTTTGATATGGGTTAATTTGAAACAGTTCGGAAAATATTTTTTAACTGAGAATACGATAATCTGCAATGTCTAGTGTAAATTTAAAGAAAATATCGATCTTCTAGTCCTCTCTTCTGTGATATATTAAATATGAACAAAAATCACAGGACATTTGTACACTTATAAACAAAAATATAATACGTGGATACAATACAAAAAGTAACCTAACGACATAATCTTATGTATAGTCGTGGATGAGCATTGCTGTAGAGCCATATGTTAAGATAAAAAGATTATCCAGTGCTCTCTGATTTCTAATAACTGCTCAGCCGATTCATAAATTATCTCCATGCATTTACGTTTAGTGAAAATATAAAATTAATTACAATTACATATTCCCACTAAGACATTAAAAACAGAAGTGAGGTATGCAATATTTTTTGACAAACAGTTCTTCATCAAAGCCACACATCAATATAATTTACAGTTAAGGACAAAATCAATACTAAACTGTTGGAGAGACCCAGAGCATCCTACGAAAAAAGGCCAAACGGGCCCTTATAACACTGCGAAACATTTTATCCAATCATCATTGCGAAGTATCACAGAGACATCTAGAAAGTGAAGAATCATGCATCTTATTTCCGACTTTCATGTTTACCTATCCTGCTACTATGTTTAGAAGGGTTTTAGAATTTTTCAAAAGCCGAGATCATCTGAAATACTATAAATATCTTCTATTTTCTGTACACGAATTATATTTGGAATAAAGAGTTCTTTCCACATTTTGCGCCTTTTCTCTCGTGTTCTATTTGTTATATAGATTTAGCCTGAGGATATTAGAAGAGCTGAGAAAACCTATTCAAGTTTTTCAGTCGGAGGGTTTATCACAAATAAATGTTGGTTAATAAACTTAATAATTTTTTCTTTAGAACAGTAGCCAGTAAGCATTTCAGCAGATGCAAAACTAGATCTGAAGAAAATATTGTGTAACCGGTTAAACTAAGAAAGTCGTTACGTAACAATACTAGTTAACTAAGCTCAAAGTTAAGAAATTTAACATAAATGTTTATCGTTATTTGTGTAATTGATAACATGCAATTAATAAAACAGATACAGATAGTAGTTAATTCTTTTTTTATTGGCTGTTTGAATCTTCCCATTGGTGTTTAGGACTGCGACTGATTAGTCTCTTAATGGCATATGTACATCCTGTGCGGATTGCCTGGATATTGCCTTAAGTCACAAACATTATAAACAGAGATGAATGATGGCAGGTACATGCATCTGACGAGTCCAAAAAAGACGAAACACTCGTCCTAGATTCCACTGGTAGCCACCATCTATATCTGCTTATAATACAGATAATAGTTCACAGACTGGAAACTGATCGCTTCAATATTATACGTATTGTCCAAATTATTAATTTTTCTTGTAAGGTAATGAAAATATTCCTTACTGACCTGAATGTTCATTGTAATCTCTTCATTCCATTCAGGATGATCCGTTCCATATTTTGTACTAGATTTAATCTAGAAAACAAACAAATAAAGTAGTAAGTAGTTCTAAATATTTTCATATTTGGTATGTATCATAGTCAAAGATTTCTTTCATTTTTCTGTTGGTTTAGTAAGTCATTACTGGATATTGGAATGTTTTCTTCATTAAAGGTGTTCCTTCAACCACTAACTGTTAGTAAATTCATATTTTTTTCATTTCAGATGCTTGGCTAGGCTACACTAGAATTGTCCATAACACACCGTTTTGGATAAATCTAGCAACAATAATGTGTTCTAACTCCTTACAATCCCACAGCCCATAAAAATAAATAAATAAAATAAATGTTCTTAGATGAAATCTTTTTGTCGGCTTAAAATCATTGCCTTACTGTTTAGTTAGTTTTGTATATATGTCGAAATTTTATAAGTTTTGTATTTAAAATCACTTCATCAAGAAAAAAATAGACTAAGTTGGTTCAGTCATATGAAATATTAAGATTTAAAAGTTACTATAAATGGATGATTACTGAATCAATGGAATTAATTGTAATGAACTCATTTCCAAGAGATGTTAAACTATGAATGGGGGATTTCACCAACAGCGAAAGTTTCCCATAACCTATAAAGTAATGATGAATTTCAACCTTATGATCCATACAACATGTAAGAAAGTACTCCAAAAAATGTTATTTAAGAAGCGTTAAACAGTATGACATCATCCAAACTAATACAGAAGGTTGGAAAGTATATACCAGATAATAAATTGTTAATAAGAAGTAGGATTATTGGTATTATATTGCCAGTTTATTGAAGTTTGAAATTCAGACCATTGTATGCCAACTCCGTTGTTTGAAAGTAACGTATTCTCTGCGATACCTAGATTTCGTGAATTAATGCGTTTTAATTATCTTTGAGAACTTTATAGAAGCCTTATGAAAAGTCGAGACACTTATCTAGTTCTCGCTGGCGTTTAGAGTATGTTTAACTAATATCAGTTGGTGTCGAATATCACCACGAAATCAATTTTTGTTGAACTAGAAAGCATTCCAATTTTTTTCTAGAAAGATGAGGTCGTAAAGAATAATTTCTACTGTGAAATTTCTTAGCATAACCACTTCCCTAAGTTGTTCTACTACTTTCCTGTAAATCACGGTTTTATAGTCAGTTTATTTAATTGTTAATTAAATTTTGACCGTACAAATCTAATTCATACTTAATATAGTAGACAGCTCAATTGACAGAGTGAAATATGAGTAACCAAGAGATATCTAGTCATATTTCGGTGATAAATGGGAATTTCAATATTTTTTTGTCATCGCAGCTCATACCATTTAGTTACGGATAATGCATACACAAAGTCAATCAATGACATTTTAGTTCTCGTGGTAGTCAATAAACTTTTGACAGTGGTCTTGAATTGAAATCAATTTCTAGAATTCAGGCATTCAATTTATCAGTTATATTTTAAACGATTTAACTAAACATTGATATGTTCTGAAAACCTTGACAAAATATTAACTTCTAGATAGGTGGATCGTTCTTGATTTTAAATGTTTATATCAGTACTTATCCTCGATATATTAATCCGATCCCGTTCCATTTGATAACTGTATGAAATTCTAAACGAAGTGAGAAAATAAACATCCATAAAGTTTTACAACTTCGTTTAATTATTTTAGTAGCAACTTCTCCCATAAACAGTTTTTTTCTATTCTAATGCCCATCGTAAGTGATTTTACAGGCGATAGCTTTACCAATAGAATGATCATAGTTCTCACTACTGAATAAACACAAAACAGGGTGAAATCACATGAAATATCATTCTGAAGTTATTAAGGTATTCGGGAAGAATTAAACTAGTTCAATCGTTATAGAAAAGGTGAAAAGAATATATATATATATATATATATATATATATATATATATATATATATACAGAGAGACAGAGGGAGGCAGGGTGAGAGAGGGAAACCAGGATAAGATCTGTTGGTTTTTAATTTGATTTTGGGGAATTTGATATTTTCGATGTTATTAACTTTTGCTTTATGCCTGATAACTTCACTTCTCAACACACGCTGACATATCGTAGTGAGCCACGAAAACATTAGGGTTCACTGGACAACTATTTTGTTCAAATGATAAATGATGATCAATGGTTAATAAAAAACGAAAGAGATCATTTATTTAACAACTAACCGATTTCCCAGCAAATGAAACAAGAGCATAGGGATCCACAAACTCTTTCTCTTCATCAGATGTAGTAAGTAAGTTTTTGATTCCTTTGAAGGCATCTGAATCCACTGAAATCAAACAACAGTTTAAGAAATCTAAAAGTACAGCACTTATATATGTTAAACATCTAGTCATATTATTATTAATATAAATAGCTAACTAACTTGACACAAACTTTTCAAATTTTATAGTGATGTTCAGAGACCCAAATTTTAATAGATGTTTGTGCGCATGGTTGATCCGTCTTATTGATGTTTCGAATTCAAACGCTATAGATTTAGCAAAGCCTAAGGATTGGTTAGATTTTCGACCTAGCAAACACTGCATACACCAGTCGCAACTATCGTTTGCTATTTAGTGAAGTAACTTAAATTGTCAAATTTTAGACACTGGCTTCAAGCAAATTAGTTCAATATACTATGGATCTGTAATATACATAGTAGGTTCTGGAGTTCAGTTCCAATGAGTTAATCACCCCCAAAGTGGTAATTCATGCTTGGGTTCTCTGAAAACTCATTAATTTAGAATTGTTAAACGTAATTCTAAATACGATATTGTTGGCTAGTTAAATCCTAGTTAAACATCACATAGGATCATACTATCAAATGTCAAATTATATTTTCTCTATTAAAATTATATAACCCATTCCATATGGTTTAAGCAAACTATAAAGCAGCTGTTAGGCCGTCTTTTCCCATTTCTGAAGTACTTTGGCAAAAGTAGTTAGGTTCGAACCGCTTTAAAAAGAGGAAAAAATTCCAATAAGGATATGAAATACTTGGGTTTTCCATCCAAAAGGAATCAACTTCGGTCACTGTTATAGCCTGTGAAACGTCAGTCGTTATATCTTGTATAACGTGATAAGTTTGTCAATTAGAAAGCAGCGAATTATCAATCGGAACAGTGACACACGAAACCCGTACGAGCAGTCTAGACTCCTTATCGGTCCTTGCTTTCCGCATCGCCCTATCTGTTAAGTCCAGAACACCAATAACAGCCTCTGCAATATGAACCATTTATTTCAAACATATTGGGTTTATATACCATAAAATAAGAAACAACACTTGTACAAGATTCAGAAAAGATATTGTAATCGTTCCAGCAGACAAAGGACGCACTACGGTGATTATGGACAAGGAAGAATACATCAAGAAAGCCGAGGAAATACTCGAGGACAAAAGTACATACAAACCGATGGACATAAATCCAGTCAAAAAACTAGACAATCGCATTTCAAAAACTTTAAACAAACTCGTCAAAGCAGGAGAAATAACGAAGCAAGATCAATGGAGAATGAAATCTAATGGACCAGTACTCCCTCGGTTCTACGGCAGACCAAAGATACACAAACCAAACATCCCACTACGTCCAATTGTAGCACTACCAGGAACACCAACGTACAATTTATCAAGAGAAATCTCAAGAATACTGAAACATTTAGTAGATTCGTCGAACCACTCCATCAAATCAGCCACACAATTCCTTGATCAGATTAGGAACATTCAAATCAACGACGACGAACTAATGATATCCTTCGATGTGACAGCACTATTCACTTCAATTGAACCAAACCTAGCAAAAGAAACTCTGTCCTTGCTCCTAACCAACGACGAAAACCTCGCGAAATACACGAAACTTCAAAGTCAAAGCCTACTTGAACTCATAGATCTATGTCTAACAACATATTTCCAATTCAATAACAAAATCTACAAACAAACAAAAGGGACACCAATGGGATCACCAATATCAGGACTCATCGCGGAAGCAGTAATGCAACGACTAGAAACCACAATTCTACCAGTGATCAAACCAAAAATTTGGATTCGTTATGTAGACGACACATCCGTCATCATCAAAAAGGAGGAACTAGAAAACACCTACGAGCAGATCAACAACATCTTCAACGACATCAAGTTCACAATGGAACAAGAGTCGGACAACAAGTTGCCCTTCTTAGATGTATTAATCACCAGAACGGACACAGGAAAACTAGAGACTCAAGTGTACAGGAAGCCGACCCACACCGATCAAATTCTCAACTACAATAGCAACAACCCAAGAACTCACAAAATCAACTGTGTACAAACTTTGTTCAAGAGGGCGAGAACACACTGCAATACAATCACAGCACGAAAAAATGAAGAAAAACACCTGAAAACCATTCTTCAAAAGAACGGCTATCCAATCAATTTCATCAAAAAATACCAGTCGCACACACCATCAGAAATGAAGTCAAGTATAAAAATCAACAAAAGGATCACCCTACCATACATAAAGGGCATATCGGAAACGACAACAAGGCTGCTGAAAACCTTCGGAATAGGTGTAGCCCACAAACCAACAAAGTCCCTCCACTCAATCTTATGCAAACCAAAAGATGAAATGGCAAAAGAAGACAAAACAAACATCATCTACAAGATAAATTGTACCAACTGCAACAAACACTATATTGGACAAAGCGGACGCCCCCTGCATCTTCGCCTACATGAACACCAATTAGCAGTCAAACGCCACGACATTTCTTCACTCATATCAATACACGTGGACAACTACGGACATACATTCGACTGGGAAAATGTGCAGATTTTGGACAGAGGCAATTCCAAAAATACCAGAGAATTTTTAGAAGCTTGGCACTCAGGTCAATCTGCAATAAACAAACATATTGAAATCAATCCAATCTATCAACCAATCAAGAAAATTATGCAGGAACATAGGAACAAAAATCAAAACAATAGGAGAGACAATCAAAACAAAGAAATAAACAATGACAGATTTAAGGTCAATAAGAACCAATCAACATCGAGGTGCAGAGGACAAGCTGTGAATCACATGTGGAGAAATTCAAACACTTCACTTCTACCCGAAGTTTGTGCTGATGATGTCGTTCAGAAGGACGATGAAAGCTCCACGACCAAACCATCCAGCTCAGAGAACAAACCAACATAAAAACAAGATTTAGCCGAATGTGGCTGTGAATAAGGGAGATAGTAATTGATAGACTGGGAATGACTCAAGCACGGTGAATCATATAATAATAATTCATAGGTCAATGATTATAATAAGAGGGAAGCAAATATTAATAGTTTAGTTAGTTAACAATTATACAATAAAAATATATGTGTCATGTTGGTCCATAAATAGTTCTCAAAAGTTACCATTCATAATTCTCTTCGGGATATAATGGTCACTTTTATTATAGTGATAAACGTGGAACCCAATGACTCAGCAGCTATTTATATTATGCAAAACCGGATATACTTGATGTGTATCAGTTAATGTCCAAACTTTTACAAACAGGATTCGTCTGATTTATTCTATCCATTTGCATCCAAACATTTCAATGATTTACTTAGCGCTTAACTGGTATTTATAACCTATCTTATTCTCAATACTTCATACAATGATACACTAAATAGTAGATATAATAACATTCACAAATTAAGAGAAGGGTTTGAATAGAGATTACTGCAATTCGTAGGTGATGTACATCACAAATCAGTCTTCATCGAGGTGTCATTTAAAATAAGCGTGTACTACATAGATATTTCATACAGTTATGGAATTCCTCGGCAGTGTACACTCACGATCCTGCTTACATGATTGCATGATCATTGAGCTTTACTTATTGAAATTATTCTAAATTCACCAACTTCGTTATTCAAAATAAGCCTGCGCCTTAAAATAAGCTGATGATTTTTATTATTGAATTAAACGTGTAAGTGTAGAGTCTGTTGTGAGAATTCATTGAATAGAGGCATATTTCTTTCGTAAATTTTCCTTACTATAAAAATGGGAATTTTGTAAATAAAAAATAAATTAGTGTATTTTTGACTTATGGCTTGCAGAGAAATCAATATGTCCAATTTTGAAATCTTCACATGGATGAACTTGGATCTCGCTTTTTATCTTCATATTAAGAATAAACTCATAACCAAGGGTTTTCAATCTGAATGCTTCTCCTATGACGTTACTGAATTTAGGTATCTACTAATTTGCTCAGTTAGTATGAAGTCATTCTCAAGACTTTGTATTATCCGGTTTTTGATGTATTTTAGACCGAAAACATATCCTCAAACTGATCAATGATAGTCCACTATACCAGCAAAAGGAAAATTCAAACCTTTACTGACGATGTCTCAATAGTCATTGTTTTTAGCATCAGTATTATTATTTCAAGACCTTTGGTTGGGCTAACATGAAGTGTAGCAACTTGGATCGTTGTATATTTTTGATCCTCTCTAATTTTATTTTATTAATCTTTGGTTAGCTGATCAATTTATTTACTGAATGACTGACTTTTATAGAATATAGATACTTTGTTCAAACGACAAAACTTAAACAAAGGAAAGTCCACTTACTTCTTGGCAAATCTTCAGCCATATATAAAAGAATTTTGAAAATTGCTGGTCTTAATTGCACACCAGCTGGACGGAGTAGATTTCTATAGAATAAACAAAAATTAATGATGTATCGCAAGTGAATTATAAGTAATTTGAAAGAATAAACAGAAATTGAATAAAGATGGATAGTGGCTAGCAGTGGAATCCAGGACGCGCGTTTCGTCCTATTTGGGAAGAACCAAACAAATAATACTAAGAAATCGAATATATTATGGAAGGAAAATATAGTTTTGTTCTGTCAAATATTAAGTTATAAACATAATTTTACATAAATTTCTGAAAATAAATAGTCTGTTTGTTACTGGATATTTTACAAAAATTATATTATTAACTTCGAATGGTATTGTTAAGGTTGAAATGACTGACAAAAAAGTGAAAAAAAACATTGATTGCCTTGTAAATTCGATCATCATCATCATCATCATCATCATCATCATCATCATCATCATCATCATCATCATCATCATCATCATCATCATCATCATCATCATCATCATCATCATCATCATCATCATCATCATCATCATCATCATCATCATCATCATCATCATCATCATCATCATCATCATCATCATCATCATCATCATCATCATCATCATCATCATCATCATCATCATCATCATCATCATCATCATCATCATCATCATCATCATCATCATCATCATCATCATCATCATCATCATCATCATCATCATCATCATCATCATCATCATCATCATCTTCATCATCATCATCATCATCATCATCATCATCATCATCATCATCATCATCATCATCATCATCATCATCATCATCATCATCATCATCATCATCATCATCATCATCATCATCATCATCATCATCATCATCATCATCATCATCATCATCATCATCATCATCATCATCATCATCATCATCATCATCATCATCATCATCATCATCATCATCATCATCATCATCATCATCATCATCATCATCATCATCATCATCATCATCATCATCATCATCATCATCATCATCATCATCATCATCATCATCATCATCATCATCATCATCATCATCATCATCATCATCATCATCATCATCATCATCATCATCATCATCATCATCATCATCATCATCATCATCATCATCATCATCATCATCATCATCATCATCATCATCATCATCATCATCATCATCATCATCATCATCATCATCATCATCATCATCATCATCATCATCATCATCATCATCATCATCATCATCATCATCATCATCATCATCATCATCATCATCATCATCATCATCATCATCATCATCATCATCATCATCATCATCATCATCATCATCATCATCATCATCATCATCATCATCATCATCATCATCATCATCATCATCATCATCATCATCATCATCATCATCATCATCATCATCATCATCATCATCATCATCATCATCATCATCATCATCATCATCATCATCATCATCATCATCATCATCATCATCATCATCATCATCATCATCATCATCATCATCATCATCATCATCATCATCATCATCATCATCATCATCATCATCATCATCATCATCATCATCATCATCATCATCATCATCATCATCATCATCATCATCATCATCATCATCATCATCATCATCATCATCATCATCGTCATCATCATCATCATCATCATCATCATCATCATCATCATCATCATCATCATCATCATCATCATCATCATCATCATCATCATCATCATCATCATCATCATCATCATCATCATCATCATCATCATCATCATCATCATCATCATCATCATCATCATCATCATCATCATCATCATCATCATCATCATCATCATCATCATCATCATCATCATCATCATCATCATCATCATCATCATCATCATCATCATCATCATCATCATCATCATCATCATCATCATCATCATCATCATCATCATCATCATCATCATCATCATCATCATCATCATCATCATCATCATCATCATCATCATCATCATCATCATCATCATCATCATCATCATCATCATCATCATCATCATCATCATCATCATCATCATCATCATCATCATCATCATCATCATCATCATCATCATCATCATCATCATCATCATCATCATCATCATCATCATCATCATCATCATCATCATCGTCATCATCATCATCATCATCATCATCATCATCATCATCATCATCATCATCATCATCATCATCATCATCATCATCATCATCATCATCATCATCATCATCATCATCATCATCATCATCATCATCATCATCATCATCATCATCATCATCATCATCATCATCATCATCATCATCATCATCATCATCGACCAATCATTCACTGTTGCACAAATCATTTTATCTTGAACATTTGTAAACTTTTATAACATTGTCAATTTACTTATCATATTCATTCAGCTGTTCAGTGGTACTGTCTTTCGCAACCTAAATGGTTGGGGAAAGAGATGAACTTAACGGTTTTATTTAATGACTAATCTAAAGTTTCGTCATTTTATTTATTCCAATAATTGTATCAGTTAGCTATGTTATTATAATTTTACATGTTTATCTCTTACTAATAAGAAAAAATAATATAACACTCTTTATACCTTAAATATATATTTCCTTGAAAAAGCTTGTACCAGATTGCCAGGCGAAAGGTTGGATTCAATTCAAATTCATTCACTGAGATTTTACAGATATACATTATTCCTATTTAATGTCTTACATCAACTCGGCGCTTAAATACTGTGAAACTATTCGCTCTAATTTAAACGAAAGTGGGTTTTTGTGGAGATTTTAGTAATTTTATAGTTAAGGTTGAAGCTAGACCACCATCGAAAACCTGGAAGCACTGGACGGCCGTTTCGTCCTATTATGGGACTCCTCAGCAGTGCGCATCCACGATCCCGCACTCGCGAGATTCGAACCCTTTTAATTGTATTTTTGTATATTCATATACAAGGTTGTATACATTCACCAACTAAGTTTAATGAGTTTAATACAAATTGTTTACCAATACTCATCCACATACTTAGAATTTTAAACAGGATTATTGATCAATAAGTACCTTGCATTAACTTTGTGTTATATTCATTCATTTCGTCTGTCACTATGTAGTCAATACCTCGTTCATCTGTTGATTACCTACATAACATTGAGAATATTTCATCCAGACTTTCAATTTCATTAGCTCCACTGGCCACGACTTGGAAGTTGGTTGCGCAATTTCGTGGATTGGTTGAGGCTAGACATTAACACCCTTGGATGACAGCTCAGTGGTCTATCGGTTAAGGGCTCCGGCTCGAGACTGGTAGGTCCTGGGTCCGAATCTCGCGAGAGCGGGTTCGTGGATGCGCACTGCTGAGGAGTCCCATAATAGGACGAGTTGGCCGTCCAGTGTTTCCAGGTTTTCCACGGTGGTCTAGCTTCAATTGACTGATGATCTTAACTATTTAACGAAAGTACTTATATATTATTTATACCGTTATAATGATATTTATTTAGTTGTCTTGATTAGTAAAATTAAAGCTCTGTTGTTAAGTCCTATATTCACCTTTAATAATTGTGTTCGATTCTTATCGTTGAAATGAAACTCAGGATTAGCCGTTCTGGTCTATCTAGTCCCAATAGATCAGCTTTTGTACAAGAAATATTTTAAATCTTTATTATTTTGGGCACAATCATATTGCACAAAACATCATAAATTTAAAACAGTAGATCTTTAAGAAATCTGTTTAAAATCCTGCTTTATGTTGTGAACCTATTGAAGTTGATTATGTGAAACAACGAACTTTATATGGACAAAATAATACTAAGTTCATCTTCAGATTGAAAAAATTGAGTACAATCATGATCGTTCAACAGTAAATATTTTCGAAAATTTTGAACCAAATGATTCTCCACTGCTTCACTCAGTAATTTTTTAGCGATTTATCTCAATAACTTCGATTCATTATCATAAGTCATTTCCAAACACTTTTTTTTGTAAATAAATGGGCAGACATAAGAAACAGTGGAAATCTGTTGCTTAATATCGTGATTGGATTAAAGATAAAGATGTAAAATCATTGGTATGAAGATTTGGTGCTCCCTAAGGATTAAAGTTTTTGAGTTCAATTCCTGTTATGAGAATAAATATGCGCTCCTTAGGAGTCACTTATTATTACAAAACAGCTGATCATTACTTTTCGGTTTTCAATAGTTTTTAAAGCTAATCCATTGTGTAAAACTATAAAATTCAACATCTTCCACAATTCTCTATACTGAAAGTAATTTCAACTGAATATAACGAGTTTTCTTTTTTTTAGAAAAAATAAATAGAAGAAATTCATATGTTTTAAAGGTTAAAAGTTCATTCAATTCTCATGAATAACACATTATTTAACTTTTACAATTATTGTTTTTGCTTGCCAAATAATTGTGAAAACAATCATTAGAACATGTATTGTGAATATATGAATAATTATGTGTTTATATGTGTCATTTTATAACAAAGAAATAAATCAGCTCTACTAACCCTTCAATATCTTCTTTCTCATCGGATTCACCAACTTTCATAATCTATGATGAGAAAGAATAATAATGACAATGTTTTATTATTATAAAAATAACACAAGAAAGTAACTCAACATGATGAAACGTGAAAATGTAAGTGTTTTAGTGTCTAGTTATTTTACAAAACATTCAGTGACAAACTTAAACTGACTTTAACTGAACTATGAATTAGATATTCAACATAATCCTGATTTAGTCTGATTATAAATACTGTCTTCTAATTAAACATTTTCATGGAGAGATCAATCAAAAACAATGATAAATATCATGTACTCAAAACATATGTACAAAGTTTGTGCAATAAATACGCGAACTCAGCTACTGGGATTCTTATTTATGATAACCATCAAACTCCCAAATCGATGCGAACATAAAGCATAACAAATCTCAATGTATAGATGATTTTAAATTGACTAAATTATAGAATTTCGATAGTGCATATGATTTTAAAAACACCAATGCGATTGAGAATATTGTATACAAAAAGCTTCCTGTATTAGTTGACTGAATACTGAACCGATTAGAAAAACCTGGCTCAAAAATCTAATCTTCCCGAGACATTTGTCCTTGGCAATTAACTTGGGTATTATAAAAATGGCATGCAGATTATGTTTTAAAAACGTCCAGGAATATTTTAAAATATTGATATGATGGAGTGTTTTGAAGGGTATAAGATTAATTCACATGAAAATTCACAAAATAAAACTCATGTGATCTCATCTAACTTACTTATTGAACATCATATTTACACATTGAAAAATCACACTACAGAAACCAAAAACAACCCTTACCGGAGCTTCGTCTCCAGGTCCTAGAATAACAACTGATATTTTTAAATAACCTTTGGCACCAGACATTGGATCTTCTGGATTACATAGTAGTAACCATTTATTTAACATCGCATGACGATCGCATTCATAAACTATTGACAAATCGAATTTGAAAGAACCAATCAATGAATCACGACGAAGACGACGTGAATCGTAAACAGTGAACACTAATTGTTGATCTAACATCTCAGCAGCTGAATCAAAGAAATTGAAAAAAAAAGTCTGATCCCAGAATGGTGAATTTGTACAATTCCGAACACGTGTATCTTTACTTTCTTTCCAGCAAGTAATTTTACATATTGGTGAAATATTGGCACCTTGTAATTGACGAGCTTCAATAACTTTGACGCGAATCTAATTTGATTTAAGAAAAGAGAGAGAAAAAATGTGGTATGAGTGGATAGAATGAACCAAAAATGCTACTGATGGTTCATAAATAGGAAAACGTCTTGCATATCACAGTAAATGTTTTAGTGATCAGATTCATGATTTATTACATCGGTAAGTTAAGCTTAGCTAAATCAAATATGTGTAAGCCTCTCAATTTCACAGGGAGTTCGTTTTAGTTTGAGGGTAGTTAGCGGGATGGTGTCTACAAACTGGGTGAATTGAGTATCAATCCAATCGTAAACATCAGTTTCGACATAACTACGCAGACTATATCTTGACAACTGTTAACTATCATGAAACCTAGATCCAATTGCAGCTTCTAACAGATTGCCTTCAGTTATATTGACGACCTAATAGAATAGAAACAAGAATATCGTTTGTTAACAAACAGACTACATTCATCATTGTAGATTTCGAAGTTCAGAGTGGTTATAGTTAAGATTAAACATTTCACCTACTCTTGTCGGAATGTACTCAATATTGTTTAGAAATGCCTATTAAATTTCCTAGCCAGATATATTGCATTACCGTAAGAATCCATCTGTGTTCAACTGTTATACTCCCCCATTAGTTTTATAACACGTACTAATAAATTGTAAGTCTGGATTATTCCGTTGTCAATAGTTTGACTGAAGTTTTTCAGTCTTGGCTGGTTTACTTGTTGTACAAATGAGTAGCTATCTGGCATCAGTAGCTAAGTGGATAACGCGTTGGCGTTTAAATGAACGGTACCCTGTTCGAATCTTAGAATGAACATCAACTCTAGAATGCAGGTACGTTCGGTTGACAAGCCCCAAAACAGGACGAAATGCGTGCTCTGGATTGAAAAACTATCCAGATTTAATCTACATTATGCCTATTGACAATGTAATCGGATAAACAGCATCCTAGAGTGTATAGGTTAAAAAAGTATATTATTATCTTAAGCTCAAAATAAATTGTCATAAATAGTATTATAACTTCATATGAATTAAAGGAGTGAAAAATAATTGTAGACGCCACTTTGATATTGAGATTGGGTTTGAGTTTTGTGATAAACCAACAGAAGTATACTGTCTAGAACATTATTTCCAGCGTGCTGTTATTATTATTATTATTATTATTATTCACATTATTTTAAGTTAACATTTACCGACTAAATGAATAGTTTTGATTGAGATCATGAATCGATTAATGTTAAGCCAAAATTGGAAACCTGGAAGCACCGGACGGCTGTTCCCCCTATTATGGGACTCTTAGGCAGTAGGCATCCATGATCACACTCACGAGATTTAAACATAGAACCTTCGATCTCGCGCACGAACACAGAGCTGTAATTGTTTGGTCAACATTTCTCACGGTCTGTGGACTGATCAAACTTACAAAAATACATTTGTCTTTATATACTAGAACATAAATCATAATATTATTTCGATAAACATAAACTCCGACCAGAACCTTTCCTGCGTTACCGCCGGTTCCCAACCCGTATAAAAGTGGAGGGTTGGTCAATGTGTTAGGAACCCCAACACATACAAAAGTAAGATGATGAAATTCAATACAGCTATCACCAACTCAATGAAACTTGATGGAGAAGCTCTGGAAGAGTTTGAAAAGTTTACTCACCTGGACAGAATCATCAATAAACAAGGAGCATCTTATGCAGATGTAAAGGCATGAAGTGACACAAGAAGAACAACATTCTAACAGTCGAAGAGCGTTTGGAACTCAAAAAAACAGTCATCCGACCTCAAAGTCAGAGATTTCATTACAAACATCAACACGGTTCTACTGTACTGAGCTGGAACTTGGAGAGCTATCACAAGCGTCATCAAAAAGTACAGGTATTTATAAACAACCGTCTATGGTTGATTGGAGAATCCTTTTTGGGCTGCTCGTGCTCCATGAAGAGTTGCAGGCTAAAGTAATTAGGCAATGTCAAATTGGTCGACGAAAATCACTTTCTATGATCCTAGAACCTTGTGCTCTCGATGCGTTATGTATTTCCCAAAAACATGCTTTTATTGGTAATCGGCTGCTTAAACCGAAGTTGTGAGGGGTTCAAATCCGGACTCTAAAAACTTAGAGTCCAATGCTTGAACTGATAAGCTACCATTTATTGTGACTACTTTCACTATTAAGGTTTTACTGTACTGAGCTGGAACTTGGAGAACTATCACAAGCGTCATCAAAAAGTACAGATATATATAGACAATTGTCTATGCGAGATACCCAATGCCGTTGGCCTGATAGCATCTGCGAAAACCTACTGTGTCAAAGTACAAACCAACTTTCAATTGAAGAGAATATTTGGAAAAGATGTCAAAAACGGATAGGAAATATATTGCAAAAATCACTAAAAAACATCACGATGCAATCGCTAACCAGGAATCCTGAAGGAAAAAGGAAGAGTAGGAATAAAGAACATATTGTGTCGGGATGAAGCGTAGACATCAAAATAGTGAATAACGGTTTGAATCAACTGAAGAGGGTTGATAAGGACAGAATTTGTTGGAGAATCCTGATCGGTGGCCTATGCTTTCATGAGGGGTAACTGGCACAAATAGGTAAGTGAGTAAAAAATATTGAAATAAATGTTCAGGGATAGTAGGTGAGTGGTACTCAGTTCTGTGCTTGTCCAGTTCTTAGACGTGGTCAAATTCTAATGACATTTTTTCAGTGTACTGCATAGTCTTGATGTTAGTTTAGGGTTGGATGCAATCTGTAGAAAGCCTGTTTTATTTAGCACTTAGTAGCAAGTACTAACAGCAATGCTGACAAAGCTTACGAAGCTATGATGGCGGCTGAAGGTAGTCGATAGGAAAGCCTGGACCTATGTTTCGTGCTATTTGGCACTTGTCAGCAAGGCCTACCTTTATTCTTGAAGGAAATGATGCTCTCTGGCAGATTCGATCCCGTGTCACCCAGCTTCGTAGTCAGAGACGTTACCACTGGGCTATCCGAGGCACCACTGACCTCCTGTAGGACTGAGATGTATGTTCAACTGATTGATCACTGGGTGCTGATCCAACAGGCAGTATCAGTTCCCTCAAGATAACAGGTACACCTTGCTGACAAGTGCCAAATAGCACGAAATCTGGGTCTAGGGATTCCTGTAGAATACCTCCAACCACCATCTTATCTCAACATAGTGCACGCAATGTCAAGTCACCTAGACTAGTTACCACATTGGAACTTAGTCGATAGGCTTCGATCTACACAGAGAAGGACCTACCACACACGACAATGATCACCGTCCAATGATCAATCAATTTTAAAAAGCTGACGAAGCTTACGAAAATACACTGTAAGTTAATATTCTAATAACCATAGTCTAAACGAGTATCGCATGCTTGGGAAGACTCGTCAGTGTGGTTACCTCAAGAAATGAACACCAGAATCGTATTTTCACATCAGTTTCATTCATTGTTGTTATTCAAGTTATAACGTGTTTGGTGTTTTAACTTTAACATCGAACAAATAGAGACAATTACCAGTTCAAACAAAAAAAATAGATAAACGTATGCTTGAGTTCTGAATAAATGATGAATTTTAAAAAGCGTTCATATATGTCTCGGTGAAATAAACATTTTAGGAAATATGATCGGTTTAAATAAAATGATGTGAAAAGAGAGAAAACCTGGTAATCTTTAATGTTATCACCTACTTATTTGTTTATTTATTGGTACTGTTTACATTGTTTGCCGCTCTGATTTAAGGTAAATACACGTTATCTAACAACAGTAGTATGTAACATAGTTCGGAAGAATAGAAACTTTAGCTGGAAACAAACAAACAAATATTATTGTCTGGCGTGTATGCCAATTATTTTTTATGTATCATCCACCTATATCTTAATAATAATGAAAGTAACAACAATACCATGTTATAGACGTGTGTAAACTTGTTCTGTCATATACAGAAAAAGATCAAAATAAAAACAGATTTATAGGGAGATAAAAAAATAATAGAATGTAGTTAGTTTTAACCATGGTTAAGTAATAATCATATTAAAAATAACAGTAGTAATAGTGAAAGTAGTCACAATAAATGGTAGCTTATCAGTTCAAGCATTGGACTCTAAGTTTTTAGAGTCCGGATTTGAACCCCTCATAACTTCGGTTTAAGCAGCCGATTACCAATAAAAGCATGTTTTTGGGAAATACATAACGCATCGAGAGCACAAGGTTCTAGGATCATAGAAAGTGATTTTCGTCGACCAATTTGACATTGCCTAATTACTTTAGCCTGCAACTCTTCATGGAGCACGAGCAGCCCAAAAAGGATTCTCCAATCAACCATAGACGGTTGTTTATAAATACCTGTACTTTTTGATGACGCTTGTGATAGCTCTCCAAGTTCCAGCTCAGTACAGTAGAACCGTGTTGATGTTTGTAATGAAATCTCTGACTTTGAGGTCGGATGACTGTTTTTTTGAGTTCCAAACGCTCTTCGACTGTTAGAATGTTGTTCTTCTTGTGTCACTTCATGCCTTTACATCTGCATAAGATGCTCCTTGTTTATTGATGATTCTGTCCAGGTGAGTAAACTTTTCAAACTCTTCCAGAGCTTCTCCATCAAGTTTCATTGAGTTGGTGATAGCTGTGTTGAATTTCATTGTCTTGCTTTTCCTTTGTGTCAAAGCCTACTTCTGCACAGGCTTCTGCTACACTAGCTGCCTTTATCTGCATTTGTTGCCCTGAATGAGATAGATGAGTTGGGTCATCTACGAAGTCCAAATCGACCAGTCGCATCTGACTTCTGCATCGTATTCCGTGCTTCCACTCAGAATTGTAGGGTCTCTACAACTCAATCAATCACCAGAAATAAGAAAAAATGGAGAAAGTTAGCGGCTTTGTCTGGCATCGGTCTTCACTTTGAATATATCTATCACCTGCTCTCTATGTACGACTTTGCACTTTAGTTGGTCGCACGATGATGACAATTTTCTCAGAAACATCATAATCCTCAAGAAGTTTTTATAA